TTTGCAACCACTCATAGTTCGTGCATCACTATATCAAAAGGCTCCAAAAAGAGCACCGATTACGTGAGATATTGCTGCTAAAGATCATTAACACTATGGTCAAACAAGCTAATTCTAGGCTAACCTACACTAAACTCGACTCACTCAGACTCAGAAGTATGAGCGAGTCCAGAAGATTACTTCGGGCCCAAGTGAGACCAGTTAAAGAAAATTTTCGTGAGTCTTAGTTAGGGTGAGGTCCAGGCGCAAAATTTATTTCATGAGTAAGTCTGAGTGCGCTCCACAGTTTTTTTTTTTTTTTACTTATGGGGAGGCTGCTCGGCTGCTCAGACCTCCAGGCCTAGCAGGCCCCGGTAGGGGTAGCTACTGCGGCGGCTTCAGGTAATGTGGTCCCGGACTCCCCCTTGTCTATTACGGATTCCACGTCTCTTAAGCTAAGAAATACTCGGCGATCCGTTATTGCAGCGATTCTAAAAGCCACACTTTCAAGCTAGAGTCTCTCAGGTGGCATCACATTAAACAAGCTTTCATAGCACTTCCTTGCCGACACCACTAGGTATTTGTTTGCTTTCTACCTAATTCTCGTGAACAACGCTTGACACGTTGACATGAAAAACACGTTGATAAGAAAGACACGTTGATAAGACATGCGTGATAAGAAAAATATTGGCCATCAAAACCACTTCATTAGACTTGTATGTTTGCGCCGATGGTGCGAGCATCGTTTACGCTAAAGTAAACGTGAGAGAACGTCAAGAACACATCCATGTTGCCGAGCACAGGCACTCTTTGAAAAAAAGCGAAGTTATGGCAACTCCTTTTACGTTGATGAACGGACTATTACAACATTTATCCGGGATTCTCAAAGTGTTGCTGATGAAAAAAAAATATTGAAGCTGTTTTGCTATGAACTGCATGTCTGGAGTGTCAATGAACTAAGTAATTTGTCCAATCAGGTGGAATGGCGAGCAATTAAGACACTAACACAAAAATCTTAAGGTGACGTCTTCTTTAATTTTCTGCATCATCGCATGTCGCAAATTTTTACGTTATGTTGGAGGGCGTAGTTCATTTTTATCGATAAACATGCACGCTAGGATGTGTCCTGAAAGTTGCATATCCTTGCCTCAATTTGCATGTTTCGAGAATCTCGAGTCATCATGGCCCAAATCAGAGCAATAATTTACACAAACTGTAAGTGCAGTGTCATTTTTTATAATACTGAATACCTCTAATAAAAATGAAGCCATTCCTTCAGAATCTTAGACATCACTGTAAAAGCAGTGCTATAAATATAAGCCGTACTCATGTGTACTTCGGTCTCATTCAGTTTTCTTACACTTCTAGCAAACAACGCTTGTGCACAATGATGCATTCATACTCGTACATTACTTGCTTACAGTGCACGCTACGTTCGTAAACAATGACAAGTTGATTCGCGGCGCCTGTCTACGATGATGCGGTCGAACCATAAGATCTACTTTAAGATGTTCATTTTCAGTGTACAACAATAAAAACACACTATAACTTTTTAGTTGTGCCCTTCTTTCGTTCTCGGACCATTTGGTTTTCCAAAGTCAGAAAAAAAAGGAAAGGGCATAGAGATATCAGTACATTTGAAAAACGCGACGAAAGATTGCTAGTCCATAACATCAGTTATAGCCAGCACTGTGCTAGGTAACCCTGCTAATTCTCTCTGATTTAGAGCACTCGATAACTGCAAAGCATCGTTACCGCTTCCACCAATACCTTTTGTCGTCAGTGTATGGTAAAGATATCATGAGTAATAAATAAAGAGATGCAACTATAAAAGAGAAACGTCCACCAATGTCTACTCACGTATGTTTGTTTGTTTGTTTGTTTGTTTGTTTGTCCCTTTTTATCCTGGCGCAACCAACCATGGGGGATCGGCCGTGAAACGAACTGTGTCTCGCAATTTAAAAGGAAATGTTCATAATTTCGAAATGTCAAGTTTTTAATGAATATGCTTGATTTTGATATTTTTAACGATGAATTTAGCATTTTATTCTTCTCGTCTCCCGAAGGAAATCGCAAACGGCTTCGCAAACGCTCCTGTGGCAAGAACCCAGCACGGTAGCCCCATAGGAAAGAAGAACCAGAAGGGATAAATTTAATCTCAACCTTCGAAGCAGTTCGTCTAAAAGTCTTTTCCTCTGGTTGGTGAATAATCTGCACGTTAGAAATAAATGATCAAGAGATTCACACTTATTGCAATGGAGGCATAAAAGTCACTGTAGCAGACCAGACCTGTGTAGGTAAAAATTCAGTGGGGGGACTCGACACCTTATTTTGGTAACTGCGATCTCGGTCCTTCTGGAGAAACACCATCAATTCTTCCAGTGATAATTGAGGTGAGGGAACTTAGAAACTGACAACGCAGACTTCGCGAAGTTGTCCGATACGGCAAATTTTTCAAAACGTGCCACAGTTACAAACGCCAACGTCGGCAAAATAGACATTATCGGACCATTACATGATTAAAGTGCGAGCGCATCCGCTTGTTCATTTAGATGAATACCTTTGTGTCCAGGTTCCCATACCAAGCGAATAATACGTATATGTCTTGGAATGAGAGAATGAAATATTTTTAAAGAAATTGAAAAATTTTGATGCACTTAAAGAGGAACAGGCGGATAGGCTGTCTGTCCGAATGACGGCTTCTGATAATGATAGAGGTAATTTCCGTAGAGCTAATATAATGGCTAGTAATTTCGCATGATAAATAGGAGTAAAGTCAGGTAATCGAATTGAAAAAGACCAATCTAAATATAATGATGCAATTCCCACAACTGCCTTTTCTTGACAAACTGAAGCGTCAGTTGCAATCACCGCAGCCGTTTCTAATCTAGATAAATGGTCCTCCAAAATGCAATTTAAGCATCTACTCGGTAGATGTTTGTAATTCTTTGGAAATACGTCATCGAATTCTATTCGAATTGTTTGTACAGATCTGCTTATGATTAGTATCTCGCGAAGCTGCACTTGTAATGTTTCCAATTGTGTCTGTCTGAAAATGACTTGGGGACACTGTAATCTTGGCCACTGATCACCGAAAAATTCCGTCGGATGTTCTAGAAAAACATATTGCGATCTCCTCAATGGCGATGTATGGATCTTTAGAAATGTACGCACGGTTAGGATGTTAAACCGAGTACGAAGAGAAGGCAGGCGTGCTTCTTTGTATAAAATAGTATTTGATACAAATTTTGGAAGTCCAAGACATAATCGTAATGATTCGCGTTCTAAAAGAACCAGTGGTCGTAGTTTGTATGCAGGTGTACCAGAAAACAAGACGCAGCCGAACTCTAATATCGGGCGAATATACATGCAGTAAATGATCATGAAAACATCACGGCGTAAACCTAAACGTTTGATGCTGAGTCTACGAAGCATCCCCAGCGGACGAGTTACTTTGGCAGCCATGTTTTCTATATGTGGACTTCAATTAAGTTTTAAATACTTAACAGATTCTACCTGCGAGATAACTTCTTGCTGGTAATGCAAAGTGATATGGACCGGAACACTCAGAGAAAAACAACCATCGCACTTTTTTTGACATTCAGGGATAAATTTATTTTTTCTAACCACGTTTCTAGAGCGTGTATATACGTCTGCAGACTTGATAAAGTGAATGTATACCTGCAGCTGTAGCAAAAAACGCGATATTGTCGGCATATACATACGTTTGCACGTCCATCTGTTTAGGAATAGTGCATAGTAAAATGTTAAATAACAGTGGCGATAACACTGATCCTTGTGGGAGACGTCTAGTTTGTTTGTGCCTTAGAGAGGACAAACCAGATTGAGAACAGTAAAAATTCCCTGCCGTTTAAGAAGGAATCTACCCATGCTACGAAGTATTGTGGTAGACCTGCGTTTTTAAGTGATTTAATTAGTTTTGAATGTTCCACGCTGTCATAAGCTTTTGTGATGTCTAGGGTTACTAAGGCAGTATATTGTTTCTTATAATGGGAAAGCTGTATTCTATTTTATAAATCGACATGGGCACACCAAATTCAGCAACCACACCTGAAGCCAATTCGACATGGGCTCAAGACCATGTTTTCATCCAACCTAATGCGCAAGATCCTTTGCACTTTTTTTTACATTAAGTGATAAATTTATTTCTTCTAATTACGTTTCTAGAGCGTTCATATACATCTGCATACTTCGATAAAGTGAATGTATACCTGCAGCTGTAGCAAAAAAAAGCGATTTCGTCGGCATATACATACACTTGCACGTTCATCTGTACAGGAATAGCGCATAGTAAAATATTAAATAACAGTGGCGATAACAGTGTTCCTTGTGGGAGACGTCTAGTTTGTTTATCTACGGACGCAAAATTGTTTATCTACATACGCACCAATAGAAGTTTGTTTTTAAGTTTATACAATACCACACAAAGCGTATACTTGCTATTCTGCACTAACGCCATTCATACCTTTAGCTCCCGTTGTTCAATAATGAAGAGTACACATTAAGTATGTCAGGAGACGTGGACTGCGACTCGGCAAGCACACAGGAAAAGTATGGTAGCAGATAAATTCAATAATTTTATTGCAGAAGGAAATTTTCTCGCCTAGAATTTCGTCGCATTCTTTGTATTAAGTATAGGGCATCGAGGCCGTATTTTTGTTTTTGTTTTTCATTTGGCCAGCTGTACTTGATCTTCTTCTTACGCGGCAGCTTCAGCGGCAGCCTTCGCAGCCTCCTCGTTCTTTTTATCGACCTGCTCCCTGAGGCTTTTAAGACGACTCAGCAGAGTTTCGTATTGGTACTTCGACACTACCCTGGTGTACGGGTCTTTCATCTGCCTGTCCGTCAGATGGAGCTTGGTCGAGACGGCGTATTCGTACTTGTCGTATGACTCGAGGAACAACTTCAGAATCTGGCTGCTCAGGGAAGGAGGGCATTTGATGGTCTCCTTGAGGCAGGCCTCGACTTGGTCGCACACGGCGACCCTCATTGTCTCGTGTCTAATGAGGTCGTTGTATTGGTCCGATGCTCCCGGCGTTTCCTCTGCGCGGAAAACCCTCGAAGTACGGCTTCTCGTTCATCATCGACTGCACGCTTACCAGCAAGGTGGACAGCGTTTGGACGGGGCTCCAGGCGGGTCCCGTTGTCGTGCCCAGGATGCTCAGACACACCTCACCGCTCCGGTAGAAGTGCTGGTTGAAGAGCACCCGGCCGGCATCCGTGGTTATGTGTCGCACCCGTGGTGGACTCATCGGGTAGTCGGTTGGAAACTTGAGAAAGAATTGGAAGAAGCCCCCCTCGTACGGCGTCCCCACGGGGCCCGCGATGATGGCGTGCACCTTGGAGATGTTATTCTCTTCAGCCGCAACGAAGATGCCCGGTGGAGGATTTGCGTTGAACTCGGCCAGGTCCCGTTTCACCCTAACCGTGCACTGCTCGGACGGCTGCTCGTGGGCGAAGATGAGCGGGTCCCAGTTGTTCGGGGCCATTGGCGTCGTCCTCAAAAATTTTGGTTCGAGAGGTGATCGAATGGGGGAATTTCGACGCGGCCGAGGAACACGAGCCTCGGGTTCTTTTGCCTTCTCTTCTTCTTGTATTCTGATGGTATGGCCATGCATGGAGACCAAGGTGGTTGAGTGAATCTAGTAAAGCTGGATTTCACGCGTCGGAAGAAGTAGCAATTCGATCCCTAGAATCGTGCACGTCACCATACGCCACCCGTTACTGCGCTCCTCCTCCGGTCTGACGGGAGCGATTCGTCAAACTATAGTGCCTAGAATATACTGGTATATTCTTGGCACTATAGTGAAACGGCGGAGTCCAAAATCGCAGTGGTTTCAGTTATCATTTTTGGCGAAACGTACAAAATCCTGGTGGCGAAACGTCTTCTGTTGGCAACCGTGGTTATTTCCAAGCAATGCCTCCTATTTTTAATGAAAGTCGCTTGTGCCATCGCTGGCGAATATAATGAACTGGCGAGTAGATACTCATCGACAACTTTTCTTGGCATTGAAGGGAAACCTAAGGGGGCGGAGCTTCCACACACGCAGCCCTTCGCGAAGTAGTCCGATTACGCACGCGTCTCGTAACGCTGTGGAAAGTGACAGGGGCGTACCATCGGCGTTTCGTGTAGATACAGACGCCGCTTTGAGTTTGAGGTACCTTAGAAACGTGGTACTTTCCCACACATATGTAAACGCTGTAAAGTGAAATAAATACAACTGCCTGGATTGTATTTGCTGCGTTCCATCTAAAATAGCTCCACGTAAAAAAAATAAAGAACTTTTAAATGCGAATGCATTTATCAGTCGGGCTATGTCAGGCATCCATCGGGATCCGTCCACCGTTATCTCCCATAGCAACAGCTGCTGCCGCGGGCGCCCCTAGCAAACGGGTTCCCTACCATGTCACGCTTCGGTGTCGGCAGCTGCCAGCCATAGAGTTTCCTAGTATACACTAGAGGGAACTTTGGCGCTAGTGTCTACGGGAGCTGGAACACGTGGCAGTTCAGCCAGCATAGGAATGATGGGTAGTACCCACATTTGTCTAATCTTCGTACTTCTTGCCTGCTTTTGGCTCCATGTGTGTTCGTGTGGCTTAGACCTGTTTTTTTTTTATTTTACGAAAGAATAAATTAGCAACTGTTCAGCGTTTGCGCTTCACAACCTTATTTTTTTAGGCTTACCATTTTGAATCGGGTCACAAAGCCCAAAAGGATACGTTCTTTCCTTCAAAACAAACCGTAACCAGAAATAAACGAAGCCGCAAGTACAATTCGCCTCCCGCAAGTACGAAGACTAGGCAAATGTGTGTACTACTAGAGAGGCTGGACTACTAGAGAGGCTGGAAATGTGTGTACTACTAGAGAGGCTAGAGAGGCTGTGTACTACTAGAGAGGCTGGAACTAGAGAGGCTGGAAGCGTTCTAGCCTCTGTAGTACTACCCATCATTCCCATGGTCGCTGAATGATCGCAGCCTCAGAGTCACCTCTAGTTAATTTTAAGAAACTGTATGATTGGGGACGCGAGCATGCGTCTCTTTTCTGCGTGCTCCTAACGGCGAGTGTCAGAAACTTTGAGACGAGGCAGTGTGAGCAACGCAGCTCCCCCTGGTCAGTGAGCGCTGGCAGTTGCCACCGCCTAAATGCAGTGCATTTAAAACGTGTTTGTAACATTTGTGCTGCCAGCGTTTGTGTGGCGTTTGTGTTGATAGAACGCTGACGTTATGACCGTCAGGTAGAATTACAGGAGCAGTGTTTCGCCTCTCCTTCTCTCGCTGTACACTCTCTCTCCTTCCTGCGCCCACTTTCTCGTCCGCTCACGCCTCACTCTAGACTGTTCTCTGGCTGGGTGCCTCTCAAGAACATCGAAGATGTTTGCTCGAGACACCGCTGGGAAACGCCAACACCGACGAGCAGAGAACGCTGTTTGTTTTGCTCACTTCATAGTATTTTTTAACCGTGAACGCTATATAGCTACTAGAGCTGGAAACGCATACCGCGTTTCTCGCGATAAAAAAACGTCACGAGCAGTGAACGGCGCTATCGGCTGCACGCAGTTTAAAAAAAAAACATTCTTTTTACGCTGGGTTCTCACGTGCGAGCGCCGTTATAGACGCTACGCAATGCACTTGCATTTACTCACGATTCTCTTCGAGGATGTGGGAGATTCTTAAGGGGCGAAGCCGTTGTATTAGTGTGTAACAAGTATAACGTTCCGACCTCCAAGGTGGTGCCGGTGAGAAATTTCTTCTGTGCATTGTTGAACAAAAAAGATAATGCTCAATGTACGTACCAATGGCGGCTAAGGGGGAATGAGAGACAGGAAATTTTGGCTTTTATTTAAAGCGCACGCTGCAATTTTTTTATTGTTCAACAACGCACAGAAGACAAGAAAGGGTTGCTACGTTATACTCGCGTTATAAGGTTTTAGAAAGGTTTAGCGAGCGTTGGGCCGCAGTGCCATGAATACAGTGAACTAATATATACCATGAACTCGAGGTGATTAAAGGTGGGAAGTAGACACGAAGCGCAAGCCGTAAGAAAGTGTGCGTGTGCCTCCCCTCATTCAGTCCTTGGAATGTCCGCTAGATGGCGGTGCCTCTATATGAGGAATAGGGAGCCTACATGAACGGCCGTTTTTAGGGTGGAGACATCTTAATAAGTGCCTTCAAGAAACTCAGCCAAAACCAGCGGGCAACGGGGCACGCTGTTGCCAGCTTCCACCAAATTCAGCATAGTTATCTGTGCGCCGCCATTTTCTAGCCAGCCGCCGACCGAGCATGTATACCTACGTACGGCGTCGGTGCCCAGCCCTTGTAACAACACACAACACCTGGGCTTTTGACAGCGGTGGTTCTCAGGGTCGTGTAAGCGACCCAGTTCTCAAAGTGAGCGCACGAAGAAATTCGCAGCCCACACACGAACACTTGCGACATAATACTGAGGTTACGCTGACACGAACGCAAGCGTGGCAACAGCTCAGACTAGCGAGTGCGTCTCCGTACGAACGCGCGGACGCGTCCCATTTGTGGGCTTCCTACTCGCAATGCGTGGACGCAGCAACGACAACTTCGGTTATCTACTCATTCGCGAACACCGCGAAACACATATACGTGTGCCGCAGGAAAAAACAGGGAACGAAATACGCAATACTCACAGAGCAAACACGAGACGCACTGGTGGGCTCCCAGCCGTCTCGCTTCACTTGAGCCAGTCATAGTTGTCGTCGGCCAGGGCTCGCTGGGAAGCGGAACATTCGCACCCCCTTTCTGTTGTGGTTAGTGCAGAGCGGTACGCAGCATCCAGGCATTCTAAGGCTTCACCGGCAGCGTTTAACACGCTACCGCAACGTTCGACGCTGTATTATTGAGAACTAAACGCAACCGGACGTAGAATCAGTGCGGGCACCAAGATGGGGCGACAGCGTGGCGTTGCTGTCTGGCAACATTGTGTTTTGGCGGGCGGCGGTGCGTTGGCGGCATGTAGTGGGTCAAAGGCTGACATCACCCTAAAAACAGCCGTTCAGGTAGGCTCCCTAATGAGGAATAGAGTTACTGTAAATGCTACCTTTAGGTAGCATATATAGGTAGCATATAGCAAAAGGTAGCATATATAGTAACTCTAGTAGCAAAAGGTAGCATATATAGTAACTCTAATGAAGAATATATGAGGAAAAGATGCGAGATGGTGGTACTTGGAGTGTTGAATAGGTGGACGAACGGACACACTGACAGATGCATGGACGGACGCACGGATGGCTGCACGGACGGATGTACGGACGCAGGAGTGGATGCATAGACAAAAGCAGGGACGGACGCACAGATGAACGTGCGGACGCACGAACGGGCGGATGGACGCACGGACGGCCACACAGACGCACGCGTGGATGGACGGAAGCAAGAACGAATGGACGGATGGATGCTTCGCCCCACTATACACCATTCACTCCGTGGATATGCTGCCATTTTTTTTATATTTCAGTTTGGAAATAAGAGTTCTATTGTGGAATTACATCGGGTGTATTAAGATAAGTGAACATAGTATAAATACCGCTTGCAAGTTAGTGTAAACTTACACACTTTTTTTTTCTTTTAAATAAGCCACGATAACCGAGTGATGATGATAACCACGGCACGTTCACGTCGGTCCGCCCATCTCCTCTCCTTACTAAATAGGCTGACTGATATCCAGTGACTCCAAAAAAAAAAAAAAAGAAGGGAAACAAAAAGTATTCGGCAAAATTACTAATAAACTCGGATATATCTGCATCCCACTGCATAAAAACGGCAGGCTGGCACGCAAGGCGCGGTACACTCGCAGCAAAAGCCATAGTAGAAGAGCGGCCTTTCAGAGCCCTTCCTGAACACTCATTTGGTAACTGCTGCAAACACACTTGCTGGGTACCCACTACGGCAATAAAACAGGTAAATACGAGAACGAAGAGAAATCTGCAAGACTTAGCAACAGACAGATACACGTAGTGGCCAGTCACCACCACTGTCTCTTTGCATTGCGCCTCAAGCGCCGACTACGCTTTTTCTATTAAAGCGTATATCGTAGTAAGAATGTCACTATGTAGCCTAACAATTGAGGGTTTATCGTGACATACTACGATTGAGGCAAGCAACGCTGTTGTTCTTGCATTTTATTTTTGTTTTACAGTGCTCAATGTTCGAGGAACACACACCGCACGCACGTCGTACCATTCAAGAACAGCTGCAGCGTGGCCCACTGCTTTCTGACCGTCTCGCATGTGTGCTGCAGTGTCCTCTTTAAGTAGCCAAATTTCAATTAGCCTAATTAAGTTATCAGCCAAAACAATGTGGAAGAGCGGAGAAAAAATAAAGATGTGGGTCATCTAGTACTTGTACTGTGTCGCTTCCGCTGTCTTGAGAAGCTTGTACCAAAAATGCATTTGTTCCTTGCTGTCGCACGTTCCACGAACGAAGTCCTCGTATCTGCACATGGGCAACAAAAAGAATTTTAAAGAAATACTCGTCGCAAAAAAAGCATAAAAAGTGCACCCGGCTTTGTTTCGGTAAAGCCGTCGAAAAAGCCGACCTGATGCCGCCACCCAAACACTCATCGCCTCTTTATGTGCAAGTCTTTTCTGGTACATTTTATAAGTATTTTCCAGTTATTCTTTTGTTGTATCGTTTATTTTTATTTGGCTATGGGGTAGGGAGCCCGAGTACTCATGGCTGTCTTGGAAGAGCAAACGCACAAGGCACCCACCTTCATTCTCTCTAGCCAGCGTCTCCTCTATGCTTAGACGCTTTCTGCCGAGCATCACCCTGGCCAAGGGAGATGATTCTACTCAATAGCTCCACACGAGGAACAGCGAACTCTGGTCCAGCGGACTCGGGTGGCGGCTTCGACTAATGACGTCCCGGACTAGGGATGTCGACCAGCCCGGTGGGGAAAAGGGCTATATGTCAGCTTCAATAAAGGTTTTTTTTTTCCTCCTCCTCCACCCTGGCGGCACCAGGAGTGCCTCTCAATGACTCACCCGCTCCACAGGAAATCATTCTTGCTACTTTAATTACATAACTTCGACGCAGTGCTTATCTGGAATGCACTAACAAAAGCCACAGGGACTACAGCAGGCAGAGTACGTCGCCTTACGTCAAGCGCTGGTAAGTTAGGATCACAATAACATGAAACATACCAGCTACCCGGCATTCGCTAGTCTGTCAGAACCCTTTCTCACGTGTGGTGAAGATGAATTAACCCATACGAAATTGCGCACGTTTATATGCAGCAAACTGGCTCATGTAATTTTTTTACAGCTATACGTACTTGCCGTCGGGCACGCAGTCGAGTTGCATGAGAACATTGACGAGGCACTGGAACAGCTCGTCCTCTCCCTTGGCTAAGCTAATGTAGCTCATGGCCGCCCTGGAGGGGTCCGTCATGCCGAGCACCCAGCGGAGCAGTTCCGTGCGCTCCTTGCTTGGCTCTAAGAAGACGCGCTTGACGTCTTCGTTGTCCTCGCGCAGCTCCAGCGCATCCAGCAGCACGGATACATTGCGGCACTTGGCAAGATCGGACATGTCTCCAGATCCACTCGCCATGAGCTCGGCGGACGCTTCGATGGGCTCTAAGGGAAGTAGAAAGTAATTGAAAAGGTCACACATACGTGCTTCAGAACTAACCGTGCGAGTTCTGGCTGGACTTGCTACTCACAGTCGCCTACTGTAAGTGCGATACTTTCAGCGGTGTGAAAAGCGACGCGATGGAACGCACCGATGGAAGCAAGGCGACTCTACCTTCTTGAGAGAAAGGTGACGGAACCAACGGAACCTCTGCGAATGAAACGCGGCGGGGTATCTGTTGCGCGAGCTTCGCGTTCGCACGCGCCCAGCGCGAAGTGCAACAGTGAAAAAACAATAATAAAATGAATCAATTAAGAAGTTTCGGCATTAATTATATCGCAAAAATACACCGCGACAGTGAACTTCACGTATTTTACTCACATGTGCGAGTTATTTGAAACAGTCACCTGAAAGCGAAACTGAAACTGAAACTAAACACTAAATGAGGCATTGGCTAAACACGTTAGTTGCCAGTGGCGTCGCTGAAGTCGCTTGTCTCGACTTCCACGAGGCGGGTAAATTGATTTAAAATACTGAGCGCTGGCATGCAACCGTCGTGACCAAAAGTGAATCTTCCCGACGCTTCTTCCGGAATCGCAACTCTCCACAAACAACAACAAGCGCCGCAAATCACTTCCAACAACGTTTTTTTTTGTGTGTGTGTTCAAGCGTCAGTGCGTATCCTCCGCGGCATGCAGGTCGAGCAGTTTTATGGTTGCTACCTGCTCTACTGCACTAATCCCAAGTACAAGGGGCACACTTACATTGGATTCACAGTGGACCCAAACCGACGGATTAAGCAACATAATAAAGGATTCAAGGCAGGTGGAGCGTGGCGCACCAGCCGGAAAGGACCATGGTGAGATGTGTTCCGCAAAATATTTCCATAGTCTGTTGCCGTTGTATATGACATAATGTCACCATGACCTTGACGTATCCCCAGTCAACCGCTTCAATTGCGTTGTTGCTTGAGTTAATACGTGTTTTGGCTTGGTGGCATAAATGCCTTAGGCACGTTGTAACTTATGCGTTCATCGGGCAGGACTAGGCGATGTTAACTACGTGTCACTTTGTCTCGGTGCTTACCAGGGACAACGACAAAGTTGACATGTCCATGCACCAAATCACAAGCATGGGTACTGTTATATTTCTGATCTGTAATGCTCGTCTCACACGTCGGCACATTTGATCACGATCAAATAGTAACAACAGCAAAACTAGTGATGTCCATCATACCAGCATTCTCAGACACGCTCTGCACTTCACGACCTCATGCGCTGTACGAGGTCGTGGAACATTCTACAATGTTATTAAAGGCAATCAACCTGAGAGTTAGCTTTAAGTTGTGGTAAGCTCAGCATCCTTTGCAAGCTAACATACAAAAGATGCCACATATTGTCAGCAATTAAAACAGTCCAGGAAAATTATAACTACACTTTGTCATTCATGTTGTTCATGATCCTATTACCTTATTAGTTATCACAGGATCTTGTTTAGTGTCATGTAACTGCATAGTTTGTGAACTATATTTCAAGGTTTGTTTTATCTCTGCTAATCAAAATGAGAACTCGTTGCTGTAATATAAATATTGTAGGAGTGCAAAGTTGGGAAGTTTTTCTGACTTGATGTTGCATTTCTATCATTTCAGGGACATGGCATTGATTGTACACGGTTTCCCAAATGAGATATCTGCCCTGCGAGTATGTCTCTTTACATCTCGTGCGTTTTCCCACAGAATGTAAATGTATCATTATGGCGAAGCTCAAAACTGCTCTCGTCTTCGAAGCAACACATGCACATTTGAAGTCTGTGCAAACTACAGACGAGATTGGGAATCAGTCTTTAATTGGATCTTTTAAAACTACTTTGGGACATTTCATTATCAGAGCTGTTGCATTAATTACTACATAAAGCTTGTTAACTTGAGCTTAGTTAATTCGCAATTACTCTTAATTCGAATGGACTCCCTGGTCCAGGCACAGCCCTGTGTACTTCTACAAGGGGAAACTCCTAATAATTCATGAGTCAATATTCTCAATGGTTAATTTGAACTGGGAGCCCCAGGTTTTTATCGCTCTTCACAGAAGTCGGCCTAGAGTGATCAAAATGTGTTGCAAAGCCAAACCAAACCAAATTTACTGGAAGTGAAAAACAACGAAACAGCAGCTTTTCTGAAGCACATTGGAATTCGGATGCCAAGCTGGTGCTCTTAGGCAAGCTTCAAACAATGTTCATGGAGTCACGACAAGAGAAACAATACTCAAATTACTGATAACTTTTAATTTTGATTGTTAGCTCTGTCTCTAAATAAACATTTTCGCAGCATAAATAGCATCATATATTAAGGATCACTGCTCATATGAATCCATATTTCTGGTGTATCACTGGCTGATAAATTAATTCTTTCTGTTGTTCGGGCTCAACGAATGTAATTCATGAAATTGCCTGCCACAAACATTGTTCCCAATTCACATAACGAGCCAAGAGGTAGCTTTTTGGGTTCTGCCTGCGTAGTTTGGCATAATCCTAATTCATTCTAGGGCCTACCCACTATTTTAAAGTCCTCTCAATGCGAACACTTTTATAGTGTCCCTCCATTTCGATTTAAGGAGCTCTTACTGTATTTTTCACTTGTGGTCGCCACTTTCATCTTTCAATCTTTCCATCCGATTTCATTATGTTAGCATGTATCACCATGCAAAGTACTCACGGATTCAAATGCAACATCACAAAATTTAGTATACTACTGGTATGCCCAATCACTCGAAGTAACTGCGTCATGTACCTACGAATATAGCTGCAAAAGCTAATGTTAACTTTGATGTCTATTCTAGAGTAAAAGTTACATCGATACAACACGAACTAAAGATGCTGAAAATTAAGTTTGTGCATTCTTAGCCCTAAATTGTCATGTTTTAATCCATAAGCACATGGAAGAAAGAAGAGAAGATCTATTTTGACTGATGTGTTCAGCATAAATGCATCATCACTACTACATCTCAGTTTTTTCTTCTATTGCATAGAACCTATCGCTATGTGCCAATAACCGATATGCATATACAAAACTAAGCAAACTGTACATGCAAACTTGAATGCTCTAGCTTAATATTTCTACCAGTGACTACAGAAATAAATGCACATTGTAATTGCCCATCTCATAATCGCACTACTGATCGCACATCATGTTTCTTTCCAAACTGCAGTTTGAATGGGCTTGGCAGCACCCAGACCGATCTCGCCGTCTCAGCCATGTCGGAAAGAAGCTTCGCACAGAAACCCGTTTTGCATATGCCTTCAGGGTGGTCTGTCATATGCTCAGGGCTGTCCCATGGGTTAGGCTACCCCTTACAATACAATGGCTCATCGAGCACTATCAGCTAGACTTTCAGGTGAGATCAAAAACTCTTTGCACAGGTTCAACCGACTGAGTTCCTGCAAATAGATGCGGCTCAACTTTAAGTGGCTCGGCTTAGTTAAAAAATATGTGAGTGGTATTTCACGAGTAAGAAAAATAGACTGACAAGATGAAAATAGAGTTACAATAAAAAAACAGTACAGACCCTCCTTACATGCGAGCTGAAGGACTGCAAAGTCAGTCTCAGAAGTTATGAACAAGTATGAGTTATGCATATCAATAACATGAAGTCAAAGCAGAGAACAACATTGCATGTATGCTTCCCAGATGACCATTTTGATTTCTTAGTTGTCCGAAAGCAATGTCTTCTTTGATGTGTGCCTCAGCTTGCTTAAAAGCTTTTGCAATCGTGATTCTTTTGGCATGTGCACAGTAGTATGCTGTGAAGATGTCCCATACCAAAAGCACAGTGACCGGATTAAAATGCTTGGGGGCATAACATCATCACGTAATGGCAGTTGCAAATTATAATCCTGCATGTTAGCAGCTGACATCATGTCAGGAAACACAAGAAGCTGTGCAATAATGCACCACACGACCCATGCTGACTATCGTGTCGCGCTTATGGCTAGCACACACCACTATTGAACGAGTGAGGGATTCAATTATTAATGGTGGTGAAGATTTAATAATTGTAATAATCTTCTCCTTGCCAGTGCATGTGTGGAACGTGTAATGTCATTACTATCAGAATTGTAATTGCCTTATGCCGTCATTTTATGCAATGCTTGTTTATGTTGACTGCTTTTTCTGCGTCTTTGTAATTACTGCACCCATGTGGAACTCGGCCCCTTTTAAGTACCACCTTTGAGCCCTCGAAAAGAAAATCAGTAATGTGAAAGAAAGGAAGTGACGGTGGCTTGTGGGACATGCAATGCCAATATAATCCTGGCAATCTAGGTGCCTCAGTGGCTAGTGAATGAAATTGATGTTTCTCTTTTTTTTTTTTCAGGAGCGCATGTAAGATTCACTGTCTGGTGTTTTGTGCTGTACCCAGAATAAGCCTATGATAAAGTCTACCTTTGCTTCCAGCTACTCAGGAAAGCTTTCTTGGTTTCTTTTCCTGCAATTAGCAGTCGTACCTATAATTTGTTTAAGTTCACGTTAATGTATTGCTCATCTCTAAAGCTTTTGAGAGGTGTGGAAGCAGCAAACAATATCAGAACAAGTTCGTTCATCAGCAGTTCTCCGGTACCGTTACAGCCGGACTTGCGACCACCCCTTCACATGGCCATAGCGTACGGACCTGTCAAGGCCATTCGTGCTTCCGCCATGCGTGAACCTGTTGACATTGCCCTCACAACGGGAGCCTGTGCCGTGTGCGGTGAGCCGCTGGAGGGCACGAGAAGCCTAATGGAGTGCCCGTACACCGAGTGTATCGCCGTTTCTCATCTTTGCTGTCTTGCTGGACTGTTCCTCAAAAATGAGCGTAATCAGACGATACCAGTGGGTGGCAATTGCCTCGACTGCTGCAACTGGTTGCTCTGGGGTGACCTGGTGCGGCACAACAGATGCAACTACGCCAAATCGTCGGCTGCCCGCATTGCACAGAGTGATGGATGCTGATTCGAGGCAGGCCTAATTCTTAACTCACTTCCTGGGTGAAGTGTGATGTACACTCAAACCTCATTTTGATGAAGTTGCATCTCACATGCAAGTAAGTTCACTATATTCGAAAATTTGTTGTAAAAATATATTCTTAGCACTATATATAGGGTGTTTCAAGAAATCTGTCAAACATTCTTAAATCAGGAAGAGGCGCTGTTTGCTCTCTTTCTGCACAGTTGTTTTTTATGTTACGGCAGGCATCTTAAAAGGATTGAATACATCATTTGTAACAGCAATTAGAAGAGTTAAATACTTAACATTTTGATTAGTCAAGCTAGGTAGTAGAGTCAAATGGCAGAATTCACGTCCTTCACGCGAAAAACCATTAGTGCTTTGAGATTTCAGGAAAGTGGCCTCTAAGTAATAACTGCGAATTAATGAATTTCTCCTAAAGTCTGCGGGGAAACGGAAACCAAACGCCAAAAAGCGCGACTGCAATATTTGTCTGAGACGTCCGAAATGAGGGAGCGCTGTTATATCAACCATCAACCAACTTTGTTATGCAGGTGTGCGGGCTGCAATGGTAACTACAGCACGCATGATGCACATACATTAACGAAAGGGAAGAACTGCACCCTTATAACTGCTGTTTTGAACAGTGATGTCATTGTAGTCATTTGCTTGTTACAATAACCGGTCCTTTGGTTTCACCACAGAATTTAGAAGAATCTCATTAACTCGCAGTTACTACTAGTGATCGTTCTTCCAAAATATGGAAGCGGCAATTGGTTACAATACTGATTGTTGGCCTAGTTGGTACATGCTTACTGACATGCTTAGGCCGCAAATAACACACACACAAAGTAAGGAAACACTCAACATGTACAAGCCGCTTGTGCTTGTCGTTGAGTGTTTTTTTACTTTCTGTGTGTGTTATTTGCGGCCAAAGCATGTTGGCAATTGGTTCTCTGCATGAAGGAATCCAATTGTCCTAACTCCACTAATTAAAAAGATAATTAATTTAATTTTTCTTATTACTGTTTCGAAGGACGTCTTCAAACCTCTCAAGATGACTACCGCTACAGAAAAAGCAACTGTGAAGGCAGCAAGTGAATAGCGCCTTGTGCGAATTTTTAAAGAATATTGGACACCTTTTTTGGAATGCCCAGTATATTGTAATAGCGTTCATAATTTACTTTATTATAACCTGTATTTCGTTATATCTGGGTTCGTTGTATCGGGGTGTGAGTGTATTTCAGCTTAGAAGTGTGGCAGCTTGGGCTAGTTGGTATGGCATGACGATAGTTATAGCGCAAGAACAAAACGGCAACACAGAGACATTCGTGTCCTTCTTGTCTCTGTGTCGCCGTTTTGTTCTAGCACTATAACTATCGTCATGTATTCCACCCTTGCAAGTATGGAATGCAGAAATGAGACATTGCGTCTCTGCTGACAGTTTGCTTACAATGCACTTGAATGCTGTGAAATCATGTCACGCTTCATCCGTTCACTAAATCAGCAGTTTTGTTTGCGTGCAAGTGTACTGTTAGCGCTGTCATTCTGCGACCTGTTTTACAATGGCCACGGTCAAGTATCTTTGGTAAAACGGTTTTAGCTAGCACTGAAGTGACCAATCAATTTTTTGTTTTTGTATCATTACTGTTACAGCATACTTACATATCTCAGATTTCAGATTTTTTTATTGAAACAATTTTAATAGACTGGAAAGTACAGGTGATGTTTCACGTGTCGCTCTATAGATGATAATTTTTATGCGTTTATATAGGTCGCAACTGTTTATATATATATATATATATATGTGTGTGTGTGTGTGTGTGTGTGTGTGTGTGTGTGTGTGTGTGTGTGTGTGTGTCTGCGTGCGTGTGTGTGTTACGCCACCTTTTAGCAAAGAATTTTAGTATTCTAAAGAAATGCGATTTTGACATGTCCCATTGAGTTACTGCTGTGCGAATCTCACTTCCTAGAATCCAGTGGTTTCTATGTGCACTCAAATGCCACTGAAGAAGACAGTGCTCTATCGGTGCACAGAACAAGAATTAAGGCAGGTATGGCAATGCTAGCTGCATCTGGCAACGGGCGCACGATGCATTCATTCTTTCCTTTTCAGCTTGTGGAGTGTCATGCATGATTAAACGAAACACTTGTGAGCACATTTAGCCCTACCTAATGGGACCAAGCGACAGAAAACCTCTTGACTCTAATTGTTTCTAGCTCCGTGTACATTAATTAAGAATGTTACCTATTGGTAGTGAGCCAAACTCCTTCTATACCTTGGCGTGTTCCTTTGTGTGCGTAGTTGGATTATCTAGTGCTTTATTTGTCGTCATTACACGCAGTTGAGTCACTGCTGCAGCTGGTGACACTGTGAGCACACAATGCCTGTTCTTGTGATTTCCAAAACAATACGAGTAGAAAATTGGAACACACCCTTGTGCATGGAGATGGAATAAATGCGCTACTTTTTGTCTGAGCTGCTGTCATCAATAATTGTGCATAGGACCCAACATTTTATCACTTGCATGTGAATAAAAGCAAGGCAAAGGACTCGCAGCGAAACGAACTTGAACAGGCCCCACAACACTTTTTGAAATTTATAATAAATTCTCGAAGGTAGCTAGAAATTGCTTTCTCTTTTATCCACAAATGAAGTGAAAGGCTCAAAATCACTACATCCCAGGCCTAGCATCAGCCATTGGCCGATTTAAGCAAGGCACTTTCGGTCAGCACTGGCACTGCTGCGCGAGGCCACGACTTGCCTGGGTGAGTGTGCGGGCGATTGACTGAAAAGCCGCGCATTCCAGGAAAAAATATATATACTATAGAAATAGTGCTCCAGGTCAGGGGATGCAATTTCTTCACCTGCACCATGCCTCCTTGCCTAGCTTCCAGCGCTTTCGTCGGTACGAAAGAATGTAATTAGAGCGTGCGACAGATCTTCCCAACTCTGCTCATACTGGATGGATGCTGAAAATTTTTGCGCTGGTGAATTCGTGAGGCAAAAAGCTCCTTTAGTGAATCTTTACCACGGCTATTTGCAAAGGAGTTACAGGGCCCTTTTAGTGTCAACAGTGCCCAATAATGTGATCATAGGAGTAATTGCTGGGGTTTTAACATTCCAAAACTACAATATGATAATGAGAGACGCTGTAACAGATGGCTCTGAAAATTCCAGCCACCTGGGGTTCTTTAGTGTGCAGCCAACATTGCCCGATAGCGAAAAACATTATCCTAATGTCCGAAGATGTGAAGCAGTCTTCATCGGGGGCCGCTTCCCTGGGCAGTACTATCTATATACAGATCTTTTGGTCTAGAGCCACAGGCACCTGTAATGCTGTATGTCGAATATGCTACCTCGTGCACACTTGCTTGATGCCAAAATTGTCAAATCACTCCAGAGGATGAATTTCTCTCGTAGTACAAAAGCTATCATTAACATGTGATATGAAGTACTGCAATATATCCTGCACATCTGGTGCATTCCGATACATAGTCGTAGAAACACTGCAGACTTCATGCTATACAGTAAATTGCTTGCATATTTTTGTTATGTTAACGTTACACAAAACTAGCAAAGAAAAAAAAAATGCAGAAAAAAACCAGCGACATGTCGGTTTCAGCGAGTCACGACTTCTCAAAACAGTACAAAATGGTTTATTTGTCCGTGAGCATCCATTTCTTCTGCTGTATCCCATTGTTTTAACTCATAACTAGAGGGCAGCATTGCGAGTGAGTCAGCACACTTACATGTTTGCACACACAGACATTAGTAGTAAATATTGCAAAAATAGTTTCACTTTTTTTTTTGCAGCGAAACCTGCAATGAGATCACAACAATGATCGTTTTTCACGGCTGCTGCTGCCAGTGTCTATAATGACTAGTGCATTAAATTATAAAAAAAAATGAAATAAAAAATAAAGCATAGAGAATATGACATGAATTCTGGTCGGATTGCGTAACGAGTGGGTCGTCGAATGCTTCCAACCCGTTACATAAGACTCAGCCGTAATTCCTCGTCAGCCACAGTGCCAAAAAAGTGTACGTAATGCTTTACAAGTGTCTCCCAGCTACCACACTGCTCCAAAGAACAAATAACTGCGCAGTGGGTGTTTCTCTACTTCATGAAGATTATGATGACTTGTGGCCAATCCGGGGCCATGCAAGTGTACCTGCAGAATTTACACGAAGAGTGTTTAAAAAAAAGGCTCTATAAAAGCTGCTCTGCCAGCTTTAGCTGTGACTGCTGCATATTATGCGCAGGCCTAGCAATGCATGGACTTTGCAGCCGTTTTTGCTCCCGACACAGAACGAATTTGGAATCTGCCAGGTTTGTTCTCGCAGTCATGCAGCTTGGACCACGCTGACGCATTTTTGTACACCCCACTCCACCACATTGAAATGCGACATATCAGAAAGATTCTTGCATTTCATGGCGACACGGTTCACCTCTTCCTGGTTGCATTCAAGGCCTTGTGTTTAGCTTTAGTGGCCTAAATATATTGTTAGCTAAATATGTTGTTGCTAGCTACGTAGCAATATGTTCCTTAACTTTGCTTCATCACGTCCATAGCCGTACATGAAGTGTGTCTTTTGTGGGGCCGAAGCATACAGTTATTTGAAGACATACTAAAGCGAAGGTTTAGCTAGTGCGACAGGGGATACAAGCAATTCATGATTCAAGAAGCAAACAATATGTGCAACACGTTGCATTTCTCGCACTATACAGTCGTCTGCAATCACAGGAAAGCCGATGGGACACGTTAGAAATAGCACTGCTTGATTTAGATGCAGGCTTTACTTGGTAACATTAATTTGACCCAGACTGATAGAGAGGATGAAGTGACTGTCTTGTGAAGGTCAATAGAAATTTATGCTAAACACGTTCCTTTCTCTCCTTCTACAGGGGGGGATGAGGGGGGGACCCTGTAAGCCGGCTTTAATAGCAGTTTTCTCTGATAGCCTCCTCATTAAGACCTCTATAACTGCATAGACTGTAGCTTAAAATAAAAACATTCAATGGAGCCACTGGTACATTTACAGCACCAGGCACAGTTGAAGTGCAGTGCTGTAAACCTATATCGAACTTCAGCGAATTCTTCGTCGCATTAATCTGTAACTCCTTCGTGATATCCCTTCTTTTCCTTCGGTAAATGCCGCTGCGATATCAGAACCTTAAGGTAACCACATATTTCAAGCGGCACATAGCTATTGGTGTACTAAAGAAGTTAAAATTTAGTTAAATTTTTCTAGATGTTAGAATGATGCTACAATGCTTTATAGTGCATTCTGTTTTTCTCTGCTTTCCCGCTGTTGTATGTACGAACGGTTACTCGTGTATGGCTGAGTGACGTTACATGTGTTAGCATCTCTTTCATTTCTCCATTCACTGCTCTAAATGCATTTCTATATTTTGTATGTACAAATGCGTAAAAAGAAAAAAACATGTCTGCGCTTGTGTGGTCTTGGCTAGATCAATTCATGTTGTCTACAGTCTGTCAGCTCTGCCTTTCAAGCACAACGAGGCTTTGGCAGGCCAATTTTTGTATTGCATTGTTGCTGTTCCAAAATGTTGAAAAAGTATTATTATTAGGACCATTACGGAAGCCACTAGAACATTCGTGGTCAAGACAAGATAATTAAGAAGTACTGTACCTCACCAGCAGATCAGAAAAATCAGCACAGCACTTCTTGGGCAAAAGTTCGCTGATGCACACAACTAAATTAAAACATAAACAAGGTGTCCAGATAATTACCGCTACATGCAGAACCTAACCCAGCAAGGCTGATATACAGATTAACTGTTTTAACTGCTGGGCTAGTTTGCCAAAGACCCATGGCTTAGCTAAAATATCTAAGAAGTTCTGTACAGATGACAAAAAAAAAATATGTTAATGCAGAAATGTGAATCTATCTGTACGAAGAATGCTCAATTCTTGCATGGGATGCAAAGTACAAACTGAATACCATGAGCATGCAATCTTTAGGCACATTACAACCTAGTGTCTAAAAGAGCAGACACCAAATTTAAAACTCTAGATGGGGCGTTTGATTGCTTGGTATGAATGAGCTACTTTAGCGAAGTATGAATGGCGTGCATTAAGTAGGAGTTATTCTGTTTCAAGGGGAAAAGGCATCCGAAGGCTCAGCAGCGCGTTCCTGGTCATAAGACAGCAACAATATTTTGACGTGTTCAGCGAGCCCCTAGGCCGTGCCTCAAGCGCCGAGTGACAATAAGCTAGCAGCAATGACGTCGAGGGTTTTAGTGTTGTCATTGTCATGTCTACAGCTGGTTGCCGGGCAACGGCTTCACTTGCTTTGTTCGTGTAGCGCGTTCATGTGAATTCTGTGTTTTCGTTGTGCCACTTAGGGTGAGTTGTCGTGGAGTTGTGAGCGCGAATGTGATTACGTAAAGCTACGGTCAAAGTGAGCAAGTAACACACACGCAGTGTTCATGTCTCTTACCAGCCAGTGAGGTTCAAGTGTGCGTCTCCAGCTGCGTCGGCGCTGCTTGATCCGGCGTCGATTTCGAAACCATCGCTCAGAAGAGGATTGAACCGAAAATAATTCGCCATGCTGCAAATCACCATGATTCATATTCCTCAGTGTTTTTATCGTCGCTTGTGTACGGTGATAACAGCGGGAATGACACTGGGGTGGCTAAGACATGCCTATACACATGCGTGCCTAGCAGACGAAATGCCAACTGAAACTCGCATTACCATTTCATGTAGCTACCTGATAAGATAGGACATGGCCACGGGAGTTGGCTGCTTGGCAGTGCGGAAAATTGGCGGGCTTTGCATCCGTTTTGAATTAGACACAATACTGGTCATACTAATTGATATTGCATATATTAATTCATCCCTTTGTTGCATTATTAGTACGGAAGTGTTACTAGGGGATGGATAACCCTGCATTTGCGCAAAGAACGCAACGTGCGTCAAGTTGATGTCACTACTCCTTTGAGCCTTATCTGCACGAACTTCTCTTTTAAGCCCCATCTGCAAGAACATGCTGCGACTAGCAGAACTTAGGTTTATTAAATAAAGGTTTATTTCGATTACCACTATAATTTTCTTTACCTACGAGGTGCAGCCATTGAACAACATTTTACAGCACCCATTGCACAATACACAGTAGTTAGAAGATATTAATACAATTAGCACAGATAGAACAAAACAAATAAATATAAAAAATTTGCAAAACATTAATTCGCTTAATAATTACATCATGTCCTTCAGCTCTGTCCCAAGTGCGACAATCTTCTCTCTCAAAAGCTTTGCTTGGTATCGTTCCATGCACTGTTTCACATATTCTGCGTACTCTTGCTTGCCAGGAGGAAGAAGATCAACAAGCTGCTCCGGCGTCAGCGCTTGGCTCAGGTAAGACAGCGCACCATCCATGATGCTTTTGTAAATGCCCACTTTCTTTTTCTTGCTAGCCGCTTGCAGCTTCATGCTCACAGACGTGTACAGGGAGACCCACTCTCCACTGTCTTCTGGGAACTTGTGCATCATGAATTCCAATACTGCCACCGGATACGAATTGAGGAGCAGCGCAAGTGCCTTGGCGGGAGGCAAGCAAAGGACCTTGAGAGACACATAGTTCTCAGACTCTAAGAGCGATGACTGTTCTAGAAGCTCGAGAACTTGCGGTCGGAGCGAGGCAGGCAGCAGGTCTGAGCACAGGAGTGACTGCATCCGCAGCAGCTCGTCCCAACAGTTGGAACAGATGCAGCACTCAGCGAGGTTTATTGTGGTCGAGTACTGGTTGCAGGTCTTCGTGACTGTCCGCCCCAAGAATGGGGGCAGTTCCATAAGCCAAGATGCTCGGTTCCCAAACAGGGTGGCTGGCTTCGTGTGAACCAGCTGCACCGGCGTCTGCTGGGGACTTCCTGAACCACTGTAGGGTGCCATTTTGCCCACGTAGGCCCTGATGAGTGTCATGAGGAGGTGAGGATATGCCTGGGCATTGGTACGCTTGCTTGAAAGCATAGCTTCCAAGAACTCTCTCAGCATCGGGACACAGTGGGGCTCAGCCTGAGGGCTTGCAGAGTGCTGGAGGATCAGGACAATCTGCTCCGGTGCCATGGTTCCGTTGTTCTTCAGGTGCACCAGCATGGAAAAGTAAACATCGGGCCTGGCGGCCTTGATGAGCTCGCCCAGTGGCGTGAGGACCTGGTTCCTGTGCACAAGCTCGTGCATTTCCAAAAGCACGGGCATCAGGAACTCCTTGGAAAGAGTCTTCAGCATGGCTTTACTTGCCTCAGCATTCCCACTTTGGAGCAGCAACTGCACACATGCCAAGCTGTCCGCAGCTTGGCCCTGACTTTGTCGCCTGTCAAACAAATTTCTCTTCAACAGGGTCAGTGCTTTCTCTGACCTGAAGGCCACAAATGACGTACACAGGACAAGCTTGTGCAAGTATTCTGGACACACTTCCGAGAATATTTCGAGTATAGTGTCTGCTAGGGTGGGCGACATGGACACCAACTTCTTGGTTGACACTACAGCGGATTGCTCACAAACCATTCTGGTGTACTGCGCAACAGTCTTATCCAAGTGAGCTTTGTTTACAAGGCCTTTGAAAAAGAGTATTCTATTAACGATTGTTTCAATACACTCCTCCGACAAGCTGTAAAACAATGCAGCGCTCTCTCTTTCAGCAGATAAATCACTTTTCAGGAAAGTGTCCCCTAGAATGCAACACGCATCAGAGTACACTGAAAGCAATTCAGAACTGCAGGAATACCGGCCCTTGAGTGCGATGCTGAGATTTAGAAGGCGGAACCCGTGCCTTACAGCATTTATGTACGACAGCAGGTCATCATCTTTGCGCATGCTTGCAGCCTCTTTGAGATCTAAAAAGAACTGATCCACGGAAGGTTTCATTAGAGAATACAGTGTGCAAGACGGCTCCATCGCCTCCTGACTCGCTGCTGTGCCGTCACCTGCGGCCGAAGCCATGACTACATGCTGGTCTGACATGAGCAATGTCTTCAGACCTAGGAATGGTCGTAAGCCAACCATCACTGTCGGTTTTCCCGGCGGGGTTCTGCGTGCATCAACAAGTTCCTTCGACTCATACAAAATGGGAACAGTGTAGGTTTCCAGCCCCGCAGGGGTTAGTGCGTGGAGAAAGATTGTGTCAACCGCTACACTCTTTGCTTCCTTGGAGTACCTGTAGATGCTCACAAGCTGTGGAACGTCATTCAACCTGTACAGATAGCCACGCTTTCCCGATGAGACCAGGCAGGCCAATGTTTTCAGCTTTGTGAAAATTCTGGAATGAAGGACAAACGAAGCAGTCTTTGGGGCATTTGACATAGCTTCTGTGAGAGGGTGCGCCATGCTGTCATTGACATAATATGGCATCCAATGGAACGCCATCACAGGTCCACTGTCTTTGTTGAAATACCTGTACAGTAACACAATGGTAGAGACTTCGTGCGAGGAAACGAGGTCGGTATCGGGATCAACAGTGATGGCAACCTTGCAAATGTCCGGGGGATTTACCCTGGGCCCAAGGACAATCACGTCCGAGTCCTCCAAATCTTTTTTGCGGGTCTTGCCCGTTGGCTTGAGGGTGAGTTCTACTGGAAAGCACAAAGGATGCAGGACAGTTTTCAATTCCTGCTCCCAACTCGCGTTAACCCACTCTGTAGATTCGTCGGATTCAAATCTCAACTGGACGTAGTTTGGGTCGTCCAGAATGGTGTCACCTTCTGGAATGTTCATCGCCACCTGCTTCTTCTTTTGGCTGCCAGTAGTCGTGGCTTCTGGGGTGTCTGAGCTTTTAATTGCTTCGGACTCCTGCCTAATCTGGATGACGAGGACCTCGCTGTTGGAACAACAGGCTACATGATCCTCGCACACGTGAACGCTGTTCAGCTCAAAGCCAATCTCAAGCTGCATCAGCCGTTCAAAGTCGTTGTACACCTGTTTCTTTGACTTGTCGTACGCAGTCTTGAGAACAAACACGCTGACGGTACGGCCGGCTGCGACAAGAGTCGTGCCCGACTGACGGCAACAAGCCACGCAAGACAGACCGTGCCTCTTCGCCGGCAATTCGACTATTTCTAGGCGCCTACCAGCAGCACTGTCGTTGCTCTCCGGTTCGGATCCAGCCTCCCTCATTTTTGGGACCTGGTTGCAAGGCTCGACCCACCAGTTGAAGTATGCACGCACGTGAAACACGTCCACGGACCGCGTCATTGTTTTCTCCAAAGACAAGACAAAGTTGGCCCCTTCGCAGTAGTCAATCATTACGGCCTGGTCGGTGGTCGGGAACGCAAATAGCAGCAATCCTTTCGAGTTGAGATCGCGAACCTCCACGCTCATCCTGAATGTGGCGATGAGGAGTTTGTCCCGAGCCGCGCACATGGCTGCGATGTCCCTGTCCTGGGTGACGAACACGTCTTGGGAAACGAAATTGTGGCAGGCTAGCAAGCGCCAGTTTGCGCTCTCCGTGGCGGCCGCCGGTTGCGCTTTTCCTGCGTTCGACATGATCGCAACAGAACTTTCAGTTCTCGGTCGACAGCTCGTCGTCTCCGTTGGCCTTCGCTTGTTGCGCAGGATGCACGATTCCTGAAGCGACGTCGTAGAAGACTACACTTGTGTCGCCGTCCTGCAGAGCGAGAGTAACTTTCGGTACACTCGGCAGACAAGATAGGATGCTCTCAATGGCTTCGAAGTCGAGCGCGAGATTAACGGAGATGGGCACTAGGAGCATGGCTTCGGCGTCCTTGCTTCGCTTGCCCGTCAGGTAGTGCGTGTTGCACTTCTCGCAGATCTTTGACTCGACTTCCCACCAATCGCTTGACTCGCTCAGATGCCTGAAGATGTTGCTGGCGATACGCACTTGAACTTCTGAACTGCACATCTCAACACGGCTTGTTGCTATGCGTTTGGCGTTCGTTCGCTTGTCGCTTCTTTGCAGACCCTGGGAACGGTCTTCGCCGCAGCACATACAGCATACTGCGTTAACTGTAGCCGCAGTTTACAAAAGTCACATAGCCATTTTAGAGTAGTAAATAAGCTTTTCAAAGTACATGTGCACCCCTGTTTTAATTAAATAATTTTTTAAACTTCTACTTGTTGTTCATTAGATAGCAGTGAGAGTGTATATAGATGCAGTGATGCGGAACCGCAGTGGCCCAAAAAAACAGGCTTACTCAGTAACCCGCCATTGTTGTTGGTCGTTGTGGTAGTTGTGGACACGGTGGTTGTGGATCGTTCGGTTAGTTCAGTCGGGTGCACGAGAAGGACTGAGTGTTTATATTGCCACATTCACGTTTTCTGCCCCATAGATGATAGAAAACATGGGAATCGCTTCGCGTCTTCAGCAGCGCAGCATTATCGGCTTTTCACCATCTCATCCCAATCTCATTCCCGATACCATTCTAGATAAGTAGGCGTCCTTTGCTAGTGTGTTCGCGCGGTGCTCTTGTGACGGCACTTTCACTCATCTCCGCTCATTCTCGTTCATTCCTATGGTTCCAATCGTTTTAAAACTCTTGTCTTTCGAGCTGAGCTGAGCAGCGCTGCAGATGTCCTCATAAAGATGGAGCCGTTTACATCTTGAAAAGAGCTCCTTCTTTACCAGCGCATCTTGCAGTGTCTGTCTTCGTCGGCGCCTCACGATGGATAACTTCTCCGAGTGGTACGATTCCGCTGTAGCCGCCGCCGGCTCCGAGGAAGTAGCGCCAGCCTCACCCCTGTCCATGCAAATGTCCAATCGGACGATAGACGAAGGGTTGGACTTTGGGCATGGCGACGGTGCGAGCGCTGAGTCGAGAACGTCGATGGCGGCAAAGCGCATGGCCGACGGAGCTGCTGGCTGTGGGGGCAGCGAGCAATCTCCCCCCACGAAGCAGCCGCGCTTCGACGGCTTGTCTTCTTCGTCCTCCTCCGATAACGCGCACGCTTGCAGCAGCGGCGGCTTGCCGTCGACGTCTCTGCTGGGGGACGACGCGTACTTCCAGGACGATGACATGGTCGACAGCTTCGGCGATCGCAGCGAGCTTACAAGCGGTAACGAGGCGGTTACGCGGAGGGCAGATCAGCAGCAGGGAAGCAACAACGACCGGCCGGCCGCCGTGATGAGCGTCGACGTTTGGACGAAGTGGGTCGTGGCGACGAGGAAGACGTCGAGGACGAAGACAGCCCGAACAATGGCTGCAACGGTGGTCCCGGCGAAGAAGAGGAGGAGATAAGTGACAGCGACATCTCGGACAACGAGATCGAAGCCATGCTCGAGGCGGGCATGCACTCGCCCGGCAAGCCAGGGGTCGACGATGACGTCGCGCATGAGGTCAAGGAGAAGGTGATCCTAAAAGGTTAGAAGGGAAGCTCTTCATTAACCTGAAAAATGTTTTGTTCACCCTAATGAAAGACCAACAGATAATAAAGCCAAGGAATACATAGAAGACATTAATTGTACCTTTGTATGTAATCGTAGTAATTGCAATATAAGTGCTAAAGAAGCAAAGTTGTTGAAAAAACAACCTGCAAACAGCAGACCAAACCTGCAACTTTTGGTTAGAACGCTCAATGCTCTTTCAACTGAGCTACGGCAGCAGTCATTCTCCTGTGCATTTTATTGGGTATTTATGTTCACACGAATATGGGAGTGTTAGCGCTGCTTGCCGCCATAACGCCGAGCGTGGAGGATTTCTTCATGCAGGATTATGGTGGAAGAGGGGCTTTGTGTCCGGGGCTCTGGTTATGCTGTCCTCATTGGCTATTGCCACATGCAGCTACTACATTTTGAACTACAGATCCACCCATTGTACCTCCAACACTTTCAAGGGTGCACAGCATGCATTGAATCATGTAGACAGCTATAAGCTTGAAAGATTAACGGTGGGTGGATTGAGAGAGGCGGGTGGCAAAGACAAAGCTTCTCTCTCACTGTAGTGAACTTTGAAAGAAACAGTCTTTTCCTTTCTCGCTGTTGATAAAATTGAAGTAAGCGAATACGCGCCACAAGGACCAAGGTCGGCAGACATGTGAAAATTGTAGCAATGTTGGCAAGCTTGAAATCTGCACGTGGCTATCTCCTGTACCTTTTCTTTCTTGACAGTGCGTGGACATGACCACTTTGAAGTACTACCAGAAGGTTGGATCCAGGTCACACACAATAGTGGGATGCCTATCTACCTCCACAGGCAGTCCAGAGTGTGCACGCTGGCCAAGCCGTACTTCCTCGGTCCTGGCAGCATTCGGGTGAGGCCACCATTTCGGTTGCGAGGTGCTTAAATGGACACACAACAATATTTTATGGTACCTGTTTCCTTTCAAGCAACAGAAAGCTTACCAGTAACAAAGAAAATGCCATGAAACAATTATAATAAACATTTTCCAATCTGTGCTGACTGTGAAGTCGTATCCACAAAACGAATATTGTTTCACAGTAAGAGGTGAGCACGAGAGCAATTCTTGTTGGTTTGAGTGGTGTGCTGTGCATGCATGCGTTCTGCACAAATGTGCCACTACTCCACATATTTCACGAGTTGCTGTGCACGCAGCACTACTTGCATACAACATTTTCTTTTACCTCATAAGCAGCACAAAATGGAGCAGGGAAGGATGAAAATACTATAAAATACTGAGCAAGACCCTCCCCCCCCCCCCACCCCTAGTGGTGGTGCTAATGACCGCGGTGAAGGGTAGGGGGCGCTTGTATGGAAGTGCTGCAAAATTCAAGATGGCGGGGCCGGTCGTTTTTTTTTTTTTTTATAAACAATAATAAAGGCTTTTTACAGTAGTGTGCAGAGTGAACAAAAGCTTTGTTGGGAAGTTTTCGATGATTGTTTATTCACTTTTAAATCTATCAAAGGACCCATCAGAGTCTATGTCAGACAACAGGCTGTAGCATTCAGCCTGCAGTTTCTCAGAATCGTCTGGACGAATGTTGCCAACGCTGGACAACTGGCCGTGTAGAAGGCCCTCCTCCGATCCGTCCAGTGCATTCAATATTCCGCAGCCCTTGAAACTCTGAATAATGGTCGTACTCTGATACAGCGTCTCATGCTGCGGCCTCCAAATTCAATAAGTCGTCACGCGACTGTTTCCGCAGATTTTCTTTCAGAGTTCTTTCTGCTATGCGCATGAATTCCTCCCAGCTCCTTCGAAGGCTGGCTTTGAAAGACCAGTTCCAGTACACGTCGGCTGGCTGCAGTAAAGTTGTGCGTCCAGCCGGCACATATGCAATGTCTGTATCTCGCTCCTCCGCGGCATTCTTTCCTGCCTGCGTTTTGTAAATAGGAGCTTGGTCTAATACCAACAACCACCTCGCGTCGTAGGTGTTTGGACCCCACACCCGTGACAGCCACTCCTGAAATTTCTCGGATGTCATCCACCCGTTCTTCGATGCTGTCTCATGGACATTCACTATAAAAAAGTAATAATATAGCGTGATCTTACTACCCACCACTAACAAGGGGAAAGAAAAAAGAACGCGCAGGCAGGGAGCACTACTGTGAATCCTCGCCTTGCACATCCACTATTGGCGATCCGGACAGAACTTTCCCCGATAATGTTGTTTGTTCGAGATGCCGGGCAGTCCATGCAGACCATTGTCTGGTCCATGTTGGCCATATTAAAAGGCGTGTAGTCGTGCATCAATCGCAGCTTGTTCACGGACAACCAAAAGGCACGCGCCGCTTCTGTGTAGTCATCTAGCGTCTTCTGGCTTTCATTCGTTGCCTGTCGCATGGAGATGCTGAAACGCTTCTTTCACCTGGCAATATAATGGTCCGACGCCACGAAGTTTTCGAGCGGCAGGCTCCTGGCTACGCACACAGCCTCTTCCGCAAACAACCTGTTGCTAACAGCGTGCCTGGCACTGCGCTCACTTTAAAAAAACTCGAAGAGGGCATCGTCTACTTTCTCGCTTAATACGGGAGCACCGTTGCTGAACTTGCGTCGTGGCTTCGACTTGCCGAAGTTTTGTTGCAGCAAAGCTATATATTTGCTGTCCCACTCATGAATCCTCCTGCGATCGATGTCAAAGTGCCGCGAGGTGGCGTGCGCATTGCTTCAACCTTGGCGATGGTACTGAACCACCTCAATTTTCTTCGCAACAATGTAAGGACACATCGACGACATCGTGCAGCAAAGTCAACCACGAGGAACAACGAACAAATGCCAACTGGCTACATTAACGCAACGAACATACGCCAAGCCTAACGGCTATGGCTAGATCCAGCAATAGCTAGAGACGGAGCAAGGGCGCCAGTTTTGATAGGGGGCGCTTGCTCGGGAAGTGGGTGGCAAATTCAAATTCCCCAAAACTAGGAGAGGGGCGCTTGCTTGGGTGGAGGCGCTTGCTCGGAATCTCACGTTATACATATTCTCATTTTGACCTCCAATTATGGTGTGTATGAAAGCATCAAACTATGTTCAGAGGGTGTCCACTGTTGAAGGGAACACCGGAGTGCGTATCGCCTGCTCGGCACCACCGCCGGCCAGCTGCAGCTACTAGTTTCGTGCAGGAGCAGTGAGAAATGTGGGCGGCGCTCATTTGTCGTCTGCTACAGTTCCAGCCACGCTCCGGATCGCCACGAGGCCAACCATCCCCATGCTTTTGAAATTTTTCTGCAGGCTGCATTGTTACGCTCGGATGGTAAGCTGCGGCAAAACTGAAAGAAAATTTGATTATGTAAAGTTCTACCTCATAGATAATTTCGGAGGTTTAAAGAAGCATCACTTCTGCTTTACAGACTCCTTTTTCTTGCATAGCTATAATAAGGAATATTTTTCCTTGTTGAGTGCATATTTCATTTGCACTAATGCGGATTCGAGCTGCTGCAGTGGGTACATTGAAAAAAGAATCTACAAGCGCCCTTTAATCGGCACCACCAGACTGCTTTCTCGAAACGGGCAATTGCTTATCTAACAAGGAGGCGAACGAAAGGCGGCGATCCGTCTGATGTGTCGGATGACATTTATCTGATTATAGAGCATTCCCATCATTTTCATTCTTGCTCGAAGGAAAGCGACTGTTTTCAAAATTTTGAAACTTCGGCCCCTCTTCGCGATGAGCTGAAGTGCGGCCGCAGCAGACGACGAACAAGCGCTGCCTACAGTGCTCACTGCTCCTGCACACAACTAGTTGCTGCAGCCGGCAGGCATAGGTGCCAAGCAGACGACACGCGCTCCAGTGTTCCCTTTAACAGTGGGCCCCTTTGAATAGGAGAGTGAACCACTCCATATTCCAGCGTAAAGTAGTCGGCAGTGCGACTTATCAGTTTTTGTAATCTTTTAAATGCCACTTAAAAATTTAAGTCCTACTCGCATAACGAAAAGAATGCTTGAATTTGTTACTGCAGTTCAGGGTCTTTTCATTTCAACCAGGAGCAAATTCCATGAGCTGGCTAGTTGTCGGTTTCTTTGAGGGAGTGCAATCATTGCTAGATAGAATCCATAGTGGAATTAAGAGCACGTAAGCAAACAAGATACAAGAGACAGAATTACTCAAACAAGCGCTCACTTCAAACTAAAGTTTATTCACAGAAACTGGCCAGATTTTATTCTTCATTGAATACGGACATGCATGCTTGAAACAACAATCTAAAACTGAAATACAGCTATCACGTGACAGTTGAAAAAAAATATTCAAAAAATATTCAAAACAAATATTGTGACAGTGCTGCGCGGAACGCAAAGCACTGTCGCAGCGGAAGCTCGATGAGCGGCCTTTCAGAGCCTTTTCTCAACACTCTTTGAGAAACTGCTACAAGCACATTTGCTGGGCTTTAAAATGCTTTACGCCATAAATAATCATGATTTCTTTGTACTAGGCTGGCATTCACTGTGTTATCCATCATTCTTCGGAAAAGCGTGGTGTCCCCTACGCACTTGCTAGGAGTATTGAGCAATAATTTTAAGCAGAGACTGATGAGGATGAAGAATTATGCCTCAGGTGGGTATGCACCACAGGTGAACAAGAACAAGCTTTTGTAACAGGTTGGATCATTGGACGACCCACTTTTTACGCAATTCGTATTCTGTTATGCCTCGGTCTTCCTTTGATGTTCTAAAATGCTTTACTACTCGCATTAGCGCGATTCCTTTCCAGTCGTCAAGTCTGCCTAAGGCCAGTTTTTAAATGTGTTTCAAGTACCGGCGTGGCTCAGTGGTAGAACACTGGGCTAGCATGCAGCGTACCCAGGTTCGAATCCCATTGTGTCCTTGGTGTCTTTTATTTACCGAGTTATTTTTTTCTCTTATTTCTTGAGATATCAGTTACGCGCACCGGCCACGGCGTACAACTGCGGTGCCGCACGTGACCTGTGTTCTGGTCTCATAACAGCTTTCGCTGTAAAACACCCCTGCACCTGTCAATGTGCAGGAGTCATCTAGCAGTTGAAATGTAACTGGTAGTTGAGAAGTAGTAATGAGTTCACTACTGATAACTCAAGAGTACTGCCTTTGACCACTAATTGTGTGGCCTCAAATGTCAGGCGTACAAGCTAAAATCATGCTGATATTACGGTTTCTGGCTGTGGAAGGGAGCAGTTAAGTGCACAGGCTTTCGCATCAAACAGTAATTGATATTCCTAAGTCATTGATGTCTGTGGGCTGGCATGCCTATCGTATCTTCATCACTTCTAAGGAAATGTGGGGGCCCAGAGAAGCCACAGAAGGGTGTCCTGTGGCTTCACAAGAGGTGCTGGTTTCCCTACATCGTGGGGGGGGGGAACAAACATTTGGCTTGTGCATTTGCTGTCAGGAGCTAGCGATTTGCACTGGTATTCTGTGTTTGGCAAGCATTTTGGTGCGCCTTCAATGCTTTTTACTGCCGTAATCTTTTTGTATGAGTTCTGCGATGTTGAAATTTGAGAACAGCGCTGAAATGGGACACCGACTAGAAGCGACAAGTTGAGGGCATCGTTTTGCTTCTATTCTATTCCCGTCTTGGCACAGTCTTGGAATTTTAGTATGTGCTGACTAATCCCACATTAATGCTCCTTTTCAGTTCATTTCTGTCGTATTTCGCGGTGTTCTCTCCGCCTCACCAACCAACCTCATTGTCCTGTTTGCTTTGTCAGAGACACGAAGTGCCCATCTCTGGTATCCCTTGCCTCCACTACAAGAGGGAGAAGGAAAAAGAAGAGCAATGTCCAGTCACAAACGGAGTGTCGGAAGGAAGTGAAGGTCAGCACACCTTGATGCCCCCTTTTTTTCTTTCTGTATATTTTTTTTTTGCTTTTTTTAGAGGAGTAAACTTGGACAATAGTTGCTCGTACCGTGAGTTGAAAGGTCTGTATAGTACTTAAATATATTCAGTCACCTCTAATAGGACGTCAGCTTTGTGGTAATGGGACATTCCTTGGTTTTTGCAAGCTGTGTTTGTGACGTTACGAAATGCATTGATCTCGAAAATAAATGCGTTCAAGCACCGGCCTGGTTTAATTTTATTGGTAGTGCAGAACTACTCTGCAATTCGTTTATTTTCCTTCGTCTTCTATTAAAACGCATGATGAAAATAACGACTGTAGCATTCGGAAACAATTCATTGGCCTAAACTGATTTGCTTTGTCGCTTTAGCATCCCTTTAATATGATTATCTGGCCTGTAGTAGGCTGTTCTCACAACATTGATTCAATCTGTTGCCTCATCATGTTCCTACTTGCATATGATCACTCTTATCTTCTTCAGGTTTGTCAGAGAAGATGGCCGAGTTGGCTGGTCGAATTCCTATGGCGAAGGTGGAGAGTGTGAAGGAGAGCCAGAAGGAACTGTCACTAGGTAACTTCAAGTGCCCCGCCCTCCTCTACTGGTTTTATTCATTGTAGTGTTATGGACAGTACAGCTGCAGTTGCAGCATCGTGTCATAATTTTGTGTGTGTGTGTGTGTGTGTGTGTGTGTGTGTGTGTGTGTGTGTGTGTGTGTGTGTGTGTGTGTGTGTGTGTGTAAGGGGGGCAGGGGAGGCCAAATTAGCTGCAGTTGTACTTTGGTACCACATTCTTGTTAAGGTTGTGCCACTAGGGCACTGCATGAGGCCTTCCCCTGAGTCATCCAAGTAAGTTGGAAGCTTAGAGGGAGACAAAATCTTGACAAAAAAAAAAAAAAACTAGGACTCTTCAGCTTTACCTTTCAAGAGTACAATATGAAACGTAATTTGGGGCCTTGTGCACATCACCATTTCAAATACTAGCCCAGCTTCTGTTCCTGGTACATGCCCCAACCAGGCTGCGAGGAAACGAATACCATGTGTGTTACATTGGCCGTTTTAATGTATCGTAGAATGCCTGTGGCAAGTTCACTTTTTGAGCCTACACAATGCTATTATTCTACCTTTTGCGAATCGGCAAAGGGCCAACTACAGGTCCATAAGACAACACATAAACCAGTGCAGCTGCGCACTTTGCTCATGCTTTTGCAGCTAGTGATGGTTAATACAGTGCAGTCCACTTATAACGATACCACATATAACGATATATCGGTTATAACGATGGGTCGACTTAACAGTCTCATTTTATGCATTGGGGCTATGGGGAAAAAAACCATATATAACGATATGTTATCCACCGCATATCGGATACAACGATGAAAAGTTTGCCGTGGACGGCATGTTTCATTCAGAATAATCGTAACATTTAGATTGATAAGTTCTTCTGAAACTAACTTTGCCGAGACAAGACGAAAAGTTAGCGTAGGCGAGTACGTATCTGCCGCCACTGCAGCACAGCGCCGGCAGCGCGTCCCGGCCGTTCAAAAAGCCGAGGAGAGCATCGCGAGTTGGCGCAACGCGCTACAGATGGCGCCAGCTGTGTCACGTTTTGCGCCTCACTGCGCGTCGACCGCAAAGAGGCTGAGAGAATTTAAAAAAAAAAAAAAATGCGAAAAGCAAAGTGCCGCGCTCCGCGGCTCCCCGCCTTCTACAACGGCAAGCTACTCGTAGATTGCCGAACGAACACGGGAAAGAGAGAGAAAATAAAAAAAGCGAAAAGCAAAGCGGCGCGGCGGCATCGGGGCGGGGCCTCGTTGGCATTCCGGCTGTGTACCTCTGGCTGTGCTTTCTTCCTCCCACTGCTCCCACCCCGCCGTCGGTCAGTCTCTCTTCCTCAGCGAATCCGTGATGCGTTCTTCGGAGTAAGAAATAAAGTCTTGTTTTTGACATCCTATTATCTACAATATTTATTAATTGGTGAAAATAGCGAAATGAAGCCTAGAGCTACAAAAGGTACGTCCGGCGACGATTTTTTGGCGGCAGTCCAGATATAACGATCACCGGTTATAACGATCATATTTTTAGGTTTTCTCGATATCGTTATAAGTGGACTGCACTGTACTATCTAAGCACTTTGTAGTAGGTGGGCCTTCTAAAACACTCACTCATTTTGCAATCGCATGTATTGACGCCTGTTGCAGTTCTACGCTTCTGCGACATGATATCATATGCATTGAAGGCGGCTGCTTCCACTAAATGACATTCATATGTAGTGGTGGTTGTGGTTAGAAGAAGGAAAAGACGCCTAATTTCTGCAGTCCTTGAGAGAGCACCACGCAGCGTCTTTCATATGTAGTGTGTGTGTGTTTTTAGGGCATGTGTGTGCATGCTTTGTACCCTCTCTCCCAACCAGAACAGAGAAGGGTCACGGCACAAACACTTGATGAGGGTAGGGGGTGAGAAAGAAGAATAAGTCAAAGGGGGATATTGAGACAAGCTTGCATTCCAAATTCTTCACACCCGCTTATCTCAATATCCCCTGTCCTTGTGGTATCTTTTCAAAAAGAGTCTTCGTGATCGATTTAGAGCTATGCGTGTATTTTTGTTTAATCAACTAACCCTGTCGCTTGTTGCAGATGCCCTGGCATTTCGACAGTACTGTGAAAAGGTGTTTGACTTTCAGACCCTTCAGCTGCGAAAGTTCAAGTGAGTGACGTCAGCTCACCCCATTTGCTAGCAGAGCTCTTGGAAGGCTCTTTGTCTTAATGTTTTTTCTAACCACTCGCATGAGTGCTTACCGTTGGCAAAGTGGAGTTGTGTTGTTTGGTACGGCTTTACTAGGGAGAAAGGCTGGGCAGCTCTGCTTGTGCCTCGTATAACAACTGAAGGCTTATTTATTGAAAGGCATGTAATGGAAAGTGACAAAAAGGAAAGGCGCAATATTTGATAAAATGCCAGTCATCGTCTTTATGCTGTAGTCTCTCTGTTGCCTCTCGCTCTGTCAAATTAGCAGTATCATCCGGTATCTTAGCAGTAGGAGAGAATTAAAACCGTCTTTTGCTCTGACCTGTCAAACACTCTTGAACCCTTGGAAGCACTGACGACTTGAAATAAGATCCAATTATGTGAGTCTATAGTGTTGTACAAGATGGCTCCCTGTGTTTTGCATTATTAAAATGTTACTTCACTGTCAGTTGCACGCTTCAGTTGGCTACGAGTTTAGTTGTTTATCTTCTCTCTCCCCTGCCTCTCTTTTAGGACTTGGGCCGGTCGTCGCAAACACAGAAAGAAGCTTAAGCAGATGCAACGCCCTATGCTTGTGAGTAGCACTCTGATTGTGTCAGCATACGTATCTTTATTTCTTTATTTTAGGGTTGCTGCCAGGCCAAGCCGACTGTTCCTAGTTGTGGGCAGCACACTGCCTACTTAGCTGATACTGTCACTTCCGGGATGCTTGCGGTACCGTGCGCACGCATTTGTCATTAAGAAAGTGTTCATGATGCCCACTTTGTTCCAGACCGCGTTGTGCATATCTGCAAAGGCATCACCGCCCTGTGCCGTGATAGTGGCCCCTACTGATATAAGGTCTCCTTCATCCCACAATACTAAGGCACTGCTGCAAAGCTGACTTGCGGTCACTGTTACAGCTTCAAACTGATCGACACACGATAGCACTGGTTCGCACCATTGAGGTTTTAGGTGCATCAAAGGTGGGTACTCTAGTTAGACAGAGAGAGAAAAGGAAATATTTATTTATCCGGTGGACGATGATCTTAGCCCCATGAGGGAAGGGTCATCGCGATGCGATCACACGTCACCTTGGCGTGACGTCCTTCACTCAGTAAGCAGCCCTCGCTTCTTTCCTGTGTTTAGTTTTACAGCATAAACATTTTCTTTTTTACCAAAGATGTACTCTGGTGTGTTTATTTTTGTATGTCTGTGAGCTATGTTTTTATCTTTTAAAAATTTATAAGTGTTTTTTTTTATCTTGCTTGATTTTAATATGTATAAACCATGACTATGTAACAACAAGGATTTTTTTTTTGTCAACATGTGGTTACACAAAAGAATTTCGGGCAATTTTTTTCTTTAATAGAATCATTTTAAGAATTCAGTGCAGCGATGAAAAAGTAACACATTTTTGGACTGTGTTTCGTGAAAAATTTCAACCCTTTAAGGATTAAGCAAGAACACCTTCATTCTGCAATCAGTATAGCTCTGATACTCCTGTAAAGCATTGTTCTGCTGGTATATTGGTAATTGACTAATTAAAACGAGAATCATTACTTTTTTCGGTTCCAGTAATTCTGGTGTACAATATTTCTAATATGCGCAATTTGATTCGATTGTCGACTCCAGTAGTAGAACACTGTTTGATTCAGTATTCTAAATTTTCTAATATTTGCACACCTCTACGTTATTTACTGTGACCCGGTTATACCATGCAAGACGAACACCCGGCATTTCTCAATGCCAGTCAGACTTAGGCGTGTGGGAACCTTGTCGAGTGTTTTAATTGACCTGGTGACATAGCTTGCATAGTACGAACAGTGGTGTTCAATCTCGGACGTGGGTAAGCATCGGCGATTATGCTGCAACCCCTTCTGTGACTCCTGTATAAATAGCCGATACATTAGATGCACAGATGATATCTTGAATGCCCAGCTACTGCTCACTGGTCATGAGCTAACGCTGTAAACAGTGCATTCTTTTTTTCATGCTCTGTCTGCTGAAGTCTCCCCCATCGTGATGTGACAGTACAGTTGGCACTTTCTGTGGTCACAGAGAAATGGGTGTGTGGCAGTAGTACAAGTATGACGGAAAGAAATATATTCAGAATTGTGGCTGTCAATATTGGGTTAGTGGCTTCATTGAATCGGCAGGAGAGGGTTCTCTGATGGTTCGGGAAGGCTGAGGCCAAAGCTGTCCTCAAACAGTTACATTATCTGCCCACATAATGTTCGCTCTCTTAACTTTTTTCGCTGTTCTTTCTTTACTGGAATTTTTTCTTTTCCATTTCAGCCGGAAAGTACAAAGCTGATTATGTGTTCACTGCCGCCTACATCAGACACAAGCCAAGTCACCGGTGGCCATTCCAAGAGAGGTGAGCAGTTTAGCTCGTACAAGAAGATGACATTACCTGCGGCACTCGCGAAGTTTTCTGAATTTCTGCAAAAAAGCAGGCTTGTGCGTTCAACGACCACTTCAAACCCAGGAGTGTAGAAACTACATTGTATTGAAATATTGTACCGTGTATTTGCGGGTACAGCCCCCTCTAAAGATGCGATGATTTAGTGGTAAATGTAGCGCATTGTGCACAATTTTTCCTTGTGCTGGGGTGTGAAATCCTTGCCAAGGTACAGTATAGACCGCTCATAGTGTAAGTTGCGGGACTCGTGAATATCCACACTGTAAGGGGTACCGCGCTATAACCAAAACAACCTTTTTCAAAGGCGGCACTTGCGCAGAACGTGTTGAGCATGCAGCTTCGCGTGTCCGAGAATTGAAACATGCGATTTGTGCTTGCCAACATTTACATTTCTGAATGTCAATAAATTTTAACCTCCGAAGACACACGTTGCCAATGAAATGAACGCAATAAGGGGAGGGCGAATGTCTAACAAATGAAAGCACCATCGCAGAAATTCGCCGACTATCATACCGCCTCAATTATGCGCATTACACAGAAACTATGTTGAATCACGTCCAGAATTCAACCTGTTGAAAGACACCAACCATTCAATTTTACGTGCGCGCACCCGACTGAAGACGTCGCAATCGAATCACGTACCACTATTTGAGCGCCACATGTGCCGCCCTCGTTTTCAGTAACGATGTACCTTTCCCGTCAAGTGCGGTCACCGGAAAGAGTTTCGTTGATTTGGTATCTAACCGCAACTTAAATTAACGCGACCGCTACAGATCGAATCGCAACCAATGCCGATTAAACCTGGCTTGCCGTTTGGTATGTTGTCATGGAACGTTTGTCCAAGACGTGAAGATTCGGGTTAATAAAAAATAGCACTAGCAGTGAACCAAGAACAGCGTGCGTGATACGAAGTTCGCATTCGCGGCCGGGCGATCAGCAACGACGGCAACTCGCCAAGCTTACAAACAACAGCGCACTGGCAGCAAAAGGGAAAGCTCGCGTCATAAAACCGATATAGGTTTTCATTTTACAGGCGAGAAAGCAAACGCCATATTTGTTGCAAGCTCGATAAAGACGTCTTTCCCGACAAGAAACTGTTTAGGCTCATGCATTTGATGAGGACGAGATCGCACCGCATGTGCCACGTTGAATGGCACGCCGCCCAAGCCACGCTAGCGACGTAGTATGCTGTAGCCGCGTTGGCGCCGGCGCAAAGGCTTATAGGTCACCGAGGCAACCGTCCTCCTCTCTTACTCCTCGAGTGTGCACAGTGTCCCGCGGTCTTTTTTAATTTTCTTTTTCTTCTCTCCACCCTTCGTTTGTTTACTCTGTGTCCCCTTCTTCTTCGTAACGACCTCGTCGTTCGCTCCCCAGCGGCGCACCCAGCGCGCCTCCTTTCAAAAGCGCACTCGCTACTGCGTTTGTTGCAATTTCCGGCAAGCGCATTATAACCAGTCTTTCATCTTGGGGGACTGCACAATAAGCGGTATGCGTATACATGGGGTTCTATGGGAGGATAAACGGGAGTAGAAAAAGACCGCACTGTAAGCGCTTCTGCACTATGGGCGGTTACGTTACAAGTGGTCTACACTGTTTGCCAATACCTCTCATTTCGCTAGTAGAGCTGCTGTTGCTTGAGGGTGTGCAAAGTGCGAACTGCTGACGCTCAATAAAATGCTGCTCTGTACATGCATGTTAGATGGTGATGAAATGCTTGAATAATTTTCATCCTCTCTCTCTCTCTTTTTTTTCTTTTTCTCTTTTGTGAGTACTCACATGCCAGACATACCCAGGTATGACCAATCTTTTTGTTCGCGTGCTACATTTGGCTGCACTCACTCACTGCACTGTGAAAGACAAAAATCATCGCCTTTCCCTGGGGCATTCGAATCCAGAAAGCGGGTCGAAGACATAATGTCGATTAATTCTTTGTGTGGTGGCGGAGAAAAGAAGAGAGCCTGAAAACTGGTACCTACCCTGAGCGGGACATATTACGTGGGAAGTTCATCCAAGAAAGAAGTCTGGTTCACGTCGTATGAACCGAGGTTGTCAAGTGAAAGCCACCTCGGTTGAGCTGGAGCATTGCTCACGAGTTTCCTTTGAGCTGTGGCTGGTTGCGCCACATCATAAAACACTGCAGGGGTTATTAAAAGGAGGTGCGAGTCGAAAAACACAAGTTTCTTCTAAAATCACATGTTTTGTTTTATTTGCTTTCACAACAACAAAAAAAAACTGCAAATTGTAATTCAGCTCAAAGTAGGTTCAATTATCTTTTAACGAGTACAAGGTAGCTACTAAAACTAAAAAAAGCTCACTGTCTATAGAGTCCCCCTGGAAATTGTCACCTGGCTGCTTGCCATTGCATTTTGCACGAGGAGTTCACTAAAGTCACGTGCTCAAAATGACAATGATTGCCTAGCTCTCACAGGGAAAAAAAATCATTTTAAAAGACACATGTTTGGTGTAAATATGAGGTTTGACTTATGTTTTTAAAATGAATTTTTCTCAAGGTCCATATTTGGGCAGCGTCTTGAATTTAGACATCGTGTTTTTTGGTACTTCTGGTAGCCAGATCAAGCTGTAATTTTGCGCACATACTCCTGAACTTGTGAGGGGTCAAATATCACCTTTAACACTCGATATCACCTGTACAATTATTACGAACCTAAAGAAAGAAAGAAAATATAAGCTGAGGGTTCTAATAATTCTCACATCAGAATTTTTATTGTCTATTAAAATGCCTCATACGTACTTTCTTGAAAGTCATTCAGATTCTACAGTTAATGTTGAGCAATATGAGCCACTAATGGCTCAGTATCATAGAGGTTTAATAGCGTAAAAGTTTGTCTAAAACCAACTGTATTTTAGGCATTGTGATGGCACAAAGCAAATATTGTGCAACTTACTATAAAATTAATTACAGTATAACCTCGGTACAATGGATCTGCTTAAAGTAGACATTTGGATCCTACATACTAATTGTCGGCATTATGCCAACCTCCCTATTTATTCTATTAATTGAGCTTTGTTTACTATAGATTCTGGTACAATGGACATTCATATGTAATTGACCGAAATCTGAGGCCAGAAAGGTGGCCAGAACTTCACTTATAGTGGACTTTTCTACCACTGACGTCCTAATTCTATGACTTTTGACTTCAAGCATCGCTTGGCATGTTTTCGGGACGTGAATAACATCGTAGATATCGACATACCGATTTAAAAAAAAAGGTCGCCGATTTCGGGTCTGTTGATGGTTCGTTATGCTTAGCTACTGCGGCGAAAAATCAGCGCGCAGTGTGCTTGGTTTTGCATGTTGGGGCACTTAAGCGCGAGTTTGCTCACCGCTGTTCCTAAGGGGTCAGTGAGTGGTGAGCTTAGTTGGAGTCTGCAACCGTCATGCAAGATGGCTATTTGCGGTTTTAAGTAGCCACCTGCCAAGGTTATTGGTTGCTCGCGACAAAGCACATTACGGCTTCTTCCCTTTCGCATATCTGGTAGCGCGAGGGTCTTGAACGCCAAGTTCAGGGCGGAGTTCGGCCTAGGCATGATTCGGAGCAGAGAACGCGGCTGTGATGTGCATGGCCACGGCGCCCGATGTTTCAAACTGTGAACGAGCATCAGATCAGTGAGGCGTACTAGAGCAGTATGGCAGAAGCAGCCAGTCGGAGGCCTCGAAATGAATTTCAAACATCTGCTTTTTGAACATGTATTGCTCTTTGCTCTTTATGTTGCGAAGCGGCAAATTTTTGATAAAAATTGATTTTTTTTTGCAACTTCCACAATGATTTTAAGCACCTCGGCAGGTGCAAAAACCTTTTACACCGTTTCTACGTAGTTTTCGGTGAAGATAATTTAAAATCAGATTGGAAATGAGCCACAGAAACTGAAGATGTTATTTTTAAAGAAATCAATTTTTCTAATGGCCCAATTGAGAATGAATTCGTAGAACTCATAGTTTTCTCTGGTTATAAAAACCCATTTAGTGCTTCCATACAAGTCTGTTGTAACAGTACTTGGATTTTACATACTCCCTTTACAACAGACCAAAGTCCTCTTCACTATGGAGGCCTGTTGTAAATAGTTTATAATGTACATATTTGAAATCGGCATAAACATTCGCATTACACAAAAAGAAATTCATTGCTCTATGCTACATATTAACGAAATACTTTTTCGACTCGCATCTCCCCTTAACGACGTCACAGATGGCCTTAGGCCAGCTGTTACTAGTTGCTAGCGAGGAAAAGCTCATGTGCTATTGGTGTTGAGGGATGTGACTGCTTGTCTTCACAAATCTACTGTGCTGATGAAATGCCTACATTTTTTTATGTGTCGTTGGACAACACTATTGGGAATGCCGGTGGCATAACTGATAGCGTGTTAACCAGCAGAAGCGAAGTTTTGTTGCACTGTGGTGTTGCAAGAGGCTTTCGCTGGCTGCTTAATGTTGTCCGTAGGAGAAAATTTTTCCCAAAGATTTCAATGCCTGGTGGTGCAGCAGTGCATGCAGAAGACAACTTGCAGAAGAACATTAACCTGGTCATTAATGGGATCGAAACCGTGTGAAAAAAATTTAAGCACACTTTCAGCATTGTCTCAATTACTGTGCTGGTTATGACAGCAATGTGGACATCGTTGAGCAACGCCTTGTGATTGTGTACATCCGAGCAGCAACCATCTTCTAGAATCGAAAATGACAATGTGTGACAAAATGTATTTTAATTCGCACTTCAAAAGTGTCCTCTTGAGAGGCAAAACGTGTACCACAACGGAAAGTGTCTCCATTATTCCTAAACACTGTGAACAACATTTTGTCACAATTTTCTTGTGACATTCGTATGTTGCATGTTTTTGTTGCTTGTTTATGTTCTCTGCAAAAGTGAAGGCTGTTAGTGGCTAAGCAAGGACTGGTGTCAAATGAATGTTTACAAAGGGGAACTTTGTTGGTTGCTTGTGATGAAATTGGCTTGCTATTTTTTAATGATAGTTTTTTTTTGGGGACCTTCGACATTTGTCTGTTTACACTTGTCTGTTTGTCCACCCTAACGATACCTCAAACGGCCAACCCCATCTGCAGCGCTTACCAATATTGCTCAAGGTTTAGCGTTCATAGTTGTGCGATTGTCAATTAAAAAGCAATTATTGCGCATATCTGAGGCGCCACAACAACGCTTAGATGCTTTCTATGTCTGCCTTTATACTAGAAGAGGCACACACAAGTAACTCTTAGGAATGTAGCGTATAATCGCGCTGCGCTGACAGTGCAACGCGATGCTCAAAAGGGCGTTTCCACCGCTTTGCTACGACGTCACCTGTCCGTCGCTTTGCGTTCTACACCTTATCACCTCTGGCGCGCATCTTTCTCTGCGGGCTGCGCGCCTTTGTTTTCGAAGATAACTGCCGGATGGCACTTGTGTCTAACGTGCCTCGATGCGCTTGTTCGCCTCCGCTGGCGCTACACGCTCGAGGCACTCTAACGCAGCGCCTGCAGAATATCATTCACCGATTTTCTTGCGCAGAACATCAAATAAACGTTTTGTTCACTCTCTCCAGACGCAAGACTATCGTCTTTCGACGACATTTGCGGTGTAACATGCTGATTTAGAACCAGTTTTTTTTTTTTATGCTATGAGAGCAAAGGGAGACCTAATATTCCTACAATTGTTTACTTCTGCAACTCTCGGCAGCCCTTTGCAAGTTCACCGATAGTCACTTTTCCTCTTATTTTCCATTTTCCAGAATTCATCATGAACCCGAGCGGAAAATCAAATGTCTGCATTCTTCACGAATATGTGCAACACGCCATGAAAACTCAGCCTCAGTACAAATTCAAGGAACTCGGTACGTGCATAGTTTTGCCAATCTCCGTGGCTGCCCCTCACCTGTTCGTTCTTCGTTCGGCTTGGCAGCAACTTGAAGGAACAGTAGTTTGAAGCATTCTTTGTTTCTGGATTGCAGAGAGCTCGAGCATGCCGTACATGGCCACTGTGGTCATCGGCGAGATGGAGTACGGCTCTGGTTTAGGGAGCAGCAAAAAACAAGCCAAGTTGGAGGCAGGTGGGTGAAAACAGTTACGTGGTAGTATAGTGTCTATTCATCTTTCCTTTCTCTCGTGTCTCATTGTGGAGTGCTGAGCATACAGTAAACTAACAAAAACTCAAATATTTTGTTGGTCCAGTTGGACCATACTAAAGCAGGTTAGCTCTTTTTTTTTTTTTTTTTACTGGTTCATACCAGGAAATATCTCCATAACAGTTCTGAAAGTATCATTGGCAATCATTCACAGCTGTCTGTAAAGTCGATGTGACCCTAAGAAACAACTGTGACATATGTAGTTTCTTGATGTGTAGATTTAGCCAAAGTTGAAAGACGTTGAGAGTAGGGCATCGAAGAGCGGTGGACATAGCGTTTCTCACAAAAATACCCAGAGAAGTGTGGCGCCATTGTCTATGCGAGTTCTGGGAATGACAGTATGTGTGTCTACGAGGCTTGTGTTGGCTGGTGTCGAACGAGGCTTCAGCTCAAAAGCAAATGCGACTGCGTAAATAAAGCTTTTATAAAACAAAATGTTTATAAGCGGATCTCATTCATGCGTATTTTGTTCTAAAATAAAAGTCCACGTACCTGGACGACACAACCAAACAGCGAAACAAACACACGACGTAAAAGTGGCAGAGGGAATGCTCGCTTCGCCGTCTGCCTGCCAAGTTTATGGTGCATTCAGACGACGGACTGAATCCGGATTTGTCGTGGACGTGGACGGCTAATCCGCGGATGATCCCCCTGCAGACGCATCCACATGACGTACGGTATCCTAGGAGAAAACAGCCAGATTACCCTCAACAGCAGATTCAGAGCTCACCTGCGCCCGTTGGCAGCAGACCGGTTTGAGAGTATTCAACATGGATGCCCGCAAGAGGCGACGCTTGGCTGCAATGTCTGTGGCGTAGTGACAAATAAGCGAGGAGTGTTATTCTTTCAGGAGAAAAGGGAGTCGCTGGCAGAATGTTCTTTCAACTACATTGTTCCCCGCTTGTAGAACTTCTGAATGCGTCTCCCATTCTTTTTTAGAAGCGGCACGTGGCCGGTTGCAGAAGTTAGAATATTTCACCACCATGACGGCTAAAAATCTCGCATGTCAAACGACGGCGACGACATTTCCCGAACCACCAAAAGACATTTCTGCGTATTTAATCACCCGAGAACAAAGCCCCCGGAAACTAAATAAACCATGCTCGAGCGTAGATTATGCCGACCAGTAATGCAGCTGTCCGCGAGCCATGGAGGACATGCCGCGAGCAGACGAAAAGTGTACTGGTTGCCAGAAACCCCGAGCTAATCCGCTGAAGTATCGGCTTTCTCCCGCCAGAATCCCGATGTGAGAAACAGGTTGGGGTCATCTGTCCGCGAGCCGTGCGGACGAGGGGAGTCGCTAATGTGAGGTCACGTGACGCGCCGTCCGTCGTCTGAATGCATAATGGTGTATTGAGACGACGGACCGAGTCCGGATAATATGGGCACTTTTTTTTCCACAAAACCCGGCTCCAAGTTTTTAGTGTGCCTATTACGAGGGGTAAAATTCACGAAAATTTCATTTCCAACTACAGCATAAACTGTTAATGTCGAGGTAGTTGCGAATATCAGCACTACATCTGTAGCAACCTACTTCATAGGCTTTACTAGCACAAAACGTGTTGAGCATGCACTCTTGCGTGTCCAAGAATTGAGGCATGCAATGTGGTCTGCATTTAAATTTTCAGCAATTGCCATCGAAAGATCCCCGTTACCAACGTAATAAACGTTTAAAAAAAAAAGAAAAATAAGTGCCATCTCGGAAATTCGCTGATTATGTTTCAGGTCACCTAGGTTATGCGCATTATGACGATTGGAATTTAGTGCACTGAACGGTACCAATCATTCGATTTCACGGGCTCGTACCCAATATGCAAGACATTACAATTAAATCGCGAATCATCATTCGAGTGTTACAAGCGCTACCAACCACTATTTTCCTTTAAGTAGAGCCACCCAAGAGAGGTACATTGGTTCTGCACAAAACCGAAACTTTGATTGCCTGCGACCGCCACCGAAAAGCACTAATCGTGATTAGGCCTAGCTAGCCTACGATTCAGCATGTTGTTGTAGGAAGTTTTTACACGACAGCATAAAGATTGGGCGTCGAAAAGATCGCTCTCAAGCAAATGATCCAAGAGCAAGGCACGTGATACGTTGTTAAGGTTCGTGGCCAGGAAGTCAACAGTGACAAAAGTCCACAAACCTTGTGCATGTCTGAGTAGTGGCAGCAGAGCCAAAAGCTCCTGTCGGAAAGCTGAAATTCGCGGACGAGGTGTCAAACGTGATATAAACAATGTTTTTCCGGACAGGAAACTCAATGTGCACCTGATAAGGACGTGATCGAACGTTTCATGCTTAGAGAGCGCGGCCAGAGCCACGCCAGTGTCAGTGCTAAGGTTACTCCGACACCCAAGCGACTGCCATTTTCTTCATTCGGTGAGCCTGCGGGGCTGGTACAGCACTGGCATGCTCTTTTTTCTTTTTTTCCTTGCTTCAATCAACGTAAAAGGTCCGTGCAAACACGGTACAGAATTACTGATCACGGCCAGGTCTGGAGTGCGCCTATTATGTGTGGAATTAAAAAAAAATCTGATTTCTCGGGGGGGCGCTATTATGCTTGCTATTGTGCGGGTGGGCATATTATGCAAGTAAATATGGTATTTTATCCTCCCGCTTTGAAGATGCAGTAATTTTTACTGCAGTTTTGTTATTTCATTCATCTGTGTCCCTTCTTGTGCTACCTTGGGAATTACGGGCTAGACATTCTAATAAATTGGTTACTATGTCGGCCTCGAAATAGTGGAACTGGTATCAATGGCGTTGTTGGGACGATCGGCAGAAACATGCCGACGTCTTGTCGAGGATGAGACTCAGTACAGGGATGTCAGTTTCGAGAAATAAAAACAAAATGAACAAGAAGGCTGCTTTGATATCTAGCAGCCACAGCAGTCGCAGTATGTAGTGTCACAATGTTCCTTATTTTCCTCGCGCCAGAACCAGAACTGTATTTTAAAAACACAAATTTGAGCCAATTATTTGCTCACCTAACTGTATGCGCGTACCCAACATAAACCTTTCCCTCCCCTGCAAAAAACAATGTGTACCACAAATGCACTCATACATAGTTAACGTACATGTTGGAGGCATCGGAACATCCCCTGGTTAAGTTTCCACCTGACTCAACTTTTATTTGGTTTAAAGAGCTTGTAGTTTTGTGTAATTAATAATTAAATAGTAGGGGAGTGGCAAGTCGGAAGTCCCAGTACGATTATACTCCTTTAACGAGTGCCGCTTCAGTTTTTGCTTGCTTGTCCCGCTGACTGCATTTTCCTTTCCAGCCAAAGCGGCACTGTTAGTTCTGATCCCGCAAATGAGGGATGCCAACCAGAAAAACGAAAAGGGTGAAGGACTCTCCACAGGACATTACCGTAAGTTCTTCTAATTCCCCATATACACTTTGGGTACCCTCGAACCTCATTATAATCAGAGTTTCATTTTAGAGAAAAATAAGTTCGTTAAATCCAAACATTTGTTATAAGGGCGCATTCCTAATACTGTATATATTGCAAGACTGGTTTTTATGCACTTCGGTATAACTGATAATTCATTATATTCATGTTCGTTATATCGAGGTTGGAGTGTACCTTGGCACTCTCACTAAATGAAAATCTGTTAAACGAAACTGCTGCTTAAATGGAACAACTGCCTTTGATATGATTTATGTGGTGGGAAAGAATACCCAGCGAAGATATGCCAACCCTGAAGATAAAAACGTGGAGGATGACGAGGGTTACTTTCGGAACTACACCAAGAAGCTTTCTTCTAGCGGTCACGATTCATCGACATTTTGATAAATTCGAAGAAAAATATCCTGCAGTTGTGGCACAACTCTTGAAAGGAATCTACGTCGATGACGTTTTACTGGGAGCCGACGAATACTCGACATCGACAAAGACATACAAAGAAGCACGAGACATTTTTCATAATGCGAGAATGAATTTAAGAAAATGGATTTCAAATGACGCCGAACTAAGAAAACTATTTGATGAAAAAGGAGATGATCTGGATCGAGGGATAAGAAAAGAGGGACAAATCAAGCTTTTGGGACTGAAATGGAATTTTGTAGACGACGTGTTGAGCTTTCCCAACACTACATGGCGAAATGACAAAGACATGAGACAACTCTCAAAAAGACAGGTTTTGCAAGCCACGGCAAGACTATATGACCCTTTAAGTTTTTTGACACCATTTTCAGTTAGAGAAAAAATATTGCTGAAAAAATTTGGATGGATAAACTGAAATGGGACGACCTGTTACCAAGCCAGCATCGATCAGCTTGGAAAGACTGGTCAGAGGAGCTTCAGCACTTAGATCACTTCACCGTTAACAGATGCTATGACAACAGGCAAGCTGAAGTGAAAGCATCGACTCTACACGTGTTCTCCGGTGCAAGTCCAATGGCGTATGGAGCAGCAGCATACTTTGTAACAGAATACTCCGATGGAAGCAATGAAGCCAATTTAATCATTGCAAAAGGTAGAGTCGCTCCAATCAAAAAGATTACACTAGCAAGATTGGAGTTGTTGGCGGCTACAATATCAGTCAGATTGGCCAGTCATATAACTGAGAATTTCATCAGGAAACTAAAAAGTGTGAAATTTTAGACTGACTCTCAAATTGTAATATGCTGGATAAAGTCTAACAAGACGAAAGATCTGTTTGTTCGCAATTGCTCAGCAGAAATTAAGAGCAAGTCCAACAAGAGTCAATGGGGTTATGTTAAAAGTGATGAAAATCCTGTGGATTGGATGACAAGGGGGATGAAGATGAAACGCTTGCTGGACAGTGTATTATGGTGGAAAGGCCTCACGTGGATCAAGAATGAAAAACAAAGGCCTGATTATGACATCATGCAAGAATCGGACAGTGATGACAACAAAGACGAACAAAAGATCGTGGCAAGCTTAACTACCACCACGAGTGAAGAAAAGATAATTGATGTGAACAGGTTTGGATCATACGAGATAGCGTTATGAGTTACCGCGTGGGTGATGCGTTATATAGGAAACCGACGAAAAGAAAGGAAAACAGGTTCGCTCACAGGAGAAGAATTGGACAAGGCAAAGTTTGTGTTGATAAAGCAGGAACAGAAAACGTTACAAAGTGCAATGACACGAAGATTTGACAACACGAATCTGTACGGCATGAACATCTTCGAAGATGATCAAGGTGTCCTAAGAGTAAAAGGGAGGCTTCAGTGGAGTGATTTGAGCTTTGATGAGAAGCATCTCATTGTTTTACCAAGAGGAAGTCACTTTTCAGAACTAGGAGTGCTGAACGCACATCAAGTGACAATGCACGGTGGTGTTGCGGCAACATTGACACATCTAAGAACGAAGTTTTGGATTGTGCGTGCCGACATATGGTGAAATATGTGATAAAAAAATGCATCACATGTAGGAGATTTAATTCTAGATCAATGGCACAAGAAATTTTACCACTACCAGCTGACAGGATAACACAGATGAGGCCATTCGACACAGTTGGTATACACTTGGCTGGACCGCTAAATGGTCGACAGGAGAAAGGCAATGAAATTATAAAGTATTACATTGTGATATTTAAGTGTGCAGTAACAAGAGCCATACAACTGGAGTTGGTCAAGAGGATGTCATCAGGAGCGTTTATACAAGCATTCCGAAGATTCGTAGCTAAAAGAGGATTGTGTACAACTATTTACAGTGATAATGCAGGAGCGTTTAAGAAATCTGAGAAAGAGATGAACAAGATATTAAAGATGGAAGATGAAAGGGTGCAACAGTATATCAGTAACCTGAAAATAAAACGGAAGTTTATTGTAGAGTTGGCTCCATGTTGGGGAGGATTTTATGAAAGACTGATCAGAAGCTTTAAGGCGTCCATGGCAAAAACTATAGATGCTCGACTTTTGGATGAAGAAGAACTATGGACTGTGGTTGTTAAAGCATAAGGAGTAATTAACAACCGGCCTCTTACTTATGTGTAGGACGATCCTAACGAGCCACAACCCATCACACTGGCGGACGTTATAGGAGGCAGGCAAGCAATAAACAAGCAGGAAGAAAACAGACTCGGAGAATACAGTTTGCTGAATTACTGGAGTGCGAGAAAACAGGCAATGACAACATGGTGGACCAGATGGAAAAAGGAGTACCTGAGGGAGCTTAAGTGTGCCAGTAGAAAAATGAGCGTCACACAAATGTACAAGAAGGAGATGTACTTCAGCTTGGAGAAGGGCGAAAAAGAACTCAGTGGAAACTTTGCAAGGTTGAAAACATTTTTCCAGGCAAGGATGGACTCGTGAGAACATGCTTGCTTCGTACACCTGAAGGAAAACTAGTCAAGAAGCCAATTCAACTGTTGTATTCGCTCCAAGGTTGCTTCGGTTGAATCTGGCCGGCAGGAAAATGTAGAAAACAGATTGAAGATGGAGCTCGGGGGCAAGGAAGAAGAAGTGGCCAGGGGCACGCTCTGTATTTTTTTTAATTTCCTGTTTTGTCAACAATGAACCGAAGACGTATCGGTCCTACGGTCTCTCTGGTCCTTCTGAAACAACTGATAAAGACACACACCTGCATGTTGATTGATATGTTGGGTTTAACGTCCCAAAACCACCATATGATTATGAGAGATGCCTAAGTGGAGGGCTCCGGAAATTTTGACCACCTGGGGTTCTTTAACGTGCACCCAAATCTTAGCACACGGGCCTACAACATTTCCACCTCCATCGGAAATGCAGCCACTGCAGCCAAAATTCAAACCCGGGACCTGCGTGTCAGCAGCCGAGTACCTTAGCCACTAGACCACTGCGGCGGGGCCACATCTGCATGTTATTTGTCCACTTACTGGAGCATAAGAGTCGTAGTGTTATTCTATTGGCTCATTGCTAAAACGGAAACTCAACAAAGCCCAGTGCATCCAATAGCGGCCTACCTTGCCTGTTAGCATGATGCAATGTTGGCGATATGTCAACTATAGGCAAATGTGTATACAGTCGACTCTCATTAATTCAAACTCGAAGGGACCCCTGGATTTTGTTTGAATTATCAGGCTGTTTGAATTATCAGAAGTTCTCATATATGCGACTCTGGGTAAGGTGACAGCACAAATTATGATCAGACATCTATATTCACACTTTTAAGCATCTCTAGATCCTAACTACACAAAAACAGAGAGCGGTGCATGTATGGTCAACAAGTTTATTGACTATCTACTGCTGACTAGGCCTTTTAAAAAAATCATGGATGGTCAACTGCTTATTTGCCACATGCGCATTTAGCACAAAGCTCTCAATGCCAGTAAGTGCTGCCAGTTGATTCTGAGAGTTTTCTCTTGTTGTCAGAAATTTTCTCACTTTAGCAATGTACTGGAAAGCCTGTGCAGTTGTCACATTTTCCACTTCCGGTTCTTCTTCACTTTCACTGCTGTGTTGTGCTGGCAGCACCTCTGCCACCAAGTCATCGAGTGTGTCCTCCCTGCACACGCACAGGTTATCATCAGTAGCTGCATAACTGTCGAGGTCGGCAGCTATGTTGTGCGCTTTTAGAGCAGACAGCACTTGGCTTTCATCGTCGCCCTCAGTCTGCAAGCAGTCAGATGAAGTGGCAATGCTGCAGCCAGGTATGCGGAAGGCATGCTCGAAGCAGTTCCTTATTGTTGCTGATGTGACAGCATTCCATGCGTCGGCGAGCATGCCCAACGATGAGAGTAGTGTGACACTGTAAGGCATGGAATTGTCCATACATATCAGCATTCTCTTTAGCAGTGTTTTCCGGTAATTAAGCTTCAAGCATTTGATTACCCCTTGATCCAGGGGCTGGAGGAAAGCTGTAGTGTTAGGAGGCAGAAATTCAAGGCGAATTGCTTCCAGCCCCTCCACGTCGCCGTGCGCAGGGCAGTTATCAACAATGAGCAAAATTTTCCTTTTCGCTCGCTTCATTTGCCCATCCAGTTTGCGGAGCCAACCCTCGAACAAAGCTTGCGTCATCCAGGCTCGCGTGTTTCCGTCATATGCAACTGGAAGTGTTCGGACGCCTTTAAAGCACCTGGGACGCTTTGACTTGCCCACAACGAAGAGTTCTGGCTTGTGACTTCCGTCCATATTGGCGCAAACCATGACGGTTAACCGTTCTTTGCTCAGCTTTCCGCCAGTGCAACGCTCTCCCTTGCGACACAAGGTTTGATCGGGCAGGCACTTAAAAAACAGCCCCATTTCGTCGGCATTATATACATCAGCCGGGGAGTATTCAAGCAGCAGGCTTTGAAGTCTAGTCTGCCGCCAGTCAGAAGAAACAGCTTCATCGACCACTGCTGCTTCACCACTCACTGTTTTGAAGGAGAGACCGTGGCGTTCCTTGAACCGAGAAATCCAGCCATCGCTGCACTTGAAATCTTCAATTCCCAAGCGCAAGGAAAGTTCTTCAGCTTTCTCTCGTAGGATTGGCCCATTTATCGGTAAATTGGAGCTCCGTGCGCGCTTGAGCCAAAGAAGCACAACGTTTTCGAGATCCGGGTACGCAGCTTCCCTAAGCCTTTTCCGATCGGGAGCGAAGCGGCTCGCGTTATTCTGCAGCTTGTCTTTGGCTTTCAGAATGGTTGTGAGAGTACTTTTGGTTATTCCATACTTCAGTGCCACTTCGGTCTTCTTTACCCCAGCGTCGACTTCTTGGATAGCGGCCAATTTCTCTTTTAGGGGTAGTGTCCGATATTTTCCTCGCGGTGACATGGTCGATCGAAAAATGCGCAGCACGTAAGAAAGACGGGCAGACCTGTACGCATTCTGTGGGCAGGTCACGTGCTTCGGAGTCGGCCGGCGCCACCGGCACGCCGGAAAAGCAGAGATAAGCCGCGAGCCAGCTTCGTAACCACCGGGCCGTTTTTGTTTTTCGTTTTTTTTCCACCGCAGCGCGGAATGCTGAGAAATGATTGTGTGGCAAAACCTTTTCCCTTGAAGTTTTAAGGCGCTTATTTTTCAATATCAGACTATTATGATAATCATAAGCACGCAAATTTTCAAATATTGCCGGCAAATCAGCAGAAATTTTCCGGTATGGACAGGCAGAAAGTACGAATTAACCGAATGACGAAGTTTGAATTAAGCGGCTTTTAAATACATTGAAAGCATAGCGAGCCAACCAAAATTTTGAATTTTGTATGAATTAACCGAAAGTTCGAGTTATCAGAGTTTGAATTATCGCGAGTCTACTGTAGTAAATTTTAGGTTCGAAGTAAATAGTGATCTTGGTCGAATAATTTTGAATCTGATTCAAATAATCTACGTCACAAATTATAGAGAAAAAGAGGCTCATTTGTCATGACCTAACTTGCGCAATTATTATTTTTCTAAATTTAAACTAAGGCCAGTGCAAATGCCATTCTCCTTGGTTCAAAGGAAGTATAAAAAACTTTTAGTGGTAGCTAGATTTGACTCTCAGCGATAATCTGTAAGATATTTTACATTATGAAGTTTGCTATACTTGAAGCATATAAGCCGGTAAACTACCTTTAAACTTAAAAAGGATGAATTGGCGCGTGGGTAATACCGTATTTACTCGATTCTACCGCGCCCTCGATTGTAACGCGCACCCGATTTCCACCGCGAAAAAAAAAGTAAGACATCGATTGCAACGCTCACCCATTTTTCTCGCTGGCCCGCACGATCACACCACTCGAAAAAACGACTCCTTTCGGGAGCGTCTTCTATTTAAATATGAAGTACGGGCGAAGCTTGTGCCCATCTGACGTGTAACAGAGCATTGCCGTCACTGTAGTTTTACCGTGGACCGATGTCAGCACGCGAACTTGCTTCACCCCCTTCTTCTCGACGGTTGTGGTGCCAGGCATGTCGAAGTAAAGAGGCGTCTGATCGGCATTCCCGATTTGCGCAAGCAGGTAGCCATTGTTGCGCAGCAAGTTTAGAACGAACCTCTGAAAACTGAAGCTTTTCATCGTACTCCTCCGCAAAACTTTTCGCATATGCATGTTCCTCTTCGTAGGGAAAAGCCTTTCCTCTTCATAAAGTTAGTTAGCCAGCACCTGCTCGCTTTAAACTGGCTCCGCATTAGACCTTTTTCTAAGAATAATTGCATAGCCCGCACTAGGAGCAGTTCTGTCGTCACGGGCGGCTGTGCCGCTCGCCGCTCAAGCACATACTCGCCGAGCAGCTCTTTGATTTGTGGAAACCGAGCCTGCTGTGGTCCACTGAAGCCTTTGCGTGAAGCTTTGCTGTCGACAATCTTCTGCTTTTGTTTCCGCCGGTCCCCCACGCACGTTTCAGGAACTTCGAACGACCGCGATGCGGCCCGATTTTCGTCCGTTTCTGCACACGCGATGACTTTTCTTTTAAAATCGGCATCGTCGTGCACTCGAGTTTTTGGAGTCGGCCCTTCCACGCCGTCGATGCTAATGCACTACTAGATAACGAACTCCTCAGCACACGTACGAAGTGCCGCACATGGGAAACACATAGCCAGAAATGGCCGACGCGCCATGCCGACGCTCGTAGGGGGCGGCCATTTTAGATTTGCCGATGGCAATAGATTGACCGTAATTTTTTTGTTCGTACTCGATTCTAACGAGCATGCGATTTATGAACTGGCTTAACCGGAAAAAAGGTGCGCGTTAGATTCGAGTAATTACGGTACGTTCATTTAACGTTAAAGTGGGGCTTCGCAGCAGTTTGGATTTGCCCTGCATATGTGTTTTCGCGGCTTAGCATCTCTTCACTGCAGTGAAACCACGTTTACAGGGATACATGCAGACTAACATACATGTGTTCATTTCGATTTGAAATTTTCAACAATTTGAAGTCAAATACAGTAATATTTATTCAAATAGTCAAAGCATTTTAATATTTGCACAAGTACTCTTAACTACTTTATGATATGTAAACTTTTTCATGCTTGGCATACATAACAGTGCTGAAAGAGCATATGGGCAGGGCTGCACATTTGCACATCGTTCTTATTAAATGGGACTCCCGTTGACCAGAACATTTATTTACAGTCTCTTGAGGTTCCAAGGGATCCGAAGGGAGCCTTATCTTACAGACAGATTTATTTCCAGTCCCTTGAGGTTCCAAGGGATCCGAAGGGAGCCTTATCTTACGGACAGATCAACAGGCTCTTCGTTGATCTCGCGCACTGATGTTTCTTTTAGCTGACCCTGTTGCTGGTGCCAGGAATTTGATAGCTGTGCGTAGTGTCATGGCAAGCTTTTTTTGAAGTTTGTTGTATCTTTTTTTTACACTCAAACCTCACTATAACAAAGTTTCATCTTACCCGAAAATAACTTCGTTATAACTGAAAACTCGTTGTAAAGGTGTATTTCTGACATTTATATATATTGCGAGGGTATTCTTTTATTTACTTAATTATAACCGATATTTCATTATATCGAGGTTTGAGTTTATAATTATTATTATTAGCCAGTTTTCACTCATGCTAAACTGGCATCTGAAGGTAAGCCGCCACCTGTGCTGGTTTCGTGGCACTTGTCGGATGATGCTTCTGTTGCGATGCTTAAGATGGCTTGTGTGGGTATTTTTTATTTTGTCCCTCCCTCTTGCAGTTCTTCGACAACATCAAAGTGGAAGATCCTCGTGTGATTGACCTGTGCGCGAAAACTGGCCAGCTCTCTCCTTACCAGATTCTTCTAGAATGCCTCAAAAGGTAGCCATTCTTCCTTATGTCTTCTTTGTGTGCGTGTGTGTGTTTCTTGAATGCAAAGCACTATGGTTTTCAGTGTCTGTTGGCTCACCTAAGACCCAATGTCCTCAGTAGTAGAAAAGCTGCCATTCCGCAACAAATGACATATTTTGCATATATGTTCAAGCGAACTGACTCCAGATAGAACCTCATTGCCACTGGGCTAATCAAGTACGCCCCGCCGTGGTGGTTTAGTGGCTAAGGTACTCAGCTGATGACCTGCAGGTCGCGGGAGCAAATTCCGGCTGTGACAGCTGCATTTTCGATGGAGGTGGAAATGCTGTAAGCTCATGTGCTCAGATTTGGGTGCACGTTAATGAACCCCAAGTGGCCGAAATTTCCGGAGCCCCCCACTATGGCGTCTCTCAATCATATGGTGGTGGTATTGGCACGTTAAACCCCGCATATTTTTATTAACCCTTTGCAGTTCAAAACTTTTACCCACTTTCTGGCTCTACCAGTCCGAAAGTATTTCACCAGTGTCTAGCACCCCGAAGAAAAATGCAAACTCTGAAAGACAAACTCACAGGATATTTATTTTTGCTCCTGCATTCTACAGGTGACTCCTTTAGCGATATTTGGGCTGCATATGATACCGCTCAAAGCATTCTCCCGGGTGCAGGCTAAGGTTTTTACTGCAGGTTATGCAAAAAAATAGTTTCCCTCCTGCCTCCTTTTATTTGCCTATCGCTACAAATGGCGCCATCTTTGCTGCTTTGGCCTAGGAGCTTGTGGATGAAATGGCTCCTTCAATCTAGTTTTTTTCCGCGCTGTATCCTTGCAGATAAGTCCCGCTTTCGGGCTCCTGCCCTCATGTCACCCACAAGCTGTTGCATGAGGTTGCGGCCATACTGTAGGTGTTGCTATTCGGTCTCTCTATGATTCTCCAGCCGTATGCACCTCAAAATAGAACTATTGACTATAGAAACCTCCAGTACCCATAGAAAAAGCTTTTGGCAAACTTTCATCATCGTGCGACGAAATGCGTAGCTCGCACTCGCGCAGTAATGATCCACCTGGTACTGTGCACCCATGTTTTCTGTGTAGGCGGGGTCTCCCTCCATCATCGCAGTCTTCGTCACTCGCTTCTGTTGAACCACTGTCATGACTGTCTGGTGGAGGCACGTAATTCTCTTCCTTACTGAAGCTTCCGCTAAAAGCACCACCTTAAAACGTACGCAGTAAAATTACGACCAGGCTTCTCAGGGAACCGGGTGCAAGAAAGTACGCTCCGGCCTCCGTGCTGAACATAGTTTTGCACCCCTGTGTAAAAAAAAGTAAACCTCAACAACGCTCACTTATTCCTCAAAAGATGGCACTTCATGTGTTAGAGAAAATGAGGGCCACTTGCAGTGAGAAAACTGCGAAATCAAAACCTAAACACTCCTGTCGGGTGGTGCCAGACAGTGGACAGCTACAGCCATACTAATTTGTCAGGCGCTGCCCGACAGCGGGCCGGAAAGGGTTAATAATCAACTGCTACTCAAGGGCTGCCTGGGGGCTCAGCTCAGGTAATCCAGGTGCCTAGATTCATGGGGCCCTAAACATTTTTTCAAGTAGCGACGGAATGGATTCACCAAAAAATCTTACTGCATCACGAATTCGCTGCTGCAAAAATTTTAAGAATTTGTCCAGTACGAGCGGAATCGCAAAGATTTGTTGCATGCTGCAATTGCATTCTCTCTTCTCTCGTCCTGATGAAAGCGCTGGAAGCTAAGCAGGGAGGGATGCGATGGGCCTTATAAGTGATTTTTGAGTTTTTTCTGTCATTTGTTGAGAGCAGAGAAAGTAATCTTTATCTGACTTTCATAATTTTATTGTGAATACCAGGCCGTGTGCTGTAATATTTGGTTCGGGTGTTATCGAAAGCCTTTATACTACCAATAGGCTGTGTTTTCTGAAATGCGTTGCTCAAAATGTGTTGCAGGGCCTCTTCAATGTTGCCCTACATTTTTAACTGTGTGGCAGGTCTGATGTGACTCCTGAGGCTGGGTGATGCAGCTGGTTATGTTATGTGTGCTTTCTTGCTGCATACCTGGAGTGTTTTGATTCGCAAAAAAATTGGCTCTTTCGTGACAATTTTGACCGTGTTTGCAGCCTGCAAGTTCCTGGTGCTACAAATATGTTGCACTGCGCTGTCATGAGTGTTGTGTTACCAAGGTTTTACTCTTACTATACCTTTTTATTGCAAGTTGTTCATAGAGTGCTGTTCCTAAATCTCTTCTTGCTTCTTAAACTTCTCTTCTGTTCAGGAACTATGGCATGGGGGACACAGAAATCAAGCAAGAGATGAGGACCACGAAGCGCCAGCGAAACGAGTTCATGATGTCAGTTGGAAAACATTCGGCTAGTGTAAGTGCTTTTATACTCGCTTATTTATATAGGTGTCAGGGTGTGTTTCAACGTGCGAACATTACGTGATGGGGGGTGGGGGCATTGGAAATGATTTTATAAAGCAAAACGTCATTCTGTGAACCGCAAAAACTTTCTGGTTTTAAAAAAAGCATACAACACGCAAAATCACACCCACACCACTAATCTTCTGAAAGACTGCATTTGACTCATTTCTCTAACGGAGTACTGAAACGAATTTCGGTTTCAATATCAAAGGCATGGCTTCTCGGTGACGTGTCAGAGCGGTGTGATGTCGCGTGAAGACAGACTGGCAATGTACTTGTGGCAAATAAGTCATCTGCTCGGGCGGCACGTAAACAACGAGGAGCCTATCCTAGTCCAGTGACTCTGACGGTGATTTCTGCAATTTTAGCTGCGCACAGGATGCAAAGCTTGCGAATTCACTCGTCGGGATGATGTCCATTGCAGTGGAGCTGGCTTGCAGATGCTCAACGACGGAAATCTTAAAATCAAAATAAAATATTTTTTATGTGTTGCCTGACTCCGGCGGGGGGAGATTGTTGACACTGCATGTCAAGAAAACGAAAAATGTCCCTTTAAATTTTGTCTTGAAATTGTGTCAGTACTCCTTCAAGGGTGCCCCGACCATTTTCGAGAGTGCAGTTTCAAGGAATTGGATCTTGTTCTTCCAGGGGGTCATGTCGCATGCATACGTGCACACTATAGTTGGATACAACTTTAAAAGTCCGTGGCATTTTCTCCTCTAAGGCAAGCTTGTGTGCATCTGCACACAATTGCGCCAATAGGCATGCACTCCAAACTGTGCAACGTGAGCCGGCTGGCCTGTGACCCCGCCGTCCGAGAACTTTGCCGAGAGCATGAGGAGGAATATTTCTTTAGTTGTGGAGACAATCGGCCATTCCCATTCAGTTGTCTGGACGGGGCCTCGCTGGGCTTCTCAAATAGGGTTGCCACCTGTCTGGTTTTTGACAGTCCTGGCCGGTTTTTTAGACGGCAGGCCAGTTGCCGATTCACCGGCCCCCATTGGCCGGTTTTCTCTGAGCTGTAAACAAAGCGTCATTGTAATCGAGGGTATTTCTTTGTCAGCAATTAGGCTATAATAGGTTAACTCAGCGGGCCGATTTTGTTTGTACATCAAGTTTATTGACGCAAGGAAAGCAATAGCAGTGCCAAAGACCTGACATGGCTTCCATAGTTCAACACTAATTTAATCTCCTTCTAGCTCACACAGCCCCCCCTCACCCCTAAGCTCCTTCTCATTAAAGGATGAGAAGCTCCATCAGTAGGTGACTCAACTTCCATCAGTAGGTCACGTACATGCACACGCTGATTGCCATTGCAGCACACGTGTCCCCCACATAAGCATAAAGCTTTTAGTAACACTTGTGTAGTAAAATTTTGATGCCATGCCTCATTATGCAGAATACACTGCCACTTAAAATGGTCAGCACAACAGTCACCTCTCTCTCTCTTTTCTAATGCTAATGTGATACTTTTCGTTGTCGTGATGCTATTTGCATTGACATTGATAATGAATGTCAGTCGATTGCTGCTCTCATTGCAGGGCCTGGTTTTTTGTTCGAGAAAGGTGGCAACCCTATTCTGAAATTGTATTCATCTTTAGAGTGATCGTTGCCATTTTTCAGCAGTGCTCCTCTTCCTCTCCTTCAGGTAATTTGTAGAAACAAGAAGGACGGGAAGCAGAGGGCGTCTCAAGCAATTCTTCAAGTGAGTCTCGTTCCTGTATTTCACGCTGAAGTCTTGGCGCCTGAACGCCATGGCGGCATCATGGCCCATATTTTAGCCGTATTGGCCTAATAAAATTTCGTAGAACTTGTCCCGGTTCTGGTTGCTTGAAAACATTGCAGCAAGTTCAAGTGTTAAAAGCACTTTATGTGCGAAGAGTGTTCGTTTAGTAGTGTAGAAATCCGGGCTAGTTGGCGGTGCATCGTAAAATATCGCAAACATACACGGGCGTGTCAAATTCTTGCCGCGTCCGTGGGTTGTTGCACTATTTTACAAAGCATTCCTTTAGCTAGAACAATAGGTTCCAGGTGGCCATTTGACTCGCTTCCATCAGTAGGTCACATACATGCACGCGCTAATTGTCATTGCAGCACGCGTGTCCCTTGCATAAACATAACGCTTTTAGTAACTTTTGTGTTGTAAAATTTTGATGCCTTGCCTCATTATGCAGAATACACCACCACTTAAAATGTTTAGCACAACAGCCAGCTCTCTCTCTCTTTTTTCTAATGCTAATGGGATACTTTTCATTGTGGTGATGCTATTTGCATTGACATTGATAATGGATGTCAGTCGACTGCTGCTCTAACTTTTCTCAACAGGACTCCCGGTTTAATTGCTTTTGATCGTAAGTGTGCTTCATCGGGAACCTCATGGAAAGAACATTCTAGCACACCATGTGTGACTGACAATACTGCCGCTTCTTCTTCTGTCTGTCCCTGATTCAGGCCTTGCATCCCCATATCACGTCATGGGGCTCACTGCTCAGGCTTTACGGAAAGGGCTCCTGCAAGACGCTCAAGGAGAAGAAAGTGAGTTCGGTCATAGTGCCTCATCCCGGTCTCATAGACTTTGTACCCATTATAATCCAACCAAACGTCAATGCACAGTTGCCGACTGATCTTTCGTTTCAAGAAAGAGGTGATGGTTTTGGGAGCGAGCATCACAGTTGGAATTGAAAATAGGAGCGAGCTTGGAGTTACTACACTCGAAGCTCACTATAACAAAGTTACATGTTATGCAAAAACGACCTTGTTATATCCGAAAATTCGTTATAAATGTTTATTTTTAACACTATATTTATTGCAAGACTATGTTTTAATTACTTCATTATAACCAACATTTCGTTATATCCAGTTTTGTTATATCTAGCTTTGAGTGTACTTACACAGAGTTCAATTTTGCTGCCACCGATGAACATCACGCGACCTGCCGTTTGCATTTCGCGAAGGGCATTGCCAGGGAGCTTTCCACATCACAGCTTGATGCTTTGGTCATCAAGGAAGGAGGTTGACGCATGCTGCAGTACTGATAACGGAAATGCGTCGTGTCAATTGATGAGTTGTGCGAAAACCAGGGATGTCACGTGCGCAACTTTTATTATTCATAAAGTGATTGTTCAGTGATTTGGGCTAGAAGACAACACAGACAGATAGTATGATAAATTCTTCAGCTTCAAAGAGATTCATTATTCATCTAATATTTTTGGCAACTTTGATGACAGAAATTTAGTAGGGTGCGGATATTTCATGCGATTCCGCTAAGTTCGTATCAGCGAGGTTTTCCTTTGTTCAGAATTTTCACTTAGTCCTGCATAAGCAATAGTATAAATTGGGGTCGCACTGCAACTTAAAGTCTTGCCTGCAACTGTGCTGCATCAATGGGAGCTGGTGCTTTGCAGGAAGAAGAGCAGCGCATCACGGGATTGCAAAGCAAGGCTAGTGCCAACAGACCCAACCTGAGCATCCTGCAACAAGCTCAAGGAAGAAATGTTGAAGCTCAAGGAGCGGACGGTGAGCTGACTCTGAAGCATGAAACATTTTTTTTTTATTGAAGGTTTCGTTTGAATTAAAGGCCTTCAGTGTCGCCTAAGTGAGAGTACCATATTTACTCGCATAATAGGCGCTCCCTCAGTTTGGTTGCGAGAGATCAGATTGTTTTTATTTCTGCGCATAAGAGGCACACCCCAAACTGCGGTTAGCAGCTCTGTACTGTAATTTCATGGTTGTAATTGGATGCCCTCTTACGTTAACTGAAGCAAGGAAAAAGAAAAAAAATCACGGCATGTCCACGGAGTGAATAATGATTGGTGGGGCGAAGCGTTCGTCAGTTTCTCCATGCTTTCGTCCACCCATTCGTTTTTGCTTCCGTGCGTCCATCCATGTGACCGTCGGTGTGTCCATCCGTCCTTCCTTCCCTTCATGTGTCCGTTCGCACATCCGTCCTTCCATCTGTCCGTCCGTGCTTTCGCTCCTCTGTCTGTCTGTGCGTCCGTCAGGTCTGTCCGTCCGTCTACCTAGTGGACACTCCAAGTACAGCCATCTCACATCTTTTCATCATCTATTCATCATATACAAGTGCCGTCATCCAGCGGACCCTCTAAGAACCGCTCTTTCGAGTATGTGCCACCGGTGGCTACATACACCATCAGAGAATGGACAGACCCACACCCTAAGGAGCTTCGCCCCCAAAATGACCACAGCCATACCTGCGCCAGCTCCGCAGGCTTGTGGAGTGAGGGAGAAGGGTGACTGCCGGAGTATCGAAGTAATCTTTGCACGGGTGCCAACGTGGCTCTGGCCGCTAGCCGGCCGCGTGTGCTCTGCATGAAACGTGCGACTGTGTCCTCGACAAGTGCACATTGAGTTTCTTGTCAGGAAAAGTAGTCGTGGCCATTGCATTTTCTTCCTTGTCCGCAAGTTTAAAAGCAGTTCGGCTTTTCCGGCGCGAGCTTTTTCCTTTGCTGCCACAACGCGGGCTTGCTCAAGCTCGGCAGACTTATGTCGCCATTGATTTCCTGGTGCTGAACCTAAACATTATATCATGGTGGCTGCTCGAGTGCGATCTTTTTGGCGCCTAATCTTCATGTGTGCAAGCTTCCCGTGGGCGGTCAAAGTTGCGATTTCGTACGGAATCAGTGTAACTCTTTTCAGTGGCTCTACTGAAGGAAAAGGGGGCTTGGGTGGCACTTTAAACACTCGAATAGTGCTTCAGCGATTCATTGCAATGTCTTGGATATGGGGTGCGAGGCCCGTGAAATCGAACGATTGGTATGATTCAGCGGACGAAATTTCGGTCGTGCGCATAATTAGGTGGCCTGAAATGTAATCAGCGAATTTTCCCGATGGCACTTTCTTTTCGTAGTTATTTTTTTCGTGCTCATTTCATTGGCAATGTGGGTCTTCTGATGCTAACTTTGGAACATTTGAATGGACACTGCAGTTGCATGTCCTTGATTCTCGAACTCGCGCGACTGCATGCACGTGTTTTGCACCATTGGGAAGAAGGTTCTTTAAGTTGTAGTGCGGATATTCGTGCCTTCGGCGATGTATACGTCACGAGTGGTTTTTGCTGTAGTTGAAAACAAAGGTTTCTAGAAATTCACCCTGTGTAATAGGCGCACCTCGAACTTGGGGTCGGATTTTCTGGAAACAAAATGCGTCTATTATTCGAGTAAATACGGTAGTAATTCTTTTGCTAGCATGGCCAATTCGAGATGAGCAGGTCATTCACCATTCAGTGCGCGATGTCACACATATCACGTATTTACTCGCATAATCCTCGCACTTCTATTTCACGAAAAAAAGGTGAAAAGTTGTGGGGTGCGAGAATGATGCAGGGAAAATTTTCTGCCAAAATTCTACAGATGCCAAAGAGAAAATTAAGGGGCCGCGAATTGGGATTTTTACGCGAGCGACTAACTACAACAGGGTGTATACCAACCTGGAAAAGTCGGGAAATTCGAACCCTTCTGGAAAGGACATTGAAAAGTAAGGGAATTTCTGAAAAATCTGGCCAGGGAACAAACAGCGCTTGTTTGTGTTTCTTCTCTTCGTCCCGTGAGTTTGTGCGCTGTTTCTGCCCATAATGTATCACCTAACTAGCCCAACTTTCAGTCTTGCTTCAGGGTTATGGAAACTAGTTCTGTGCGGCCATCACAAAAATAAGCATTACCATCCATCAAAGCTTAAACAGTCGCTCTTCTAACTGCAACTACAGTGAGCTGCGAGAAGAGGTGGGGAAAAAAAAAACAGTGCGTAACTGTTGCTTCCTATCGTAAACGCGATAGGATACACCGACTCATGGAACACAAAGTATACTGACGTTTCAGCACCCATTATGGGAGAGAGCCTCGTTCACAATAAAAGCCACAATAAAGACACAGCGTACTTAAGTACACCTAAATACGTGACGTAAGCAGTGAAAGTATATTGTCAGAAGCGTCCCATCACTCCTGTTCAGCGTGTGTACAGTTGTCTGTATCTGGATTCCAGGTGCAGGCATGACTGAAACCTTCTTTCGATTTCGGAGCATTTTATAGTCGAACCTACTCGCAAATCCGGCGTTAGCGATAGTGTCTACGCCCCTACTGTGCATGCTTGCATCTCGCGCCTCGTGCCAACTGTGCTTCCCTTCCTTCTGGCCTCGCAAGGCTTACTCATGCAGCGTCTGCTTGTAGAAACCGGCTGCTCGTGCTGCACAACCGTTCACTGGCCACCTCGTATATGTACACACTAAATCCGGTGTTCATAATTCACTCAAGAGCATCTTTACTTGGCTTTCGCTTGACTTGACGCTTTTCTTGACTCGATGCGATGGAAGCATCAGTACCTTCAACCAGCCGTGGGGCACAACCTAACATCAGTGTTCCACCACTCGTTGAAGGCAACGCTTCTCCTTCATTCAATAAATCATCATCATCAGCCTGACTACGTCCACTGCAGGACAAAGGCCTCTCCCATGTTCCGCCAGTTAACCCATTCAATAAATACAAATAATAAAGACGAAATAACAATTAAGCATTCCCAAACCATACCCAATTACGCAACATTCACGTGATACCCCCCACTCTTTGACGCATTGACTCGAGGTCTTCCCCTCCCCCCACCCGTAAGAAGATGGGGCGTTTTTTGTTGTTTTTTTTATCAGAACACACGTGTTTGACCAGCATATTTGGTGGTCTGTAGATTGTGCATGTTCGGCGAGGGTATTCGGGGCCACGCGTTTCGTGGCATCATAATCTATGTTGTTTAACCGTTTTTTGAGATCGCCAGTTTCACTGATGTACTGGTTGTCACAAATTGTGGCAGCCTACGGTATGAACAAGACCAAGGAAATCTGCTCAGCAACTTGTCCTTAACATTGGCTAAAGGTAACTGCCGACATTCTTGATTCATCTGTGGAATCCAGGTAGCTGTTGCACATTGGCAGATTCCATCTTGCCCCCACATAGTCAAATGTTGGCACTTTAAACGCTGTCCCCAGCTTCATCATCGCAGCCGTCCGAGGACTTTTGTTGCACTTCAAGCGTCAGTTGCACTTCAAGTGTCAGAGCCCAGAGACACAAAATACAAACACGCATGCGCTCGTTGGAAAAAGAAAGAAAATTTTGCAGTACGACTCTGTTCTTGCAATGTTGTCATTACTCGTTGTCAAGACAAGGTACACAGAATACGCGAGAAGTAGTTGTTCTTTTTTTTTTTTTTTTTCAGAGAAGTATATTGTAGAGGTGCGCAAATTAGGCGGGGACGCAAGTCAATAGTCAATACTACAATCCAGGTCGAATCAGATCCAGTCCAATTCACATCCTAAGTAGTTGAGTCAGTAAACACAGCAGTTCAGGTCGATCTAATTCAATGCAATGCACATCCTAAGCGGCGTGGGCTACAGCCATTATAGTCAACTAGATTATACTCCGGTGGCAGAACTGGCCAGGCTCCCGTGTCCTCATTTTGCACGGATGCCGCGAGATGGCACCACTTCTACGTTTCCTAGCAGCTTTGACTGGAATGTCGGACTTTTAACTGGTGGGTTTGCTTCATGGTTCTTCCGAACGTCAAACAGCTGACTTGCTCACTACCTGGCTCAGGGTTTTTTTGCCAGATATCCATATTTATTCCCATTTACCACACGCGCTCAGAACATTCTGAATGCGTCTAGTAAATATCTTTTCTTATTTCATATGGAGCGCCTCATTTTTCTTTTTTACCACTCGAGAATTTGTTTCCAGGGTCACATAATTTGCTTTTAATCATCATGAAAAACCTGGAAAGGTCAGGGAATTTAGAAATATAAAATTGGTAGACACCCTGAAGTCTACAAGCTTTGGGAAGTACTAATCAAGAATTACCTCAACAATAAAACCATAGGTTCAATACAAGACAAGATTTATATGAGCCAAAAAGCCACAAACAAATAGTAAAGAAATACCGTATGCAAAGCTCGGGCATTGTGGGCATAGTGTTAGCGTTCATCACAAAACAACAACCGCCAAGAGGTTGGCGTCAACCTACGGCGTCAACGTTGGGCCGATGGCCATCTAACACTAAGTTGTCCGCAGTTGCCATCCAACGAGATAAAATTTTACCATCCATCCCACTTTTAGGTACACGGAAGGCCCAACGCATCTTGGTGATTTTCAGCTGATCGTGCTGCCGTCGCCAGTAGGACACACAAAACTCGTCGACTCTAAAATGCCTACTGGCGGCCCTGTTGCCGTTTTTTAGTTTATGATCAATCTCTTTCAACTAGAAAGCAGTTGTGTAACTTCCTTATCGCCCTGGAGAGTAACCACAGAATGAACACAACGCACACTGGCCACTTTGGCTTGGATTAGATTAGGGCTCGTGTGTTGATAGTACGCATAATGCTTATAAGATGGCACCAAGCTATTGTGCGCTGTCATCATCAGTGGGTTGAAAGAGCAGACGACATTCTTGCTGCAATCTTTCGCAGGTGCAATAATTACGTGCAGAAAAAAAAATTATTTTTGCTAGCCAATGCGGGGGGGGGGGGAGAGAATTACGCAAGTAGATATGATACATGTGCACGAAAGTGTCAGACACGTGCACCTACATTGACGCAAGTTTGTCAAGTCAAGAGCTCAAAATGTTGCGATGGCAGGATTTGAATTCTTGACCTCTGGAACCGAAACTCGGGTACTTTACATCATACATCACACGCACTTGAATCATCAGGTAGAACCAAGCAGTTCACACAAAAAACGCAACATGCGTCAAGTTGATGTCACTGCTCCTTTAAAACTGACATATACCGCTTACCCTACCACACTTCCTTAAGAGGTTTTGGTTTACTTAGAGACTACTGTATTACTTGCATTCTTCTGTATACAATAAAACATAACAGTGTGGCACTTCTTTGCAGTATAATTTTCTTTGCCACATTTTTTATTTTCTCCCAACAGGAGACGGTGAAGCCCATAGGCAAGTTCACTCCTCAGGAGGCGGACTTTCCGTCACTCTCAGCGGTGGATCTGAAAGTTCTCGACATGTGACTCTTCTGCCGCAGTCTTAGTCAAGCGTATTCTGGTCACGCACATTCCTCGTTCCATTGCAACCAAGTTTCAACACAAGTGTTCGTTCTGCCCATGTCGTGGCCTCTGGCATCTTCAACTGTGTGTGTACATTTCGAACTGCATTTTTGTGGCGTTTTCTTGCTTTTAGCTTTATTTTAATAAGTGCCCTGTACTTTCTATATGCATGTTACTGTATAAGCTCGTTAATTTGAACTCGTAAAGGACTATAATACTGTTTGTATTACCAGGCTGGCACTATACTGAATGGACATTGCACCACACTGCGTGGGCACAGCTGACTCGCTCTCATGAATTAGGTGCAACTACACATATGTGATAGGTTATTTCGTAAATTAAGTTGATGGAGCTCCCGTAGCAGACAGTCTGTGATACACCAGATACAAACCCTGACATGTATTCATGTGGACAGTGAACCCTAATGTTAAATATATGATGCTATTTGTGCACCGAATTGTGTTTATATACATGGTTGCTAACGTTATAAAAACGAAACGTAATCAGTAATTACTAATTTTCATTGGCTTGCTTTTCTTATGTCACGACTCCATGAGCATTGTTCGTAGGTTGCCTAAGGGGTTTCAAAGCACTGTTGGAATTGTAATCTGCTGAGCAATGCTGTTTTGAACTTCTGGTAAACTTGGTTTGATTCGGTCTTGCAACATATTGCGATAAATTCAGGCGGACTTTGCGAGAAGCGACAGGAACCAAGGACTCCCAGTTCGAATTCAGCCGTTGTGGATACCAACGCGTTCAAACTGCTGGGAGTTTTCTCCCATATTATCTACACAGGGCTGTGCCCGGACAGAGGCACCAGTTAGAATTAAGTGTAAATTTGGAATAACCTTGTTCAAAGTAACGAGCTTTTACTGTATTGCAGTAAAGGTGCGGCCAGCACAGAGCCATCGCTATCTAGGGAGCCCTCGCTAAGTATGTCACAAATTGTTTCAGTGAAGAAAGAAAGAATGATTGCCGAAAGTGAGGTGTTGAGCCAAAGCCCACTCTACTTCCCTCTGTTAGTGGTCTCTGTCAACGATGTCTGGTGTCATTATCTGTCGCTTCTCCTCTTTCGCAGTATACACGATAAACTTGCATAAGGGCTGCACTCTCAACTTGGCAGCACAGTTACCGCGGTGGTTCTATGGTTACCAAGCCTGGCTGCTGACCCGAAAGATATGGGCTCTATCCTGGCCACAGCGGTCACATTCCAGCGGAGACAAAATACTTTAGCCGATGTGCTCTGTGATGTCAGTGCACGTTTATGAACCTCAGCTGGCCGAAATTATCCGTTGAGCCATCTACGTATCAAAGCGCAACCAACTGGGCAGTCTAGATTTGGTGGAACAGAAATTAAACAGAGAAGAACAAAGTTACCGTAATTCTGACCATTTTTCTCACCTAATGCATCTAATGGTTTAATGAGGGTACTCAATCGGATGAATTAATTAGACTAGATGGCTCGGTGACGAGTGTGGGACTACATATTGTAGGGGGAAAAGAGGGGAGGGTAGGGCAGCCTTTACTCAAATCTGTACAGTGTTACATTTAACTGGATGCAATTGTGTGGACTTTCTCTTCAAACTCTTTCTTTGTGCAAGAACGAACTAAGGTGATCGTGTCGTGTTGTAAATTGCAATTAACATTTGCCCGTGGCTGCTTCTGACACCGTAGACTGTTTCTCTGATAGGAGGCAGCCTGTATTGAAGAGGCTAGGTAAAGGAAGCTCAAAGCCTCGCTCAGTACTACAAACACGGTGCTGTGTTTCATATGTTAGAAAACAGCAGTGTGTGTGTCGATGCGTGCAATATAACTAAGGCATTCCATGATGTCTAGGAGACTGGACACTGTGACAAACAATGGATGCCCTTAATGATTTCACTGTGATGTGTGTACTACTGTCAAGTTGGCGTTTTTTTTACCGAGGTGTACAAAGCAGCCCAAGCAGACATGCTGTTGAAGCATCCTTGTTGAAATATTCGGTAAACCATTCTTAAAGTTGTACGTCTTCCATATAATAGTGAGTTACACGTGTATTTGACTGAACTTTCTTACCAAATTTATGAACAGCATATGGAATTGTTATGGAACTGAATTTCATGTTGTTCCTTACTGCATTCCATATTTGTGTACATACGGAACTTTTCAATACGGATGTTTCGGACATGTATGCCTTTACACATGCTAGTGCTTCAGTAAGTTGGTTTCTTTCCCCATTGTGTTTTAGTCATGCCCCAGTCATGCACATGGTTTTTCAGAGTCCTTTGAAGTGAGGGAGAATGCACAGTGAGAGAGGAATCTGTCGAAGACCGTCTGCTCTTAAACCTCAATATAACGAATGCAGATATGATATATTGGTTATAACGAAGTAACTGAAAGTCTTCTAATAAATGTAGGGTTAGGGATATACCTTTTAAAAAAATTTTGGATATAAAAAACTTATTTTCGTAGGAGCTGCAGGTTTGCTATAATGAGGTTTGAGTGTAGTTGAAAGAAACGTTGAGATTAGGTGCTGGAATATCAGTCTTTTCTCTTCCTTATTTTGAAGGATCTTGTGTGAACGGATTTGAGGAGTTGTTCTTCCGAACGTTTTGTGCTACTTCGTCAGCTTCTTAAGCATCGAGCAATCATATTGTACCGATTTTGCACAACCTGCCATTAGGAGCAATGAGGGTGTGTGGAGCTTGCCTGCTTTTGTGTGTGTATGTGTGTGTGTGTGTTTGTGCTAGCAAGCCCGAAATGCTCTCGACGCTGTTTCGGCTTTGTGTCGACACATGTAGAAAAAGCAGTCTCATCTTTGCGAAGGTTGTCATTGAAGCTAGAATGTCGTAAAGTATCTAGCCCTCATTTTGTAGTGTTTTACGATGTTGCTCGTTTGAATCATTACACAGAGACTCCACTACGGTCACTAGCACAACGAAGTCATTGGATGAGAAAGCTTTAGCGTGGTCAAGATGCAGTGCTAGTCTAGACGTATTCTGGCAGACGAAGACATTAAAGAAGCAGCCCATGCGGAGACATCTTTTGGCACCACGCTACCAGTGTGCATGCCGAGGAATTCGATTTGATGGCTGTGATGTTAAGTATGCTGATGGCAGTGTCACAACTACAAAAGTGGTTCCTTCAAGGAAGCGACTTGTACGAGAGAAGAACATTTCTAGTCCTTTGTGGTCAGACATGTCGTATCATGCCCCAGTGGGCGCTTATGTATGTGCTTCAGCTATGCTGAAGCTCTCAGCTAACCCTTGCTCAGTAGTATGGACAACTTTTGAAGGCAGCACATTGCCAGTGTTCTACCATCAGTTGCGGCTACTATGTGACACAAATGGCTTACCAAAAAATGTTTTTGTCGAAATGTCATGCAATCAATCTATATAGGGTCATGAAGTTTAAGATAACCGAGGCAACGTCGAACAGATTTCAAGCGTACATGAATGCAAGCATGACTGTTATGATCTGTCCTTGTTCTAAACGTTTCATTGTCCCGTCAGTCGATATCTGCATTTTAGACAAATCTTTCCAATTATTTCGGTCTTTTGTCTAGAATGGCAAGAGAAACTTGTGCTGATGCAAAGCAGTAGGAAAAAAAATCGTAACACACTTCTGATCGTTTATAATGTCATTTTCCTTAGGCCAGAAAGTCGATTGCCTCGCATCATCTATAATGCTAGAAAGCATTATGCTTTCTAGCATTATAGATGATGAAGTAATTATGCTTTCCGAAAAGTACAGGCTTCTCTGTAGACCTTGGACCAATGACCTTAACCGTAAGCTCTTTGGTTTGGGGCCAAGTGCAAAGCCAGGAACCCTCAAGATGATTTACACAAGTCGTATTCTCACAATCCCTTTTTCCTCATTCCTAATGTATAGAGTGTTTGTGTGTCCTTTTGACAGTCTTATTAATGATTGTGTTGGTTAATGTGAGAGTATTCATTGCAAATAATTTCAATTCACCTTTCTTGGTTTGCTTCTTTTCATGCACTGACTAATTTCATCCATTCACTTATAAGCATTAACTGCGTGCGACGTATTTTTGAAGCATTCTTGTTCTTACATCATTTGTTATTAAATCTTGCATTGCGTTGCAATACTGCCCTTAGCACAATTTTAATGAGAACTTTGAAGGAAATTAGATTGCTGATGAGTGTTTAGTGCATTTCTAGTCTGTTTTTAAACACCCTCACATTGCAAACAGGTCTCGCTTGATTTGATGCATTTTCATTTGGTCCTTATCTTAAGGAACTCACTGAGCAACTTCGTTTTTAGGAATGAAAATTTTGCTTGTTGCATCTGTCTCCTTTCGTCACTGTTACAGTTTGATTATACTGTGCGTAGTGTGAGACAACCGAGCACGCTTCACTTGGGAAGCATGGAGTTCCTTCAGAGTTGCTTCGTGGAGCTGCTTGAGTTGTGTAGAGTTCATTGCTCTGTTGTGAACCAATTTGTAGCTTCTACGATTTGATATGCCTTGAGGGTTCTCGGGTAGTTCAACTAAACGCAGCTCTTGTCCTTTGAGCCCGGCCTGTTCTTGTCGGCCAGTAATATAATATGTGTGTTGCTTTCTTGCATGTGTGCGTTTCTGTCTTCACTACCCTGTTTTGATGAATATTTTTTAATGGATCGCTGCAATCATTGCCTACAGTCGCGTGTTTAAGGCAACAGCAGCGAAGCTGTCATTTTGAGTCACCCCTGTGCACCTGGACTGTGGTGGAGGTACCTGTCTGCTTGTCATCTTGTATGGTGGTTGGCTCGGTGTTCTTTGTTAGTGAGCCATAATTTTTTATCTCGGGGAAATCGCACAATACACATTGCCTTTGTTTCATTTTGCCGTCCTTGTGTCAGGCAGCTACTGTGTTTTCTTTGCCATGTCTAGTCTATGCTGTCGATTCATGGTAATAAGAGTTGCAGCCCTTGTGGATGCAGCACAATAAATGGACATCTGTTCGTGAAAAACGTGGTGGTGGCTGTTCTCACTTGGCGGAGACTTTACAAAGCCGTTGTGTGTGCAAGTCTAGTGGCAAATGCTGAGATTAATCCAGCATTAGCGGATTTTGGAGCTCAGCCTACTATTAGTAGCATCAAGAGTCTACACAGTTGAAAATACTGCCTGTTCCCAATCCTGGAATCATGTTCTGATTCTGCAAACTCAAGATTTCTAAGTGTCTACACCAGAATACACAGCTACGGGGTGCTGTTTTCCTGCACATGCAAAAGGCTACATGCATGTCCTTTGCAAACATTCCCACTTGAATTACAGTTCAACCCCGTTATAAGACATGCACTGGGTAGCGATTCTTGTCTTTTGTATAACATGTCTCTTATAGGCAGGGTACCACGTATGCATTTTCTTATCAACGCCTAATGCAGTGTAGGCCCACTGGTGCCTCTTATTCCCAATCGTCTCTTACATCAGTGCCTCTTATAAAGGGGTTCAACTGTATCACTAGTGAATAGACATAGTACAAGTCTGGGAGCTCTAAAAAAGGTATGAATCGTTTCCACCTTTGATCAAAAAAAAGAATTGATCAAGGACTCGTTATCTTCAGTTATGTACAACCTAAAGAAGCCAGGAAAAGCTAGGAGGGCGATTGTAGTCCGAATTGCAGTGTGGTGATTGTGATACATACGTAAAGAAATTAGTGCATGAAAAACAATTTGCCTTTGGCAGGGACCAAAACATTAACTTTTGGATAACACATCTCGTGCTCTACCGATTCAGCTACAATGGCAGTCGTCCTGTGCACTTTGCTGTGTACATGTTTCTTAGCACGTAAATCTGGGAGTCTTAGCCTGCTGGCGGGCTAAATGGCTGACTGTTCGGTTACAAAAATGCCCCTGCACTTTCCTCGATTTCATTGGCTTGTACAGGAGAATATCTTTGCCTTCGGGCCTGTTCCCAAGACAGCTGGGCCAGCTATGTTTAACATTGTCGAAATGCAGGTCAAGACTGGAACCGTGCAGCTGTGTCAGTTTGGTTCTTGGTTTCCTGGTTCTTGCAGGTTATCTTATGAAATACAATTAACCCTTAACCATAGGGTGTCGCAATATTAACTAGAGGGAACTCTGGCCCTGTGATCATTCAGCCACCATGGTGATGAGTGGCTGAATATACTAACTGCATGTATATAAAGTTAAACCTGCTCATATTGAACCTCCACGTAACGAATTCCTCGGTATAACGAAGTTTTTCTATTCCTTTCCGTTGCTCATAGAAGCACATGTCTTTGCGACCTTTATGTAACAAAGTATGTAACAGCAGACAACAACGTTGATATAGCAGATTTTCCCCACGAACAATTTAGGAATTTCGCCTCAAATATAAGCATTCGACTGATGTCTGTCTGATTGGGTATGTAAACTGGGAAATTATTTAAACTCCAGCCAAAAGGTTTCTGAAGAAACCTGATGTTTCGGAACCGACTCGGTTCCTTCCTCAGGGGAAACTGGGACTACGTAGCAGCGGTGTCTTCAAAGTACTCGCGGGGCGGTTAATGACCCTCTCTCTCTCGTTTCGCTGTGGAGCGTCTCTCTTCTATGTGCTCCACGGTCAGGTTTACCAGCTTCCATCTCCATCACGATGATGAACCTGACTGTGGAGCACATAGAAGAGAAAGCACTCAGCTCTTTCTCGCCGCAACCCAAGCTTTTTTTTCGTAATATGGATGATTGCTTTGGCGTCATGAAGACGTCTGAAATTGAAAACTTCAGACAGCATCTGAAGTCCGTGCACCCAACCATACAATTCACGGCCGAGTGCGCTGCTGCCTGCCCTTTCTCGGCGTCCAGGTGGCAAGAAAGCGCAACAGCCTGGACGCCGGAGTTCTCCATTCACAGGGAGCCATTGCATACCGGCCGCTACCTTCAGTATGATTCATCCCATCCCGCCTGCCACAAGACCTCGGTTGTGACCCCGCTACTTCAGAGAGCTAAGAACATATGCTCCAATGACACGGAGCGAAAGAAAGAAGAAGCCCGCGTAATTGCAGACATCAGAAAAAACGGATACTCAAAAAACTTCATTTGTGTCACCACCCGCCGTGCAGAGCAACAGAAAGTACTAAAATTTCGATCAGCTTTAATTGGCAGCCCTCCAAAACGCGTTCCGATTCTATACGTCCAAGGAACCAGCGAGATGTTAGCCCAGATCTTCAAAAAAGAAAGGCTTCGCATCGCCCACGTGCCTTCGTGTACGCTGGATCGCCTCCTCCCCCGCCCGAAAGACCGGCCAACAATCAACAGGACCCCCGATGTCGTTTACAAGATCCCGTGTGCCGAGTGCTCTTCTTCGTATATCGGCGAGATGAAAAACCTATCGGAACGGCTCAAGCAACTCGCCAACGATGTGTGGAGGCTCTACAAAGAGAGCAGCGCAGTCGCCGAGCATGCACTGCGTTGGACCACCGGATAAATTTTGAAACAACGACCATCCTTGAAAGCGAGACGAAGTGGAGAAGAAGGTTACTACTCGAGTAATGGCATATACAGCGAACGGCCCAAAACATCAACCGCTCTCTTGGAACCTTTCCCCCAGTGTAGGCACACGTTCTGCACTCCACCACAGAACACCTACACACTACCATTTAGAGAAGGGAAAGTCTACTTTTGACAGTGTAACGAAAATAAGGGTAGCGGTGGCGTTGTGAACTAACTTAGCCGACCTAGAGATGGCGCTGTACAATAGGAAACTTCACGTGCCTCTGCTGTTTGACGCACGTGCAGGAGCATTGCGTACACTCGCATACCGTCGTCGTTTCGATCAGGACCCACAGGTTCAAGCTGCTATCTGTCGCTGCTGCACGGAAACGAACGAGACGGCTAAACACCTGTTTCTGGATTGCGTCAGTCTTTCTCCACAGCCAGCAGAGGGCACCACTCTGCCACAAGCGCTCGGATTTGCAGCAGAAGAACACGACGCCAACAACGTCACTGCCGTGACGACAATAAAAGCTCATCTACAAATGTGGTGGAAGGCTACAATGCGATAGGGATTGACAGGACAGACACAGCACTTCTATAGTGCAAAAAGGCTTATGTGACAAGTGTGTGCCCCGCTGTCTCTTCCGAGACTTTATATCTCTAGCCTTCTTTTTTTTCTTTTTTTACCGGCTGGGTCACACCATCTGTGACCACCCAATTCAAAGGGAGCAGCCACCTATCATCATCATCTAAGCAGGATGAGCATGATCTATAAAGGAAAGGGGACAAAGCCGATACAAACAACTACCGTCTTATAACAGTGACATGAGTAGTTTACAGGCTGGTGATGCAGATAGTAAAGACTACAGACATGGGTGGAAAGTGAGGGGGTGCTGGGAGAACTACAAAATGGGTTCCGTAAACGAAGGAGGTTGGAGGACAATCTGTTTTAATTGATGCAGTGTATTGAAATAGCGGAAAAAGATCGCAGGCCCCTGTGGCTGGCATTTCTAGATATCAAGGGAGCTTACAATAGGGTGATTCAGGAAGACTTGTGAGCAATACTGGATACACTAGATGTTGAAGATGGAATAACTAATCTTCTAAAGGATATCTATAAAAATAACAAGATAGTTATCAAATGGAAAGAACAGGTATATGAACCTATAGAGATGCAACGCGGGCTTTGACAGGGATGTCCCTTGCCACTTTTGTTATTTATGCTGTACCTCTAGGAACTAGAAGCCAAATTAGAGGAGAGTCGACTCGGATTCAGCCTCTATTTTGCCAAGCAAGTAAAATACGTTGAACAGTCATTACCAGCATTGATGTATGCAGATGATATAGTATTAATAGCATTGGGGTTTAGGGACAGTGAAGGCAAAATAGACTTTAAACGGGTAGAAATAACCAGGAGGAGGCTAACTGAATGGTGACTACAATCAAGGTCAGAGGATTCATTTCAAGTAATGAGCTTTGTCAAATCAGTTGTGGTGCCATTTATGTTTAGATATATATATATATATATATATATATATATATATATATATATATATATATATATATATATATATATTATATATATATACAGAGATACAGAGGATGTATGTAGATAATATTTTCTTGTTTTGAAGAAATAAGGCATGCTTACTGGCATTGCTATGTAATTGGCACAGCCGAATACGTCCATCCATCAGGAAATGGCTGCTATGTAATTATGTAATATGGCTGCCGCTCTGGGTTGCTGGCTGCAGGTTACGCGCGCCGGTTGCCCGTGCTTATTCTATATAAATAAATGTATATGCCACGATTTATTCACTTACCGAGTCTCACGAGTGTTGCAAATGTTGTGTTAAACTATGTTTCGTGTGTCAGCTGCGTAAAAGGCTGCAAAGTTGCCAGGAGACCAAGGACTCGACTGGCACTAACGCACACAACACGAGTAACTGAGTAAGCTTCATAATGTTTTATTACAAGGTAATAAATCATTCAATATGCCAGCGAGCAATCACACAAAAAAACAATGCAGTTACATCGTGAGGTACCAGTTTTGAAAGCATGAACACACAACCGAGAAGACCTGAGCTACAATTTGTATGTGTACACTATAATAATTTGCCTACTTCCTCGTGCCAATTTTACGCAGCCTCTTTGAAACAATCTGGCCGGCAGCTTTGCAGAAAGAATACGATTAGGTTGTGAACTGTTTACCTCTTGACTTAACGTTATGAAACCAGCTAATTCAGATTTTTTTCTGATAAACTACTGGCTCCTTGCTCAACATGTTTCTACCATCTGTAGTACATAAGGTTCCCGAGGAGGTAAGTGCGCACAACGGCCGCACTTGCTTTGTAGTCTAGAAAAAACTAGGCGACAAAACCAACGCAGCCGACGGGGTTCTAGTGGGGTGTATCTAAATTAATGTGTGCATTAAAAAACTTGAGGTGGGCTGTGTTAATGCGGAGTACCTACTATGGTGTGCCTCTTGACTGTATCGGCACACAATTTTGGCACGCGATCATCTAAAAACGAATAAGGTATGGTTCTAATAATGCAACAACTGTTACACTGGTTGAGCTAACCTAATAAATGCACCCTGTTATGCGTGGAAAATTATCCTAACTCAAGTTTCTTTCTGCAGAAGCAATCGGCTAAGTTGTGTTCATAAGAGGCAATTATTGACTCGTAGCACGAAATTTGTTGCAGATTGCATCTGACCGTGGACAAATGGGCTGGGATGATTCCCCACCATGCTTGGTTACGGAGCTCACTTGTCAGATGGCAAGTGACCGAAAACTAATAGTTATGGTCTAGTCGTTCTGTGCGTTCCTGCTTATCAAGTAACCACTTCATTCACACCACAGATTCACAAAAACCACTCCATAATCACAATCACAAGTCATGAGTTCCTTGGACTGCTTATTCTTTATGCTCAAAACAATTGTGAAAAAATAGTACGTGCATACACAAATAGGTCTCAAGTTGCTACATTAATTTTTGCAGCAGACTTCCAAGCCTTTGCTTGGCTTATTTCTGTTTTTTTAATTTCAAGTACCAGAAAATCCCTATATGTACAAACATTTGCAGAAACAATTTGTGACAGTGATCACCGCAAAATGACCCATTGGTCACCTCCATCATCATGCAAAGCAATTTCTCTGACACCCCTTTCCATTGTGCTACAGTACCTATCTGAACAGAAAATGGCTTCTCTAGTTTTCTGACAAAATTGAAAGCTGCTTATGGGGGCACCGTCAAATTTCCTAGAGTCTTGTCCTGCACCTCCACTGCTTTGAACATCATGTAGATTTGGCTTGGCAAAGACAGATCTTGGCTTTTGTCTTTCAAAAGGTTCCTGCAGTACGAACAAGGTGCCTTTTTCAAAAATGCTTGCACTAGGTATCCTGATACATAACAAACTATGTTTTATCCTAGTACATCGGCTGGCTCTTCAGTGCCTTCAATGTCTGAAACTTTAGAGCTAGAGGCACCTGCCACTGCAGGACCTCCCTGACAAAGTCTTAATCTTCAGCACAGTTAGAAGAACAGCCTTATTTGCTCCGCAGTTGCTGCCATCAGACAGCTTGAATAGCTTCCCGACAATAACATGCCTGAGGCCGGCAGTGAATTGAAAAGTGTTTGGAGTTTCGTTACAGCCATGTTGCTGCCGAATGATCCCAAACAAATTCTCTAAGGGATCTAGATTCAGATGGCGAGTGAGCAAAAATATGAAGTTATAGCACTCTTGTAGGTCTTCCCACAACATACAGATTGCTTTTCTATGCACCTGCCATCCCTGAATAGTTCTCGGCTGCCTAGGTGCTTGAAATTTCCAAGACTTAATCCATGCAATGCAAGAATTTAAGAATTCAATGTGGTCTGTTGAGAAACTGATTGCACATCTCATTTTCCTCTCTGTTATATTGACACAAAAACTGTTTAATGGATCAAACAACTGATCCATTTGCTCAACAAACTCAGCCATGCTTGTGGCTTGAGGCAGAAGCACGCTAAATGCTATGAATGTTTCTATCGCAAGATAAACACTGTTGCTGAGCACCTGAGAAGCCCACTTTACTTTCATGTTACCAAATGCACTTTCATGGATGGTGATTTTCAGTGAGCTTGGTTAGGTATTTAAGTTTCAGGTGATGTGTTGACTCATACAAAGTCTTAATGTGCCCCAAGGAAGCAACTTTATCCCCTATGTTTCATGATCATGCTTTCTGAGATTGATCTTCGTACATTTCATACGGTAGAGGACGTCAAAAGTGAAGTAAATCTTCTCTTTATCGGTGATAAAAAAAGGCCTTTCAGGACTCCCACCCAGGGTCCATGCGATAACGCAATTGCTGCTATCCTGGTTCCAAACTAGTGCTTTGACACAGAGGCCACATGCCTTCAGCTCAGTGATTAGCTTTTCAATAACACTAAGAGTGGTCTTGAGCAAACTGTCCCATCTCCTGTCAAGAATGCAACAGGCCGTATCCATTTTCTTTGCTATCCCAGAAACTAACACAAGTACTGCAGTGTTTGCTATGCCACTTGTTCTTTCTCTGGGGTCATCAACATATCCACGAATGAAGTCTTCCTTGGGGTCATAATACAGGTTTCTTTTTAACGACATTTCATCAAAAATCAGGCAGCAAGCTCTAGCTGTCTTGAATCTCCCAATTTTTCGCCTTTTCTTTGATTAACTCAAGAACCTGAGGTACTATTTCTGTCTTTACATTTATGGCAGACAGCCACGTCCTTAAAGTCTTTACAGTGGGAAGGCTTAGCAGCTGTGATAGATATTTATATGCCTTAGGGCTTGTAAAGTACAGACTGAGAGCAAACCGTCTAAATTGCACAGGCCGTCTTCTCCCATGTTTCTTCAGTGGTTGCAGATGCATTTACACTTTTAGAATTTCCAAAAAGTCCTTGCTTAGGTACCTGCTCGCTTCAAAAAGTAGCTGTGTGCAAGTTGTTCTCTTGGGCTTTCGCAGTCTTGTAACTATTTGATGGAGGTGGGAGTTCTCATCACGGAAGCGCTCAAGCCTCTTCGTAGAACGTGAAGTCAGCACCTTCTTGGTCCTCGTCTTTGGAAGTGGAGTTTCTGGAAAATCAAAAGGCCACACCACTAATGTTAAGGCTATGCGAGAGGCTTTGGCATTGGTTAAATGGTTTGCTAAGTATGGTAGAAATCAAAATGCATTTTTACTTTATTCCATCATTAGCAAACTGTCTAAATACCAGGGCAGGCTAGTGTTAAAGGCTCATATGGAGTTTTTGAAAGTCATGACAATGAAAACAAACAAACAGAAAATGAATTTATCGCACAGTCACTGTATATGATTGACCAAAAGTAGGTACACACCTTGCGGACCATGGCAGATAGTAACATTCATGAAATAAAGGTGCACTTCTTCAGTTAAAGGATTCATTTCAAGTAATGAGCTCTGTTGAACCAGCTGTGGTGCCATTTATATTTGTATATATATACAGAGGATGTATGTGGAAATATTTCCTTCTTGTTTTGAAGAAATAAGGCATGCTTACTGACATTACTATGTAATCGGCTAACTGAAAACCTTGCTTTAAAAAGAGGACAGAAACCTACTTTTAGTAGCTTGCGCTGCTGGCAATGGCTCCTGTGGTCCTAGCGATGAGTGCCTTCGTGATGTTTGTGGAGTCATTTCGAAGGGCACTGGAAAAAAGCAGTGTATGTCACTATACATGTGTTTAAAACCAGGCGCAAATGCATGGTGCTCTGTACTAGGAAAGCGTCAACTTGCTAGTCTCGTGCCTTGATGTTGACGGCTCTGCATGAAGAGAAGACTGGGAAGTCTTGGATTTCTGAAAGAAGACAGGGTTACATTAATTCTATATCTGCTGTAGGAAAAAGATGCACAGTTTCATTCAAGTAATTCCATTAATCTTACCATCTATGGAAGCAGCCCCCTCATACAGAGATGTGAAGGAGCGCAGTGTAGACACTGGAGTCCCGGTCCAGGCTAGAAGTGACCCTCCAGAATAAATAGGTTGAGAAATCGTTAGGAAAGCTTGTAATAATTGGCGGAACTAACTGCATATGAGCACAGGGGACTGCTGTGCATTCAACAAGTCTTCAAACAGAGGAAGGAAACCTACTCTCTGAGTAGTTTGTGCTGTTGCCAATGGCTCCAGTGGCCACGGGGATGAGTGCCCACGTTATGTTCGTGGAGTCATTTCCAGGGGCACTGGCGAAACGAGAGAGAGAGAGAGAGGGAGGGTTCATATTTAGTATAGTATTCATAGTAATTCTGCCTAAGGGGTGTTGTATTCTGAAGTATCTTAAAAACGCATCTCAATACTGTCGAAAATTTTAGATAAAATGCTTCTCACCGCAAATGCACGGAGGAATGCCACAAATGGATGTTCCAGTGCATGGTTCGACACTGCATGTCTCTTAATTAGCTAACTTTGCCATTCCTGTAAAGATGCTTTTCCTTTTTTTTTTCTTTTTGAAAGTCACGTCTTCACCGAATTAAAAGCACCAGTCTTGGCGTGAAAGCCGATTGGCAAGCGAGAAAAAAAAAAAAAAAAGAATGTACAGGTGGTGATTCTGTGTACCGACGTTCTAGAAACGTTGCTGTCTACAGCTTGCTTCGTCCATGGTCTATACCAAGTCTTTAGACCGCAGAACACCTAGACTCTTAAGAGGATCGCACAACTCGTCTTGACGTCACAGATTTTGCCGGAGTTTGGTTGGCCCCATTATCGCAAAATGTTAGCACATGTATATATTCTGACTGGGTCAAATACTCCACATGCCAGATGGTAACGGAAAGTTTACTCAGCCAATCGCCAAAGAGCGAGAATGAGACTGAAATCTCTGACGTCAACCTGACTTAGAAGTGTGGCAGCTTGGGCTAGTTGGTATGGCATGACGATAGTTATAGCGCGAGAACAAAACGACGACACAGAGACAAGAAGGACACGAGAACAAAACGACGACACAGAGACAAGAAGGACACGCTCGTGTCTTTCGTGTCCTTCTTGTCTTTGTGTCGTCGTTTTGTCCTTCTTGTCTCTGTGTCGTCGTTTTGTTCTCGCGCTATAACTATCGTCAACCTGACATTCAGATGCTACATGTTTCGGCGCAAAATTTGGACATTCACTTACTCTTTTGATGACACAATTGCACTAATAAAATTAATTACAATAAGGTTATTATGAGATAGCTTATTGTTTTGAACTAATCAAGTGTTTTGTTAATATCTCTCAACAAACTCAAAACCGAAACCTTCTAACGCCGAGACACATTTCAGCCATTTAGAGCGCAGTCGTATCCTTAAATCGCCTTGCGCATGCCTGCGCACCCGGAGGAAGTGCCTGCGCACCATTTCCCGTGTTATCGGTGGCGCGCAATTTTTCGCGCTAATTCGTGCGTGTTTTGACTTGAATGATCGCATCCGGATACTTGTTTATTTCGTTGTCGCAATGCCCAAACACACCATCTGTTATAGATCTGAAGAGACTGGCGCCTAAGGGCCGCCAGTCGAGGAAAATTACCAGGTAAAGCATAGGTAAAGTGTTGACCTACGTGCGAACGCTGTCGTATGTTCAACCTCTAATTACATGTTCAGAAATGGTTTCCCCGTCGATCACGCTGAAGTTCGTGTTCCTGGGTTATTCCCAAGTGTTATTGTACAACCACTGTTCTAAGTCAAACACCGCGAAGGATTTAAAAGCTGTCAAATACTACCGATTTGTCGCTAGTAGTTGGGCGGTTTAGTGCGAACGTATCGCCAAAGTGTATTGCGTGTCGCGTCAGCTGTGTGTAGGTCTGCGCTGTGTCTAAATGTATGCGTGAGTTCGTTCAGCCTTTTTTTTTTTTTCGAGTATCCCACTGACGCGAGGAAGTGTGGAACCCACCATTGATCGATCGTTTTGTGCTGGCGTCTTGTCAACGTTTATTTCTGTTAATCGGGTGATTTTCTTTGGTACTTGACGTGCAGATACTGATGGACGTCAAAGCTGAGAGCTCGGTGAAGAAGGAGCCTCTCTACATCGAGTCCCATGCTGTCTACTTCCCTCATACGCCGTACCAATCTCAAAAGATGGTCATCATAAAGGTTACACACACTCGTTCTGTGCTTGATGCTTGGACGTTTTTGCGAGGCTATGGGCCTAACGTGTTGCTCGAAATGACTAGATTGGCTTGAGCGCAATTACGCATTTGTACGTGTACGCCCACGACACACACACAGCGCAGTGTCCGTGATGAGGTTTCAAAATGTTACATGAGCCATCATGAAGGTTGGTTAACCTTACGCGAAGCGTTCACTTCACTCTTTCAGCAGATAGGTACACATTGAATAACCAGTGCGTGGTGCAATCTGTGCCGACTGTGACTGGGATTGTGGCAGTAACTATAAAGCTTTAATTCTACTGAATGAGCAAATTTTCCTCACTCTATGTGGAGGGCCCTCTTACTCCCGGAAACCGTGCTCCCTGTCCACTGGGTCTAGCTGGTCGTCGGGGCTTAAACTGGGCAGCCAAGTTTCCCACTGCCTCTCAGTCATTATGTGTGCTAAGGGCACTTTGTTCACACCCGCATGCTCTTACACCATATGCAGTAGGACACTGAGGATGTCACGCAAACTTATGTTGCCTGGGCGAGGTGTTGCGGAGTGGCTTGTTATGCATGCACATGCGGGGGATGGCATCAGCATTGGAACAGATGCACATCTATGTTTGAGGTCACGATTGCGCGGCTGGCTCAGCAAGCAGTTGCATGAATGTATTCGTGGGGAATGTGAAGCACATACATATGGCAGCTGGCGTCTGTAGTCAGGTTTCAGCGACAATGGTCAGCTGTGTTCTATTTTATTGCAACAACCACTCGAAAAAGAACTCCGAAAATCGACTTTTTTTTTTTTGCATCCCAAAAGTCATTTGTCAGTTGATGCAAGAACGTTAAAGACATCACGCAGCAATGAAAAGTGGAGTGACTCCAACATATCAATCAGCTAAGCCAGATGTATTCTTGAGCTAGTTAGTTCATGTCATATTTGCAAGATGTTTCAGCGCACGAACATGACTACGCACCAACTAGCCCAAGCATCCACTCTTGTTTGTTCATGTCTTCTGAAGAAAAATAGTAGCACGAAATGATACAAGGACAGAAAGGTAACGGTATTGCACCAGTCCAGTGTATTTGTGTCTGTGCTTGTGTCATTTTGTGTAAATACTTTTCTTCAGAAGTATTAGTAGGAAACAGCCCGGCAACCCACCATCATGTGCTTGAAAAACAATTCATATTTGGTAACTTTTCAGAACCCATTCAGCATTATAAGAGATTTGTTTTTGCTGTAGGCCGTGGTAAAAACTTAGTTTTCGTGGCGTGTTATGAACCTCTTTTTGTTTACCCAGCAGGAGGTGAGCATTTGTGCTGTGCCCTGAGTTGCTGTTTAAGGAACAGCCAGTTAAGCACATAAACAGTTGAGTTGTTTATTAACTTGTGTAATTCGACAGCTTGGTAAATTACTATTGCTTGTGTGGCAAGTGCTTTGTTTTTGTGGCGTTTACAGAACATGTGCATCCTTAAATGCAGCAGATCTCATTCTATCTAGGTTCCGTGTGTGCGTGAGGCATGTTACCTGTCTGCCCATCGGTAAATGAGAATGTGCTGCAATACTGACTGCTGTTTAACAAAATTTTCAGCGAAGCACATTAGTGTTGATATCGTGGCTCGTTGCATTTTGCAAAATGTTTTTCTTATGCGACGGCTGAAGCCTATTCAGATTGGGTACCGTCTCTACATCTTAAACGCGGAAACCTAAGGAACTGCGACAGTAATAAATTTTCAAAACGAATTTTTCCCAGACCCCGTAGGTCACGCGCATAGGTCCTAAACCGCATTTCACTCACAGACACTACCGACACGCACACCCTTTCTTCTCCACTTACGATTTTGAAAGAACCGATGGGGCACACCTACTAGCGACCACAGATATGGTGGCAACGATGAATGCCGCTAGCGCTACAGGTGGATGACGTTAAGTGCAACCTTTTTTATAGACGGCTTGCTTTGATGTCACTGAAACCGCCGTGTTGGAGCACTTGCATTGGGGACACAATCTTTGTGATGTCACATTATGGCTATAAAAACATCGCATGCAAGTAGTTTCATTGTTCAAGCACAGAGGTGTTCCTCCAACATTGTTATCACATTGAAGCAGTTTGACCGCTGGGATCTGTGTTTTGGTGTACTGCTTTATATAAGTGAATTCACACTTGTCTAAGAACACAGTGTACGAATGCTTTGTCCTGCTTTGCCCACCAGGTCCTACAGGGCTTGAGAAATGGAAGGAATTGTCTCATCGAGTCACCTACGGGGAGTGGAAAGACCCTTGCCCTACTCTGCTCGTGCTTGGCTTGGCAAAAGAAAAAGAAAGGTGCGTGAAAGGGCGCCACACACTTTACTTGATGATGCTCTCAAAGGCCAACCCAGCCCTGCCCCACCCTGGCAGCATAACAAGCCTTGTTTTGGATTGAGCAAGCACGAAATTAGATGACGAGTTGTAAGAGAAAAGCATCGTGCAAAGCTCACAAAAATAGCCTATTCTAATATTGAAACTGAAAAAGAACGCCTCAGTTACCGCCCGCTCGAAGTAATAAGCAAAAACAATTACTTACTTTTTCTATGCAGCATTATATTCCTTAATGCACTTGCTAAGTTCAGGTGAAATTTCAGGTGGTTGTGCCATCTTACTTTATTTTTTTTTTTTGTGTCTATTGTGAAACTCTTAAAAAGCTATCTCCTTCCTTTCCTCGCTTCTTCACCAACATTGTAAATGCCATCACATTTCGTGCTTAGCTAGGAGAACCCTTCTGCTGTTTTTCATTCTTCATATCTGAGTCCTTCCTGTTGTCGGAACATGCCTATGTTTTCCTCATTGTTGTCACGATTTTCGACAGCTGTAATGTGGTTCGTGACATCATTGCTATCAGATTTTATGTAACTATACCTCAACAATTGCTACTATTCTGCAGTGCAACAGTGGCTTGGTGGCCTTGTGTCTAGCCATATTGAAGGGCAGCGGCACTTATGAACAGTACTTTCATGTGCGGCCTTTACATTTAAGCACTGATGCTTGCCCGCGGTTCATGTGGCATTGTATAAATATTTGTCATTATATAGTTGTTTGTATTTAGTTGGGTTTAGCAGTTCACTACTGCTCTCACTCAGCAAGCCTTGCCTATTGTTGCCTTCCAGAAATTCATCAAGCCCAGGTGGAAAAGATGATGCAGGCAATGCAAGGCAAGTTGCTCTTTCATCTTTATGTACGCTTACAAGAAAGGCAAAGTTCATACATTTATGTTACGTGTACGGCGTTGTGCTTGTCCTACGACCCGCTGAGTTCGCAGCTTTGCACAACTGTTCCTTCTACGGAGATTGCTTTCTAAAGAGAACTAAGTTTCACCCTGCATGACAGCTGCTGACCTTAACCTTGTAACATTCAAGCTCTATAATTTGCATTAACTTGGGAGGATACCGTTGAGGGACAAATTCTACTTGCCCACGACTAAGTGTTCTTTCAGTCAATTTCCCTTATGTATGGATCACATTCCTGTGCTTTCTCGCCACCCGCAATGCCAAAGTTGTCCATGTATTGTGCATGTTATCATTGCCTAAGCATCAGAATGCCTATCGTGAGTGCAAAGTGCAGGAAAAGTACGTGGAAGTTGTCTATTTGGGTAGTGATTCCCTCTAATATAGCAAAAAAGGGAAATAAATTTGCAAAAATATATTATACAGGAGATATGTAATAAAAAAATTTATAAAAAGGAAAAAAAAATTACTGCATATCCATGGAGTGAATGTTGTTGAGTGGTGTGAAGGGTCCGTCCGTCTATCTGTCTGTCCGTCCGTCTGTCTGTTTATGGATAATTTGTGCTGGGTATGCCAGAGGGATGAAGTGCCCTAGACCAAAAGGAGCTTTGCCCTTAAAACAAACTTACAGTAACTCAAAACTTCACAGTGCTAAATCAATTTCAGGATCTTTATCACAGAAGCCACTGCAGTAGTGGTGCCCTCCAACATAAGAGGGGAATGAATTTGGTGAAATCAGTATACAGAAGATACATGATCAACAAATTTATGAAAATGGAAAACAAGCTTACGGTAACTCAAGAGACCACAGTAATAAATGAAACCCAAGGCCTTTATCCCAGAAGCCACCACTGCAGCCGAGTGTCTCGTAGAGCCACGCTATGGTTTCATCAACTCGTCTCTTGTCTTTATATTGAGATGACCCAATAATGAGTGTACATAGATTTAGTGTTAATTTGCTCTCTTTCAATTATATTTACAGCTCGGCACCATGAGTTCGAAGATACTGGCTCGTATGATCCAAGATGCTCGGCTGTGCCATTGGGCGGTGCATCATGCAAAGGCTCCAGAGTGCATGGGTGCGCAAAACCAGTCACACCATTGAAGGAGCAACAGCCACAACCAACCAAACGTTAGAAAAGTTCCGCTTTTCTAGGAAACTATAGAACGTTTCGTTGAGCGAGGCTTTAGGGTCTGACGGCCAACACACCTTCCCTCTTCTCTGACATGCACAGATCAGCGTGGTTCCACTTGGAAGTGTTGCAATGATGTGCTGTGTTACAATTTAAAGACATTTTAGCTCGTTATTTGAAATATTTACCTGATATAAGTTTACACAAGCATTATCGGGAGATTCGTTGTGTAGCCTGTCTTTTGGTGCAGTAGTGACTACACTGTTTGGAAGTTTTTCATGGTTGTACAAATATGCGATGTTCATAACTAGCTTTGTCAACGGCTTACACCGGCGATAATCTGCAGTGCTGGCTGTAATACACACATGTGTACAGGGCCATATCCAGTGCAAGTGCTGTGTGCTTCACGGTTCCTTTCAGAAAGAAGCATTCCCTGCCTTTGTTAGCTGCAGGGTCACTTTGTGGACAGGAGCACATAGCAACATCATAAAGCTTTTGCTTACTTTTTTTTTAACATGAAAGTGTTTTATGCTGGGTTCCACCACAGCTCAGCTGACGTATTTTCGTCACGGATATGGCGTTGTCAAACATGTACTATCAAATTGCAAAGAAAAAAAAATGAGAAAGAAAAATTTACCCTGCAAAGTGAACCAGCAACCTCTCGATTCAGAGCGCACAGCGCTAAACAATCGGCCACGGGGCATACGCTATCAAGCTTGTTAACGGCAAGCCATTTATTACACCATACAGAGTTTGGCAATCCTCAGAGCTCCGAAATTTCAGCGAGTTTTCGTTATCAGTAGAGAGATGGTGCGACCGGATCGCGTTGGGCGTGCTTTAAGAGTCGTCGCCTCCACGAAGCACAGCTTCCACGGAGCATGTTCTCTGCTGCGTGTGCACTTATCAGAGTCATAACTTTGCTCGCTGACGCATATGGTTTACCTAAGGGGCGCACTGCTGACACACGACGAAGAAAGAGTTGTGACAGTTGTTTGCACTTGTTTTGTATAGACTTGTGCAGTCGTTTCATGCGTCTTTCTTTCTGTTTAAACAGCGCACCTTAAGTGTCAAGATGTGACAGTTGTTAGTCCATGCTTGTCTTGTGTATGCTAATTTCGTGCTTGCTTTCTGCTTTATGTGTGCACTGCAAGCTTCAAGCTGCTTGCCGTTCTTAGTGTGACTTTGCAATTGGTTGCTGTTGCTGAAACAGTGCACGATGGCTAAATGATACTGTTATTGACAGCGAAATTTCGCCTGCTGGTTATGCGCTTCTTCGGAAAGACAGGCGTGCCGGCCGTGGAGGCGGTGTGGCAGTTTTAATTAAATCTAATCTTGAATTTTCTTTATTACCTGACCTTCCGGGTACAGAAACCATTTGGTGCAAAATATACATTAAAGGTATCGTAATAGTTATTGGTGTCCTCTACCGTCCTCCTAACTCCGATGATATTGTCCCTGCTATTAATGATTACCTTGTCAGTAACAAGTTGCACGATTGTAGGTTACTTTTGGCTGGAGATTTCAATCTCCCGCACGTTAACTGGAACTTACTTATCCCAACAGGGCGTGACAGGACACTTTGCGCTTCCCTGATCGATCTGGCGGTTTCTTTTGGGTTAACTCAAGTTGTAGATACCGAAACACGCAAGGACGCAATATTGGACCTTGTATTTGTAAACCAGCAACTCTTATCGCACGGTGTAAAATGCGAAGTCATCGATGGGTTATCTGACCATAAAGCTGTCGAAGTTGCCTTGAACTTAGTGTGTCCGCCTCAAAGACCTGAGATAAAAACTGTTTTGAACTTTTCTAACGCTGATGATACTTCCGTATTGGACACTTTAGCTTCATCTTATGATGAATTTGTATATTGCAGTGAATTTTGCAATGTAGATACGCTGCTCCTTAAGTTTTGTGACATTGTGCGTGAATGCCAATCAAAGTACGTGCCTCAAAAGTATATTAAACGGAACCCAAGACACCCATGGTATAATAGAGAAATCATTCAACTCACTCGTCGCGTAAAGCGTTTACGTAAGAATCGTCATTCCAGGTGTAACGACAATGTTTCTTCATTTAATACATTGAAAAGTAAATTAGGCACTAAAATGAAAGAGGCTAAAAACTACTACTTCAGCAATACTTTGGCTAGATTTATGAAAAAAAATCCATCCAGGTTCTGGAGATCGATTAGTCCTGCATCGTCTATACCTTCATCATCTATTGTTAATGACCAATCCTGCTCAAATCCCGAAGCTATAGCAAATGCCTTTAATAATTATTTCAAATCTGTTTTTTCCACTGATAACGGCATTAAGCCTTCGTTTTCTGCATGCAGCAATCTGTCTGCTCTTCCTGATCTTGAAGTAAGCTCCTCTGGAGTACATAACCTTATATTAAATCTTGATGTAACGAAAAGCTCTGGCCCAGACGGTATTCACAATGTCTTTCTAAAAAGATATTCAGAGTGGTGTGCTAATTATCTTACTGTAATATTTAAAAAATCAATAATCTCTGCAACAGTTCCCCAGCTGTGGAAATTAGCAAACGTCGTGCCTGTATTTAAGTCTGGAAACAAGCAATTAATACCAAATTACAGGCCAATATCTTTACTTTCTACCAGCTCTAAACTTTTGGAGCATATCATTCATAAATATATTGTAGAATACCTAAATGCACACAATATACTTTCCCGATCACAGCACGGTTTCGTGCTTGCTATTCTACTGTTACACAGTTGCTTGAATTTACGCACGACGTCGCTTCTTCTCTTAACGACCGAGGACAGATTGACGCCATATTTATTGATTATTCAAAGGCCTTTGACTTGGTTTGCCATGCTAAACTTTTAGTTAAACTTCGCACATTTTTTGGTGACAATAAGCTAGTTGACTGGATAGCAGATTACTTGCGGTCACGCACACAATTTGTTACGTTTAACCATGTGAAATCGTCTGAAGTACAAATCACTTCAGGGGTGCCCCAAGGTTCGGTGCTTGGGCCGCTCTTGTTTATTATCTACATAAATGACGTAGCAGAAATTATCGGTGACACACAAATTAAACTAAGAATGTATGCAGATGACTGCGTTATCTATAACACCATCTCTAGTGTTGAAGATCAGGAAGCCCTGAACAGTGTTTTTTCATTGTTTTGTAATTGGAGTGAAAACTGGCAAATGTCAATTAATTTCAAAAAAACTGTAGCCATGACCTTTTCAAATAAGAAACAGCCTCTTAGTTTTGCATACACTAATAATGGTGTCAGTCTAGCTCGTGTCACGGAGTTTAAATACCTAGGTGTAACTCTGACAACAAACTTAAAATGGCGCACGCACGTCGAAACAATCTGCAACAAGGCTCTTCGAAAACTTTGGTATCTCCGACGCACTTTAAACAACTCGACAAAAGAATGCAAATTGACAGCGTACAAGACCTTGGTCAGGCCCATACTTGAATATGCGTCGGTTGTTTGGTCGCCTCACCACAAACATGACATAGCTATGTTAGAATCTGTTCAGAAGAAAGCAATAAGGTTTATTTTTCGTCGCTATGACCAGCGGTTCTCGCCTACTTCGCATGCGCATGTTTTATCACTGCAGTCTCTAGAACATCGGCGCACTTGCGATCGTATCATCCTCCTGCATAAGACTGTTCACACAGGCTTGGGTGTTCTAGCGCCCATTTCTTTTGTTGCAGCTTCTGCGCGCCGTACCCGACGATTTGATCCCTTAAACATTACGCCCTTTAGAGCTAGTCTCGACTGCTTTAAGTTTTCCTTTTTTCCGTGGACCGTGGATCTATGGAATGAGCTTGATGGGTCTCTGCGCAGACTCGATGCTCTGCAATTCGAAAAAGAGTTGCGTAGTCATGTATTCTGTTAATTTGTTTTACTGTTTGAACATTTGTATTCCACTCCTGCAATGTCTCAAAAACTGAGACAGCAGTATTTGTAAATAAAAAAATAAATGCTCAACTACCCCTGTGAAGACACGTTTCACTTTGACTTTGCAATTTGGTTACTGTTGCTGAAACTGCACGATAAATGCTCAACTACCCCTGTGAAGACACGTTTCACGTTTGTGTTATACTGATCCTTATATAGAGAGATCGGCCACGTTTTTAATTTCAACACTTGCGCTCAACTAAAATCTTGCTGATCTTAGTTGCGTGCATGTTTCTTGTTTTATTATTATTATTATTATTTATTTATTTTAAGGGAGATCAACCCCGAAACTTTAATAAAGCTTGCGTCTTCACGAAAGAGATAGTATAGCAGATTACGCCTGCACTGAAGATGCTTTGCACGCTTAGACATACTACTGCTGGTCTTGCCAGTTATTGTCGTTGTAAGGGGCAAATTAGCATTTACGGTTGGTGCACGCACAATGTAGCTTAAAGAGACTGGGATGTTGTTCAGGTTGAATGTTGGAACAAGAGCACATCAGTGAAATGAGTTCTTATAAACACTGCATGTGTGACATATCAAAAGATATTGCCTACTGAATTGTACCCATATTCATTGTGTTTGGTGTTCCAAGCCACTTATTGGCAGCTGAAGCTCTGGTCTTGTCGATTTAATTCACACCAGTGCATCCTATAAAGTCATTTGGAAAACAGAAGACGTGGCATCATGCTTAGTTGATGCGACATGGCCCATTCACCCTAACCAGCATCGTGGTTAGGGGAAATAACCCCATTGCTTATAAAATACGATGCATACCATGAAAAAAAATCTATAGGTCACGTTCAATAATTAAATCGACACTCACAACTTATTTATAGTTCAATACAACTTGAGAGAAAAGTGGTCTTTAGCTTTGAAAGGTCACCGCTACAGCCAGTGGTGTCATGACCGCTTTTTGACACACTGCTTTATGATCTCTGTCGTGAGTGCAGCACGAAGGCGGTCTACTACGGGTCGCAATGAAACAGTGATGTCATTAGCTGAAGGGGGGGTCCTTTGATGGCAAAAAGCCACTTGTTTCGTGAGTTGTCTTAGAATGAAGTGCTGTTACTTCGGGTACATGAACTTTGCACAAACATTACTATTTGCCTAGTTTGTCTCTTTGTGTCCGTCTGCTGCTTTTGCTCTGTTTTTATGATCATGAGCTACTACTAATGAACTTGAATTACTGTGAAGACCACTTATAACGAACCGCTTATAGTGCAGGACCGGTCGCAATGCAGTCTTTATCACCTCCTGTTTATCCTCGCACGGAACCCCATGTATACACGTACCGCTTATTGTGCAGTCCCCCCAAGATGAAAGACTGGTTATTATGCGGTTGTCCGAAAGCCGGTGGCAAACGCGGTAGCGGTTGCACGTCTGAAAGAAGGCGTGTCGCTGGGGTGCGAATGACGAGGTGGTTACGGAGAAGAAGGTGACACGGAGTGAACGAACAGAGGGTAGAGGGAGGAAAAAGAGACTGAAGGAAGAATGTGGCACGCAACGCACTTCAGTGAGTTAGGGCGGAGGGCTGTTGCCCTTTGTCTGGCTGGCCTCGCTAGGTTGGTTCCGGTCACATGCGGATCAGCATGGCACTTGTGCTCTCGTTCTTATCAAGTGCGCTTAAAAGTTTCCTGTTGAAAAAGCGCCATTGTTATCGAGCTCGCTACAGATATCGCGTTTGCCACTTCGTCTGTAAATTTAAACTTTTACAGCTTTATGACACGAGCTTTTGCCTTAGCTGCCAGTGTGCGGTCTTACATAAGTTTGGCGGCTTTTTGTCATAGATGATTTAACGCCACGAACGCAAACTTCGTATCATGCAGGCTGTTGTTCTTGGTTCAGTGCTTGAGTGCGATTTTTTCGATGCCCTATCTTTATGTCATGGCCAAACATCCCACAACAATGTCCATAACGGTAGCCTAAACCTAATCAGCGTTGGTTAGATTTTGGCAGCGGTCGCATGCTAAGTTGCAATTTAGTATGGAATCAGCGAAATTCTTTGCGGCGACAGCACTTGAAGGAAACGGATACATATCGTTAATGAAAACGAGGGTGACACGTGTAGCACTCGAATGATGGTTCTCGATTCGATTGTGATGTCTTGAAATTGGGTTCACGCCTTTGAAGTTGAACAATTGGTGTTTTTCTGTGCATAAAATTTCGGATGTGATTCGACATGATTTCTGTGTAATGTCTGAGAGGTAGTTGGTGAATTTTCGCGATGGTGCTTGCTTTTTTCTATACCTCTCCCCCACCCCCCCATCTTTGTGATTTTGTTGGCAACGCTGGCTTTTGGACATTAAGTTTTTTTTTTTAACATTCGAAAATGTAAATGGTTGTAAGCACCATGTATTGCATGCTTCGATTCTCGGACACGTGAGGCTACATGCTCAACATGTGCGCAAAAGCAGCTTCTGATGAAGGTTGTTTTGATTATAGTGCGGATATTTGCGACTTATTTTATAAGCAGTCTCTAGGTATATACTGTACCACCCTTGGGAAGTACTGTCTCGTAGTGTAACCCAATGCTTTTGCCGGCTTATGTCTCCTCTTGTGTTCAGCTAGATGGTAATCATATATTGATTGTATGTATTGTTAGTGTTGATCTGGCATTTTTTTTATCTTACTTTGCATTACCCATAGCCTGGAGCTACAAGTTGGAAGGACCCCCTCCCGCAAACGGTCCTAGCTGCCCACTTGTGGCATTGGAGGGTGCCTCGTGTATAGGCTCCAAGGTGGATGACGGAGGCAGCCACACCACACCTTCAAAGGTGCCACAGTCGCCACTAGTCAAACGTACGAGACATGAGTTTCTCTTTGCTTTTATCACAAATGATTCACACGATGCGCTAACCAGTGCTGCCCAAGCCGCAGACGGGCAACATTTATTGACTCATTTTGGGTAGTGCAACAAGCGAGGCCTTCTTGGGTAATGCAGACATCTATAGGAAGCCAAAGCAATGCATGGTGGAGCTATGACTCTGAACAGGCAGCGTCATTTCTGGTAGAAAAGTAGAAATCAGGTATGAATATTGCGCGTTTTCTCTTCTCGCGAACGCGCTGCCACTCACTTACGTGCTCATGCAAAGAGTGCGTGGTGCGTTTGAGTCACCTCACATTGTACCGCCTGCAGTGCGGCTTCATAAAAATCTCTGAGCTGGACAAGCACTTCCAAAAAGCGAATCTAACAAAAAGAATAAAGCTCGTTAGTCAAGTTTATAATGTGGAGCAGACGACGAAAGACGAGAACGCCCGAGTCACTGTAAAATGTATTTCTCAGGTTCGTGACAATACCGTGTATGACGTATGTCTCAAGGTAAGTCACATTCTGCCCACGTGAAGCAGCGTACTGTATCGGTGTGCTGCGTTGACATTTATGAAAACCATATAAATGTTGTTTTCTGGTGGTATCTAGCAGTAGCAACTGTGTGATGTCATGTGCAAACGTTTGCGGCATGCTAAAAAATAAATAAGAACTAAAGTTATACTGTCATGGCATTAAAATGTCCGAGAAGCTTTAGAGTCATGGCCTCTGTGCCACGGCAGCATGACCTACTGACTTTGCTGCAAAGCAGCAAGCTGAGCTTTAACCACGGTGAGTCAAGTTGAAGTGCTCAGCTAGTTTTTTTCGGGCTGTCGTGTCATGCTTACTCCATCTTTCGGGAACGCGGCTGTGTTCGCCGGGTGTGACTTTCTGGGGAACTGATAAAGCTTTACACGTGGAGAGCGTCCCTTGTTGTCTGCATTGTGGCAGCTCACAACACAACAATACTTCGGACCTTGCAGGGGCTTCCGTGGGGCCGCTTCTTTTATCGAGGAAAAGCAACTTCGCCCAGCGAGCGTCTCATTTTAGCATGCCAAGCTGACAGCTTGGCACCGAAGTTCCCCTCACCGACTGTAAAACGCGCTCCGTGCGTGTCGCACGCACACCCCTTTCGGGGAAACACACTGACTCGCCTGCGCCCTCTTCCGCGCCTATCTCAAGTTCGTCGAAGCTCGCTGCCAGAGCCAGGCGCGGCGTTGTCGTCGCTTCGTAAACTTAAGCTTCGATTCCCTATGTGTATTATGAAATGCTCACTATAATGAAGTATTTAACTCTTTATTATAACTTATTTAAATCTTATTTTAGCGAAGTGTCTTTGGTTCTATTTAGTTAAACAACATTCTTTTTGGCTGAGTTTAGCAGGGAGGGGGTATTACAAGAGGGAGAAGAGAATGGGGAGTGTGGAACTCTGGAGTCGAGGATGTGGAGAGTGCAAGCACTCTAGTGCAGCATAGACTCCTCAAATGGTTCAGTTCCGTTCTTCACACAACCAGTGCCAGCACCCTATTTGTTGTTTCTGCTACGAAGTAAGAAGGGCTGCTTAAACATTAGAACAAAATAGGCGAGAACAGCCGTATAGCTCTATGGTGGCATAACTCACTGTAGATAGCTGTTACTTGTTCTATCCAGTCCATTTCATTGCCCATTACCAGGTTGCAACAAGGTGTTCTCAAAACATTAGCACATTGCACCAAAGAATGCCCATAAACATTACGCATTGAACCAGGCTGTCATAGCTTAGTCACTTCTGTTATTTGACTACAAAGCTTTTCACAATTCTTATTCATGAAACAGCAAATGGTAGCTAAATAACCGGACATTTGCTATGTGTATTTTTGGCATTGGTCTCTTATCTCTCGATTTAACTTGCATTTACTTACAGCCTGGCAGTACAACCTTGAGGCCCTCCCCCGAAGGATGCTGCGTGCTCACTGGTGGCATTGGACGGCGCCGCTTGTATAGGTTCTAAAGTTTATGACGAGAGAGGGCTTTGCGATACGCCTTTGAAAGAGGAACAGGCGGCAGAAGCTGCTGAACTCCTCAGTCATTATGTTGCAACACCAAGCCCTTCGGGAGTGACACGGGCATGCAAACTCTCGCTAAAGGCAAACAGTCCGTGTCGTGTTGTGACGAGTGGTGCAGTGCAGTCACCGAGGCAGCAGGTGGTATCCGCCCAGCCCGTCGTGGCAAGCCCAGCCGTGGCTTCGGCGAGTCAGGCATCCACGGTGGCGAGCCCTACTGTACCTGCCGCGTTAGCCACCCATCTCCCTGTGGCTCCCGGAGATCTGCTCCCGGCTAACGTTAAGCCTGGCACCGAGTACATGGTCGTTCGCAACACCACCGGTCAAATGTTGGACCTGAACACCTTGCTGTCGTTGCCTGAGCTGAAAACAAACAAGGATACGATCGTTGCCCAAGCGAGCCAAGTGACGCCTGCCAAGCAGCAAGCAGTCGGTTAGTGAAAAATCACTTTTAGAGTTAGTGACCCGGAGACAGTTTTGTCGATCGTTCACAAAAACATTGAACCAGTACAGCAAGCCCTTCAGATTGTTAACAGGCCAGTTTTAGTGTTCTTTGTAATGCGCATAACTCGAATTGCCATGCATTCTTAGTGCTTCATTTCAATGTGATTGGCTTTCATCCACAAAAAGCATAACCATCGCTCAGAGCCACTATAGCTGGGAAACTTTGCCATTGTTTATTATTATGTTGATTAGAGTGAATGCACAACACTAGTAGTCGAGCTTATTGTAGAGTTATGTGCTCCCCACTGATAATGCTGAAATTTTCTACAATTCATGCTTAAAAGACAGCCCATCTTGCTGATGATTAGATTACCAACTGCCCATAACTGTGATTGCCTATATCAGCATAAAGCATGCATTCCTTTCAGTTTCAATTTTTCATTGTTGGGAACACGCTTGCCCAAGAAACCAATAAAGAGTTCCGTATTTACCAGTCTTACTGCAGCCTTCACCATCACAATCATGGGTCAATAAACACATTGCTACAGGTCACAGTGGCACCACAATGAGTTTTTAGGTGCCCCCGCATTTCAACGAGTGCGTGGTTTCGGAGTGTCAATCGTGCAACCAATTCGATGCAGTGAAAGCTTGTTAATTCAAACTCTGTTAACAGTAAACTTGGAACCAACACCCTGGTCCTGGCACAGCTCAGTGTATTTCTATGGGGGAAAACTCACCGATAATTCGAACGTGTCGACATTAACAATAGTTAATTCAAACTGTGGGAGCCCCTGGTTTTCATTGCTCCTTACAGATTTAAACCCAGAGTGATCATCGTGCATTGCAAAACCAAACCAGACCAAGTTTAGTAGAGATGCAGGACATGGACACAGCGGCATTTTTCAGCAGATGAAAATTCAGACCCTGTGCTGGAGCTCCTGGGCACGCTGCAAACGATGCTCATGCAGCTGAAATTGATGAAGCGCAAGCTAATGTAAATTACCGATTGCTTTTTCATTTGTTTGTGTTCACTGTGTCGCCATCGACCATACCATGCTCAATGCATCAGCGTTCTCTGTGTCATGTAGGTAAACATATTTTGGAGCATAAATAGCAGTCACGTATTTCATGTGATGGCTGACTGCTCACTTTAATGCATGTCGTTGCTCGTTTCTGGCATATAACTGACTCATCATTTAATTTTGTTTGCTGTTAGAGCTCCACAAACCTAATTTATGAAATCACTTGGCACAAATGTGTAGTACCACCTTATTCGTAATAACTAGTACAGAGACGGCTTTTTCTAGTTCTGCTTGTGCAGTGTAGTGTGATGTCTGTTCATTCTAGCACTGGCCCACTAATTATAACTCTATTTAATTTGGATAATTTTATAGTTCTCTTGAAGTATGAACTAACAAGCTTTTACTGTAGTATTACTAGCATTTTTACCAGAGGAGAAAGGATAAGCAGATAGTACTTGATGATCTAGAGATCAACTGGACCAATGCAGAGCATGGCCTCCACGATTTTCCATCCAATGTAGAGCAATCGCAGGAAGTTGACCACAGCCCCGTTCATGCAGCAAATAAGTTGGGGCAAAGAATGGCTTGCGTGGTGCTTACTCTTTAATCGCACTCAGCTCCCCTCATACAAGGTGCACGCACCACTCCGCTTTATGTTATGCAACCTAACCACTTACTAAATACACGCACCACACAGAGCGCGGTGTGTGTTTCTCAGGGGGAAGAGTGAGTGAATGTATGAGTGTTTGTGGGAGTACAAATTTGCACTAAATTTCTTACAATACTAACATCTTACATAAATAAAAAACTCTCTTACTGACTTTTTAATTGGCATTTTTTTAGTATATGCTGACACATTTATGATTAACAATGACAAATTGGCGTCATTGCAAAAGACGTCCTTGCAGACAAAATCGCAAAAGGAAACATAAACGCAAGCACATTTAGTTTTATAGCTGCCCTGTATGTTGGTTGTTTTTCAATGGACACTGTGTTGTATCATTGTGTGGCTTGAGCATTATTCTCTCCCAAAATGTTTGCAGGCAAGCCAGTGAAGGTGCAACCTGTCAAAACTCCCCTTAAATCTTCTATTCCCTCACCCATGGATGACGACGATGACGACTTCAAGCCAATGAAGAAAATGCGCCAGTCTGTAAATACTGTGAGTCACATGTTGGAAGCATTTACAACTTTTTTGCCTCCATGATGCAGTGTATACTGTATTTATTTGGTTCTAATGCTTGTGTTTCTTATTAAAAATGCTAATAAATGGCATGTGCAATATAGGGCCCCTAAAATAGCACTCAGTTTCTAACATTTCAAATAACCTCGCCCGTTAGGTGCTGAGTGCTGTGGCAATAAACATTGCCAAATGCACCAGTGTGATGAGCCTGCGGCCACGCCACAAGTTCACCAACAACCCTCTGACCTCTCTGGGCATTTTAGTATCCTCAGCATTGGCCATGACTTCACCGTTTGTATCTGGTCATGTCATAGTGAATTCCACTGGAGGATTAGAACTGGGCAACAAACTCGCATCGGAGCACTCTACTACGGCAAAGCGCAACCAAAGGAAATCTGCCAGTGGAACACAGGTACTCCCACCAAAGCAAATGGCAGGGTGCACTAGTGCACATTCGTTTTCACCTTCACAAGCTTGCGTGCAGACAACAAGCAGGCTCGAACAGCGCATTCTCTTAGTCACGTGGTACGCCAGGTTCTGCGCACGTGCAGGGTGCTTGAGACTTTAGTCGAATCCGCCACTTTTTGCGGAGTAAGGAGACCTGCTCTGTGGAGTGTATCTGGCGGCGGAGCTTCTCCCGATCTGCCTATGGAACACGCAGAGAGCACTCTCAATCTGCGTATGGAACCTACTTGCTCCACATGGAGCAGAAAAACTGCTACTGGAAATATTCTAAATCTGCCTATAGGATTCACCATCGGCAACGAAAAGAACCTGTTTGTCTGTTTGCAGGTACACACGCTTAATTCTTTTCCTGTTTGCACGGAGAGGTGGTCTAGTCAGCCAGGAGGACAGATTAGTTGACGATCAGAGTGTAGCGAAGGAAAGATCTAAATGATCGTGGGCCATTTTTGATCTTCAAACGCGCGTAAATCTGCTGTTACGGCACTGTTTTGAAAAATTTTCATGGCTACGTGTTTGTTACAGACTCATGCACAACTGAAATAACTAAATTTTGACTACCGAGGTGCTTTAGGGACCCTTTCAGTTTTAGTCCAAAATTGAAATTACAAGAGGGACACATTATCGTCATTGCCACTCAGAACTTTTGCATTATTGTAGCAGTTGTGGAAGCCAATGAAGCTTTACCTAGCCCCCATAAATCCCAAGTTCGCTAGTTTCTGCAATGTATACAGTAAAACCTTGTCAATTCGAGGGCACTGGGACTGTGAAGAATCTTCGAATGAAGCAGGCTTTGAAATTAAAGAAACATACAAAAATTTAGATACCAGAACACACAAAACCTTTGAATCATTGAAAGTAGTCCGAGGCGGTCATTTGTGGTGCTTGATAGTTTGAGGTCGCTAAGAGTTCTGCTATTCAGAAAAACACACAAAACCTTTGAATCATTGAAAGTAGTCCGAGGCGGTCATTTGTGGTGCTTGATGGTTTGAGGTCGCAAGAGTTCTGCTATTCAGCAATACTTTGTCCCAATTTTACCACAGTCCGGGGAAGTGGCAAGCCTCGCTGCTGCCAGTGCAAGATAAAAAAAAGCCGGTCTCGTGGTCAGCTGAAGTGTTTCCCTGCAAAAACGAAGAAACGAAAAAAAAAAGAGACGAGCTTCACTGCAACACAGTAGTGACGCGAGCAGCATGTTGCAGACTCCTTGCAGCACCAGTGCACGTGATGTGACCATTCGTCTGTTCTTTTTGGTAAAATAAAGGATTTATTATGCCAGAAAGAGGCCATTGTTATGAAATTCTTAATTTGTTTGTGCCGAAAGCATAAACATTAAAGTTTTCTAAGTGAGTTTTTAAAGTAGGCACTGCAGGCAAGAACATCACCAGCAGCGTACGAGGGATCTGCCGAATTTTTCTTCGCTGGAAGTGGCAAGACTGGGAAGGTTCAGCTGTCACTCATTAGTATCGCTGCACTGCATTGTCTCGGGGCTCCTAAGGGCCGTTATTTCTGCCCATTTGCGCCAAAATCGGGATCACAAAGTTTTCAAATTAACTGGGCTCGTGCTGACTGCCGCTTCAAATTATCCCCTATAATTTACATTGTAAAATGCGGAACTGCATAAATCCTTCGAATTAGGCGGGATTTTGAAAGAACGGAGTCCGAATGAACGAGGTTTTACTGTACATGTATTCAGATACATGGCATCTCAAAAGCTGCGAGGCACCTACTTTCAGGCCCTTGATGCTGCCAGTAAAGAACCATCAGTATGAAAGTGACATTATGCAATGTTTGTTCCTGTGCAGTTTGGTCTCATTAAGTAATACTTTATAGTAAAAACAATTTATCATCACTCACTTACTCTCTCCACACACACAAAAAAAGACTGCTACAGGGCGATTAGTATGTTGTACTTGTACCAGAAGGCAGTCATCTAGAACTCAAGTTTCGAGTGGGGCAGAGGGCAATCAGCATTAATGAACAATCCCCCCCACTAAAGGGTGCCTCTTGATGGTGTCATGCTTATATCATGTAAAACCTCCAAATTTTTGTTTTATATTGACTTCTTTTGCAGCATATACGTAATAGCCTTGCAAGCCTTCCATCACCAAAGCGGGAGGATGCTTCTGCTGTTAGCAGTGCCCCGAGCACTTCAACAGTTCTCGAACAGCTAATCCAATCACAGCAGCAGCTCCCTCCTTCAGAACAACCCACTCCATCCAAAGGGTGTCAGGGAATCGCGGACAAGCCCTTGGAGAGGTGAGTTGTCTCGGAGCGATCATGGTGCTACGAGCATCTTTTAATGAGAATGGCTTTCTGTCCCTTTTGTTAATTTTTACACCATCATTTTGTTTAATTATGACAGATCGAGTGCTATAGGAGTTGGCTGCAGACATTACGTCATATGCCGTATTTACTCGCATAATAGGCATACTTGCTTAAAAGGTGCACCCAAAGTTTGGCCATGAGAAATAGGTTTTTTCTAAATTTCTGCGCAAAATCAGCGCACCCCGACATTGGCTGTGATCAGTAGTTCCATACCGTATTTGCACAGTTGCAGTTCGGCGCCTTCTTTCTTAACTGGACTGAAGAGGAAAAAAATGAAAGACAGCGGTAGGGCTGTGTGGACTCGCTGAGTGAAGAAGGGCAGTTGCCTGGGCGTTGGAGGAACCTTTGCACTGGCGGTGGCATGGCTTTGGCCGCATGCTCCGCTTAGAATGTGCGTTCGCGTCCTCATCAAGTGCACTTGGATTTTTCGTCGGCAAAAGTGTTATCGTTATCGCGTTTGCTACCTCGTGTGCAAATTTGAAAGCATTTAGGCTTTTTGACGTGAGCTTTCGCCTTTGCTGATATTGCGTGGACTTGCACCAACTCGGCGGACTTCTGTCGTCGTTGATTTCTCGGCTGCAAACGTGAACATCACATCACGTGCCCTGCTCTTGGATCAATGCTAGAGTGCGATCTTTACAGCACTCGTTCTTCATGTTGTCTCGTACAAACTTCCCTTGACAACATGCCAAACGGTACGCTAAGCCTAATCGGCACTTATTGTTTTTCGGTAGTGGTCGCGGGCGACCAAAGTTGCGGTTTTGTACAGAATTAATGCAGTTAACTCCTTGTGGTGATTTTACTTGAAGGAAAGAGGGCATGGGTGGCTCTTGTAACACTCGAATGGTAGTTCGAGATTCAATTGCAATGTCTTTTGGATATGGTGTGCGAGACCATAATATGTACATTTGCTACTGTTCAGTGCACAAAATATTGGTCATGATAATGGGCATTATTGGATGGCCTGAAACATATTTGGTGAAATTCTGCGATGGCATTTGCTTTATGTAGTTTTTTTTGTCGTTTTCACTCTATCCGGCAACTGCGGGTCTTCCGCTGTTAATTTTTGGAAATTTGAATGCTTATAAGCACACTGCATTGCATGCCCCAATTTGTGGCATGCCAGACTGCATATTCAACACATTTTGCACTAATGTAGCCTATGAAGAAGGTTGCTTCGCCTGTAGTGCGGACGTCATGACTTCGGCGACTTTTGTTATGAGCAGTCTATGCTGCAGTCGGAAATGAAATTTCCGGAAATTTCGTCCCACATAAAAGGTGCACCTCGAAGCTGGCAACGGACTTTCTGTAAAAGAAGTGCGCTATTATACGAGGAAATACGGTACTAATCCAACTTGTTACTATCACATTCATTGCTTTGCTGTAATGGTGCAATCAGTATTTTAAAAGCGAGACACTTTATGGGGTCAGACTGTCATATGTTGTGTGCTGTTATCGCTTGGTGTAATGCTCCACATGTAGCATATTGAGTGCTTGCTCACGCAAAGAGAAGTCTTCCTTTTTTTTTCTTTCTTTTGTTCTTCGATCGCCTTAATGATGATCACTTATCATCAGCAAAAAAACATCTGGTAGGGCACTAGGTGTATTGCAGGCAAGACCATGTATATATAAATAAAAAAACAGGACGCAAGCATGAATTGAAAAGGGAGGAAGAAATAGAAAGAAATCAATAAAGAGAGAGGAAAGGATAAGTAGAAACAAAGAGAGAAAAACACACACACACAGAAAGAGGAAGGACACAGAAAACCGAAGAGAAAGAAGGCTGCCTGGCTCCGCACGTGCTTCGGGCTTGAAACTCATAGTGTGAAGCTGCTTTAGCGGTATTTTTTTTTAAAGGAATTTACCGCACATCTGTGATATTTCTTTTTTTATTCTAGGGTACCCACAATTTTCTATGGCACAAGAACACACAAACAGATAGCGCAGGTGGTGAGAGAGCTGAAGAAGACGGACTATTGCCATGTCAAGTGAGTGGTCTGCTGTGCTCATTTGTTATATGGCCGTGAAAAGTACACCATGTTACTGCAGACAGTGAACAATATTTAAGGGGGGACACTGTACTTGAGACGAAATGCCAGATATTTTCATGTGTTTATAAAGAAAATTCACAGCATGCTTGAGTTTTTGATGCTGATTTCAAAAATGTATATAATTACTGTTCCTCTAAACCAAGTAGTTTTTGAGATATCCTAAGATTAATTACCTATTGTTTGCCGGTATAATGACACAAGAAATTTGTATTGCAGAGCTACTATTGGCACATGCCTTTGTACTAATGAACATAAGCTACACAACGGTTGGAGTGCTTTTTTTTATTTGATAATTTTAGCAAGGTTTGTTGCATTTTGTATTTCAGTGTTGCAGGCACACCCACTTTATGCTCGGAATTTCTGACAAAAATAAAATTTTTTGAAGATCTCAATCAAAAATTCACACCTATTATTGTGTAAACTAAAGATACAGCTACATGTCACAACAAAAATGACAGTCCTAGCTGCTCTGGAGGCAGAGATATCTTTGAGACAAGTTTGCAACAGCAGCGAAATTTGAATCATGAGAAATCATTTAAAAACACAAGAAGTCCATTTCGGGCAGACAGCAGCATGGAAAAGCTGTTTATTTACAATGATTTGCAAGTTAAGCTTTCTCAGTAGGCAACAGGCATGTAGTCCTTCTGTTTTGCATCACCTAAATGGCATTTTTTCCATGTCCACTGCATGTTTTCCGCAGAGGCGCACTTGCGAGCTGATGCGGTCGCCATGTGCTCGTCTGTTTACTAGGCCGCTTATCAGTTCGGTGACGCCTATGTGCAACGAATGTCGTATAATAATGCCTATGTGCCATCCGTCATATAATAAATTGGTTTTCCGGCTTGCCCAGATTGAGTTGTTAAGGTAGCAGACTGAACTCATGCACTCGCTCATCCATTTCAAGGCTCCAAGAGCAGCGAGGAGTTAGTTTCCTTTTCACGTAAGATGTGAAATGCCACATTTTCGAGTGGAAGCCGCGGCGCAATATGTTCATCGTTGCGGATGCGTCGTTACAAGCACTCTACTTGTTGCCAGTAGCCTCCATTGCGCGGGCGGCGAGCACATTCACTGTAAACTAATTGATTTTCTGTTGTTTGGTCCCCTCATTACACTTATTTAACTAACATGCTGGAGTCGATCTAGAATAGAGCTGCTAGATTCATTTTCCAAAACTACGATCATAGCTCAAGCATAACACAAATTAAAAAGAATTTATCACTTTCCATTTTGAGCAGCCGTCCTTTCATTATTTCTTAAATACGTACACGAAACAAGGCCATTATCTATAACATTGCAAACATCTGCATTCACACCAAAGAGACTGAATAATCATCTTTCATTCACAAGCATGTACGGTAAAACATACTTTTTTAACTTATATCCACTCCCCCGTGTCATCCGCATGTGGAACAGCCTTCCAGATGAAATCGTAGCTGAACGCAATCGACAAAAATTCCGGCACCTTCTAATCACCCATTTCGAGGATTAACTGCTCGGTTCATTCATATCAAGATCAGCACCTACGCGTTTATTCACTACTAGTATCTCGCTTTTTTTAGGGGCGAAGCTCCTTAGGGCGTGGGCTGTGCGTCCCCTGTAGCCTGTATGTAGCCACCTCTAGTTTAGTTCTTGCAGTGTTCACTAGATGGCGGTACCATCTCCTGTATGTAGCCACCTCTCGTTTAGTTCTTGTAGTGTTTACTAGATGGTGGTACTTGTAGCTGATGATGAAAAAATGCAAGATGTTATAAACTAGAAAGCGGTACTTGTAGTTGATGAATGACGCGAGATCTTATAAAAATAGGAATGATGTCACATATGGCGCGTGTCATTGGTTGAAGGCAATCGTTCGATTTAGTGCGGCGACGTACGCTAGGGGGAGCGTTGTAATAAAATCCGTTCGCTGTTGGCGCGCGCTCGGAGTCGCCGGATGGATAAGGCTGCACAGCGGAGAGAGCGCAAGGCGGCAGCAGCGCGCGCTCGCAGACAGAATCCCGATGTGCGAGCGCGCGAGGCAAGGGACATCGCAAGCCATCCACCGTCTAAGAACAAAATAAAAGTTGATTTGTGTATATACACACACAGCCTTTCTCACGTCTTTACATGATGATCGACTGGGCGAATTACACGGAAGATTCACAGTTTACCGATGAATCCCTCCGGAGCTTCGCCCATTCATCATCATTCATTTTCGTTGTTATTCCTGTTAGGACTTCTATAATACTCGACAATTAGTTTATGTTATTGTTTGTATGCAAGTTGTGCAAATTCGTGTATCTATTCTTTTTATGCTCCCCTTACACAATGTCCTGTTGGGTCTATAAGGTATTTTGAATAAATAAATTATACCTCCATTATCAAAAATAAAGATGGTCAAGTCACCCAAATTTTTGCTGACATCAAATGGGCTTTGCAGAGTAAACAAAAAACATTGCTGTTATATTTTTATAATAGTCATAATAATGTTTATTTTCGACATGTTACATCTCGGCATGTTACATGGGAAGGGGTGATACGGCTAAAGACAGATTAACTGCCTGACAATGGCCCTACCATTCAACGCTGTTCAACAGGGTTTGGACATATATAAATTATACAATAAAATAAAAAGCGGAATCACTAAGAGAAAAAGAAAGCATGACATAGTACTATCAAGAACAGCTCATGACATGCATAAAATAATTCAAACAAAAGTACTATTTTTTTAATACAGATCTTGCACACCACATAACGCTTGAGGCCTTGCTCATACTGTGAAGGTGCACAGGACAAGAAATAAGACTTAACAAATTATATTTTGTTTTCAGAGACTGATTTCAACGAGCAGCACCAGTTTTCTTCTTTTCTTTCTTTTTTTTTTAAGAGAAGAAAAGTCACGCAGCAATTGTGACTGAGTGATTTTTAAGCTTGTGGCATGATTAGCCAAAAGAAGAGAGCAATTTTTAGGTGACTGTCAAAATTTATTGTGAATTGCAGGCCGCGTGCTGCTCTATAATATTTGGCTCGCGTGTTCTGTAGCCTCAACTACCGATCGGCAGCATTTTCTGACCATGCTCAAAAAGTGTTGCTGAGCCCCTTTGAATTTGAAGGGGGGCTTTGCTGCAGAGCGGATTCCTTCTGGCTAGGTGGTTTTACGGCTTAGCACACCTATACTGCAGTGAAACTATCTTCACAGGTGGTTACATGCGGATTAATATACATCTATATTCGTTCATTGCGAATACTCTGAAATTTTCAATAATTTAAATTCAAATCAATGTGTATTCGAATACTCTACTGTTTGTTCGAATATTAGAAGCATTCCAATATTCGCACAAGCCTAATGCATTGAACTTTGCAACCTCTCTTGCCACTGTTTCATGTTAACCCTTTGAGATGCTATCTACACAATTGTGTACACCGCTTGTTTTTGCTATTTGCAGTTAGGAGAGGCTAAGCAAGAGCAAGAGATATCGCACTTGAGATGAAACTGAATCTCCTGCATAATACATTTGTCTTTATTTAACTTCATTTTGCAGTGCACTGATACGTATGATCACTTTTCTGAAGGCACTACTATGTTCAACATTGCAAGTCGTGTCACGTGCCGCTTCCTGCGAGCAGTGTGAAAAGAAGGCTTTTTTTCGTGCTCAAAATGTATGTGACAGAAAAAGAATTTTGCACTATATTCCTAACCTGAGCTTGAATTCTATTTATGCTAAAAGAAGGCATCAATAATTTCAGGATAAAGAGATATTTAAATACAACCTAATTAGGATGAGTCGCTAAAACACACATAAATTCAACAAGTTATTTCATCATTCTTGTTGCAAATGCATACTGAGCGCCTTGAAGCAACATTGTAATGATTTGACACATTTACAGACAGTTCTTCATAGGTGGCGTCTGAAAGGGTTAAGGGTGAATCTGCGATATCTCAACTGATCCTGCATTTCATGTGTGGCTCATGCAGCTCGGTAAAAAAGAAGCACTGGTGTTTTACAAGCCAAGACGGCGTTATGATTGTGAGGCCTGCTATGGTAAAAAACTCTAGATTATTTTCAACATAAAATCCTTTTCATGAAGCCGACAGCAAATGGTAATACCAAGTATATGACCTGAATATAAATATTGCCTTTAGTGCATACGTGCGTCTGCCCAATCTGTCTCATTAGAAGAAAGAAAGAAAAGCTTGCCTGTCAATGTCATCTTGTTGATCGAGCTCAGTGCATGCATTGCAGAGCTTCACTTCAGGCGGGTGTAATAATGCCTCTTCCTCCCGCCTGTCTTCATTCGTCCAGGATGTGCATCTTGTCAAGTCGCGAGAGGACCTGCGTCCACCCGGTCGTGTCAAAGTCGACAGCCAAGAACGAGAGGTGCAAAGAGCTACTAGAGGACATGACAAGAGGTCAAGGGGTGAGACAGCCATGCATATTGTGCAATTTTTTATACAATTAGGTTTTCCTGCGCCAAGCTTCTCTAAAAGCGTACAAACTTCAGGAGTTGCGCTGAACTTCTCCAAAACAGCCTCAAGAAGCAAAAATTGGTTATGCCCATGTCAGCTTCAGCAGAGAAAAAAGGCTAAGCTGACATTATTTTTCCAAGCGGTAACAGCGCCAGAGATAACATGAAAGTATAATGCTTTCAAAACACTTACAAGCACCCAAGCATTCTGTTACGTGCCTTACTAATGAAGGTTTGCATTGTGCTGTCATAAACCAAACCCCACCCCACCCAAAAAAAAAAATGTGCTGCTGTGCCCTTAACATGCTGCTTCTACTTGCTTGGTTGTGTGCTTTGACACTGCTGCTACTTACTGTAAACTATCCAGTGACATGGGTAGAGGCGTGGACTCTCAGGTTCTTTTTTTACATAGCTTGTTCCTCCGGTCGCTACGATTTTCACGTCGACGCTGCTACATGTGGTCACCTACACACGCGTTTGCCATGGGGGTGTTCATACAGTTATGCCTCGCACCGTGCATAGCTGAGGCGGGTACCTTGTTGCGTCAATCTGGTGATGAATAGCTTCATGCAAGCGGCACGTCTTCGTGATGCTTTGGCAGTTTTGCATTAGAGGGCAGCAGCGGATAGATGCAACGTGCGTTTGTGCCATTCCCTAATAAAAGCGTGCAGTACGCCTATGACAGTGTTAACTTGCAGTACCATTCATGCATGTTTGTCTAGGTAGTCCGTGTGGTGAGCTTTACAGGCGCTCGTGCCGCACTCCTGAAAGCGCTCCCACAGAATGCCATGAAAAAAAACAAAAAACCCGTGACCAGTGTGTTTGCATGGCACAAACATGCTGCTCTCAGCCATGGTTTGAGTGAATGCTATCACTGGCAGGTGTGACTCACCGGCTTCAATGCAGTGATAAGCCGATAAGTTGGTGGTGGTTTCTTGGCCCCCGCATGCTACAACTTGCACCGTCACGTGGGCAAAGGCTGGCAACAAGCCAAGAAATCACCACCAAATTCAATCGGCCTACCCCTGTAATGAAGCTTGTGAGATGCAGCCGCCACTGATTTTGTTTGCTCAAACCATAGCTTAGAGCAGCACAATCTCAGTGTGCGAGTAGCGTTAGTCAAGTTTTTTTTTTTTCGCAAGCTTTCTTTGCAGCTTAGAAAGAACAGTCCACGTGAGGCTTTCGTTAGCTCAAACAAGGCAAAGGAGATTTCCAAAGATGCTATTGAATCTGCAGGCCCCATTTTCTTTCCTAAAGTCATTATTTAGAAATCTATTTAAATAATCTGAATTAACAATTAGTTAACAACATAAGAAATTGTAGTTTGCAAGATGGCTGTCAGGGATATGCAACTGATTTTCCCTGCCTGCCTCTAATATGGTATTTTTTAACTCTTGACTAAAGACAGCTGGGGCACCTGGTATATATCATTGCCCATGTGTCATCACCGCATACACATTTAATAGTCATGGCCATGTGTAGGTTTTTCTCACCATGTGTCATGCATAGCACAGACGTAGTCACTCTTGCACCACAAAAACCCAACATAACTAGGTGGCTAACTAACATGCGATAAGTATTCTTCTGTCTTCAAATGTTTCATAAGAACATTTGCTGCAGATTGCCAACGTTTGTCTCGATGCTCAAAATACATTTCAGTGCACTTTCTCTTTATTTAAATGAAAGTAAAGTACAAGAAATTTAAGTTTGCATGTCTTGATTGTCTAGCACATACTAACTTTCGTCTGCGCATTCGCGTGCAGAATCCAGAGAGCTTGCATTTCCGCAAGCTCGTCTTCGAAAAAACCGGCGAGTGGGTGCATAAGTTACACAGACGACCAGGTTGTGCTAGGGTTAACTTACTGCAAGTCAAGACAGCTTTGCTGCCGCTAAAGCCTCGGAGACCAAATGACGTACTATAACTGTAGAAGATTTTAGTGCACGCTATCACACGGCTCTAATGATATCATTATAGCCGTGTGAATAGCAAAATTTTCAGTGCAAAGCGAATTCTAATATTAAAGTCCGAGTGCAAATTAAAACAAATATTTGTAAAGTATTTATCAAATACTTGTCCCATATTTGGAAGCGAAATTGCAAAAAAAAAGTTGCAGAGGATCCCTGAGCATATTTTTTGTCAGATGGAATCATGAAAGCATTTCTTTTGGCTAGCTTGGTCAAGTGCTGGAGAGGTGCTGCTAAAGGCTGTCGCCTAGTTGCCTCATGAAGAATGAGGCAGTGCAGAGGCCAAATCGTGTTTTGGTACAACCGATGTGTTTTGGTACAACACGATTTGGTACAACCGAAGTGGTGTCGACAAGGCAAAAGGAAAAGATGCTCATTTCCTCAACCTCACCTCCTCCTTCGACTACTCGGGAGTCCCAGATGATGTGTCCGACAAGTGTGCGCTCCTTTCTAGTCGGGAGTTTCTCGCCTGCTGCTCAAATTTCTCTCTCCTACTCTGTGACTGCGAGTGGATTCTTCAGTAGTTGTCGACACTGGCATCATTTTTAGCGGTAGAGGTCACCTGTTTTTCATGCGCGGTTTTTGTAGATGCAAACGAGCGTGCGCTTTTGCAAACATGGCCAGGTAAGGCTCTTGCGTTATAATGTACTGCCAAACATGGCAGAAAACAAGACGATTCATTTTGTGCAGTAATCCATAGACGTGGCAGCGGCGCGCTGTCCATTGGAGTGAAAACGGAACGGTACTGCAAGCTGTCGCATAGCAACGCAGCTGATGCGTTGTGCTGTATTGACATTTCGCTATCTTCAGGTGATAATAATCGGTTTTATATCACAGGCTAATATTTTGGCATTAAGACATTATTCGCAAAGTACGTTTTGCAAAGTACATTTCGATTCAAGGTTTTTCGGTGTCATTGTTCAGGTTTGGGGTCACTTTAACGAGAGGCAGTGCATTGCGACTCGTACTGAGTGCGAGTGGGCATGCTATTTTAGCATTTGTGTAATGGTAGAGTACACCGTGCGCAAAAATTAATGTGAAAGAATTTGCACTTTTAAAGTGCGAATTTTTATTTTCTCTAACGCTGCATTGAAACTGGTGCACATATGTTCTAGGGTTGTGGCTACTACATCAACATGAAGAGGGCACCTCCTGCTCCATCGATGGAGCCCTATGACTTGGAAGACCTCGTGAAGATTGGGAAAAGGATAAGGGTTTGTCTAGCCTTCCGACCTCTTGTCATCTCTTCAGCATTACTATCGACAGTTCTGAGAACTATTAGAAGCAGTTCAGTGGAAATTTGTGCCTGTCGGTACTTTTTTGTTATTATAGAAAGGTCCTGCAGCACATTTAGGACATTTCAAATGAACCTGACCACTCTCTGGATGACCTTATTGCAAGTACTGAAGTGAAATATCGCATCTTTGTGCTGTAGAAAGAGCATAAAGTTTTGCTAAAGAACCCATGCTCTCTACTTTGACTTGAAATTTTTCAGACCTCTTGTGTTTATTGAGACCTGTTGATAAGTGCCATTTCCATGGGGCGGTGATTCTTTTGACATTGGTCTTAGGAATGCTTAGGTAATGAACCTAAAAATGGAATGCTTGTTACTGACAAAGACAGTTTCACAATTGGTCGCCATTTATATTTTGTATCAGGTGTGTTCGCATCCGTGACTTTTTGTCGGAAGCAAAACATTTCGAGGACGTGACTTTTAAAAAATAAATGACATACTTTGCACCTTCGATAAAAAAGGGTGTGAACAATGCATGCTGCATTTGATAACTTTAATTAAAGGGGAACTAAAGGCAACTATTAAGTCGACATTAATTGTTGAAATAGTGGTCCAGAAACCTCCTAGTGTTACTTTTGGCCCAAGGAAGGGCTTATTTTAAAATGAAATTGAGCTTTAGTGACCCGCATTGCATTAGCGCACTTCAAGTTGCCCGCTTCAAAAAGCGGACCGACTCACGTCACTGTTGCTGTGCACAACGTTGCCAGGCTTTGCTGCGGGGTCGCCGACACTGCTAGACAGAACGAAAACAGCGGGAGCCACAGCAGCAACAACGGCCATTGAACGATTTCCTGCCATTAGCTCCAAGATGGCAGATGCGTTTTGGTTCAATTGCGCCTCGCTAGATGACATGACCTGTTCAGTTTAACCACGCGAAAATTTAATTTTTGAACCACTCGTGCCATTCTCCATAGTCACATCATCTGGTGGTTCTTTTTTCTATGAATCAAACAGAAATGAACAAGCAGTATTTTATTGCATCTCATGATGCATGGAAGGTTCTTTATTTAGTGCAGATAGATCGATTACTAGTGATTAATTGTAGGCGGTCCATCTGATGTCATCGGGATCATTTTAAAAATGTTCTACTGCGGCGCTTGTGCTCTCGTGCATTTACCTTAATTTCTCGGTAAGTAGGGCACTGTTGTTGATAATATTGTCGTTTTAGATGTTGTCATACATTGAGCTTTCACTGTGACATAAATTGTTATTTGACTTTAGTGTTCCCTTAAGTGCAATGATAGGAAAGAACACTGTTACATTCCGTCTTGTCTCCAGTTGACTCTGGTCATTTAGTTCTTGTGGGGCTTTAGAAGTAAGCTAGTCGTATAAAGAAGGACGATTGATCACCTTGCATGTTTCACTATCTTGGTAGGGCACTGTTGTGAGTTAAATCTTGGCTTTTCCTCATGGCAGGTATGCCCCTACTACTGGAGTCTAGACCTGATGCCGGGTGCGGACATAATCTTCTGCCCTTACAACTACCTCATCGATCCAGTAATTAGGAAATGTGTAAGAAACAACCTGTCCACCTCCCGTAGTTGCTCTTCATACTTTGAAAAAAGCCTGTACACTCAAACCTCATTACGTATAACAAAGTTGCGTATTACGTGGGAACAAGTTCGTTATATCCGAAAATTTGTTATAAAGGTTTTTTCTAACACTGTATCTATTGAAAAATTAATCTTGATTTACTTCGTTATGAGACTGGTATTTTGTTATATCTAGGTTCATTAAAGCGAGGTTTGAGTGTGATTACGTATCAGCGATCATAACAGAAATGCTTTATGCTGACTTTTACTAGTGTGCTCGGTCACGTGCATAGTCAAACCTCAAGATATTGAATGTTAATGGGATTATAATATAATTTGATAGCATTATGGAACCTCATTAATCCCATTAATGATGGCCAATATTGGCTATTTACTGCATTAACATCTGCATCACTTTCATTCCGTGTTAGTATACATTGAGTTGTCAAGCAGTTAAATTTTTTTGCTTTGTTTCTGCTGTTCTCTTTTAGTTGTCTATCGATTTAAATAATGCTGTCGTGGTACTTGACGAAGCGCACAATATCGAGGACATCAGTCGTGAAGTGATGAGCATCTCAGTCACGCAAGACCAGCTGCGGGACATTATCGCCGACTTGGAAGAAATGCGTGAGTTTAGTTTCTTTTTAAAGAAAGGTCTCGAAGATGCTTTCTTTCCATATTGGGATAACACTAAAATTAAACTCTAAACTGGTCTTAGACTGATGAATCAGTCTTTGAGAACACTGTTGTCATTGATGTTGTTATCACAAGTTCACTATTTGAAAACTAAGGTCAAGTGTCATTTTTTATTTTTATGCCGTAACCTCTGCAGCTCAATTTCAACGCAATGCTACAAAATTCAGTGTTTCTTGTATTTTTGTCACATTAGCTCAATAGATTTCAGTGAAACTTGGTGTGCTATCTTCAGCTCCCATCGAACACAATGGGATTTATTTTCAGCAGTAAAGAATGACGTGGTTCATAGCAGATGCTGTCAAAATACATGTCACGATGGCGAGTTGGTGTGTAAACTTAGGGACTTTGCCGTCACCTGCGTTTTCTTTTTCCACGCTTTCTGGCTTTCCGAGTGTCTCCTTGTGGCACTTGGTATCATGCTTTTGGTATCGTTAAATGGTAATTTACTACAGCAAGAGAGTTTCTCTCTTTTGTGTCCTTGTCAGAGCATGCTACCACTTTACGAAGAAGTCTTCTGGAAGCTCGCGAGCGTTTTAGTGCTTTGTTGCACGCATGGGCGTGCAAAGGGCTTCAGGGGCGCTGTAGTCTTATCGCACTCCGTCTACTCTCATCTACTCCAACCAGGCCGGGGGTTGGGGGATGTGACTTAATAGAGCCATTGTTATGATATCCTAACCTACCCACACCACCTCTGGAATACTGCAAAGTCAACTCTATACCTTTTCAACTGCTGGTTCATGTAATGGAGACTAGTCTTCCGTGAATATCACTCTTGGGTTCGAGATGAGGTCAAAGCCAACGATAATAACTAAGGATGGGCAAATATTTGAATTAATATCATAGTATTCAAATTTTCTTTAACACGAATGTAAGATATTTGGAATTTCGAAGTAGTACTTGAGATAAACAAACGAAGGTATATTTTACTGCATGTGACCTGACCGAAAAGATGATTTTACTGCAAGGTGAGACTGCTGTGCTGTGCAACCATTTACGCGGAAAAAATCCTTGCTGCCACGATACCACACTTGAAGGTTAAATTTACATATCACATGCACCTCCATTATTATGTTTTCTTTGAAGCTTAAGAGCATGTTATGTGCACTTATGTGTGCTAAGTACTGCATATATTAGAGCTTATAATCTGCATCCTGTTGTTATTAAAATCTTCCCACTATTTTAATTTGCTCTAACTTCGACCAAAAAGAGGCATTCGTACACACCTAGTTTCAGTTCTTAAAAATATTGTGCAAGTTAGTTCTGTCATGACAGATAAGCTCACTTTTTTTTTGCAATATTCAATACAAACTCTTCAAGCTATTCAATTTGAAATTATTTGATGAAATCACTATTTGCTTAAAATTATTTCGAACTTTGAATTTACTAATCACTCATCTCTAATAATAACTAGTTAGTATTGCATAATTTTAAGAGCAATTTGAGGAGTAACAAAATTTTACGTATAGTAGGGCGCAAGTTATATGTGGTAAAATATGTTACATTTAAAAAATTTGCAATACATAGGCCATACAGTTCCATACAATATGGTTTAAATCTTAAAAAATACCAAATTGATATTAATAATCAATGTCTATAATAATATGCTATATTCTGCACCCTACTTTGAAGTGTGGCTTTGTGGCAATGCAGATTTGACCTGATTAGGTGGTTTTTTCCTAACGTCTTCATGCTACAGTGAAAGCATTTTCTTAAGTGGTTCAAACTTGAGGGGGGAGGGGGAGGGATGCAGCTGTTCACTTGTTCCGAAAACTTTGAAATTAGGGAAATTTTAGATTTGTGTCTAAGGAAATTCAACTACTGTATCATTCGTTTGAATATTTAAGGCACCCTGATATTCTCACTGGCCTGATGTAAAAGATAGCACTTTGCTCTAAACATACCGTTTTACTCATGTAATACCCACTTGCATAATGAACCCACCCCCATCTTGTCCTTGAAAAAAAAAAAAAAACTTAGTTGGTCTGTTTACTTTATTTTGATGTGATATCCAGTGCTGTTAATGGTCGAAACAATGTTAAATCAAGCTATTATATCATAAAATAATGATGCAATAAAAGTCAGAACATAGTTAGGCAATCATGCTAGACAGCTGGGAGCAGCGTGAGCGCGGAGGACGGCAATAAAAATTTAAAAGTTGCGCCTTTTGCGGTAGAGCACCATCTGTCCAATGCAGGAGAAACCTTTTTTCGTTATAATGCCAGACAAGCTCAGCGACACAAAAACAAAGCAAGAAACAAAGTGCATGACCTCCGAGATGACAGGAGCGCGCACTTACCGTCTCGGAGGCTATGCGAAGCACAACCGCGTCCACCGCGTCGACGACACTTGTGCACCTGCAATATTTGTGTGCCCCCATCCGACGCTCCATTTTTGTTGTCAGGTTTGTCGTAGTGAATTCAGTTGGACATCTGCTGCGCAGGGTGCGTTCGGCCGGTACGCTGCCTACACAGCTGCATGCACTGGAGCATGGAAACCGAGCTGCTGACGACACTTTGGCATCGATCTGTGTGGGCTCGTTACGGGAGAAAACAGGAAGAGCTTTGGGCTACAAAATATGCTTATTGCAAATTTCGCAGCCCAAAACAATCATGCGAAATTTTCGCTGTTATAACTCCTGTGACTTTTTTCTCCCGTGTAATGAACCCTCCTCGCAAATTGGCGTCAACTTCTTTGAAAAAAAAAAGGGGGGGGGGGGGGGGGTTCTTAGGCAAGTAAATATGGTACCTTGCCTTAGAGGGACACTAAAGGCAACTATTAAGTCGCCGTTGATTGTTGAGATAGCACTCCAGAAACCTCGTAGTGTTACTTTTGCGCCAAAGAAAAGCCTATTTAGAAATAAAATCACGTTTCAGTGGTTTGGATTGGGCTAGCGCGCTTTAAATTACCCGCCTCAAGGATCCGACTGACTAGACCGGCTCGTGTCACACCACTGTTGACGCGCAAGTAGCAGGAGACCGAAAGCACCGGGAGCCACAGGAGAAACAACCATGACCTCCGTGATGGCGGGCGCGCGTGCCCGCCCTCAAAGGCAACGGCAGAAGGTTTTTGGTTAAACTGCGTCTCGCTAGATGATACGACCTGTTCAGTTTAACCACACGAAAATTGAATTTTCGAACCACTCGCGTCATTCTCCATAGTAACGTCTAGTGGTTCTTTTTTCTATGAATCAAACAGAAACAAACAAGTAGCATTTTATTGCATCTCTTGATGCATGGAAGGTTCTTTGCTTTGTGCAGTTAGATCGATTACTAGTGATTAAGGCGGTTCATCTGATGTCATGGGGATCATTTTGAAAATGTCTTATTGCGGTGCTTGTGTTCTTGTGCATTTACCTTAATTTCTCAGTAAGTAGGGCACTGTTGTTGATAATATTGTCGTTTTAAATGTTGTCATACATTGAGGTTTTACTCTGAGTTAAACTGTTATTTGACTTTAGTGTCCCTTTAATGTCTTGTGTGCTTCATTTGAGGCTATGCCAATATTTACGATCATGGAAGACATGTTTGTGAAAATTAGAATCCAAAAATGCTTTGCTGCTATAGCCCTAGATGTGTGTTATGCAAAAATGAATACTGCTTAAAAAACACCGCAGTCAACTTTTATATGAGATGTTCACACATTGCTACGTGGGTCCTTTATTCTGGCATCAAAATCAGTGTTTGTTCTTTTGCTGTATTTGATCAAGTAAAAATAGCCTCCTTTCAGAGCGCATTCCATACATGCCTGAAGAACACTATGCCATTGCGAGTGTGGTGAGTAATTCATTCTTTAATATCACCACTATCCTCATTCCCTAACGCCAATCTTCGCAAGGACTGATACTTTTCAGTACTCCTTCTTCCCACAAACAATAGATGATTGGAATAAACTAACCGAAGCATTTCCTCAACGCTCTTGACCATTTGTGTAAATACTCTTCTTCCATGACTTCCTTAAATATATTATCACCTTGTTGTTCAATTGTTACTTTCTTTTTAAAGTCATAAGCCCTTCTGTCTTATAGCAAAGAAATTGTGTAAAAAACGCTTTGCAATCTTGTTTCATTCTGTTATTTAGTGTGTTTCATGTATGCTCACCCTGCTTGGACATTTTGTCCGCAGTATTCTATAAATAAATAAATTAAATAAAAATATTGAAGTAGTGAATGTATTTTTAGGGTTGGTCTGTTTATGAAGTTCACATGGTTACAACTGATGAGCACTAGCCAAAAAGGCCCTAAATGCTCACACTCCCAGGAAAACTAGTCTCAACAAGTCTCCAATGTAGTGTATTTGCCCTGCTATTTATTGTTTATTAATGGATCGGCATGTGTCATGCTTCTCGTACTATACCGTGAAATCCCGAGCATGCACCCCTATCTCTTCTTGGGGAGATTTCAAATATGCGTCCCTCGCTTCTCTCCCATCATTTTCACAGTTTCATTCAATCCTTTTATCTGTCTAACAAGGGCAAATGAAAACAGTGAAGGCATATATGTTCATTAAAGGATTAATTGTAAGCACGGGTGCTTCGCTCTTTATTCTTAGCAGCTCCCCTGCCACCTTCCTGAATTTCAATTCATGACCAAGCAAGGGCCTCCTTCACAAATCTTGTCGAATAAACCTTCACTGCAAGGGGGGTCGGGGGCTTGCTCGGGACTTTACGGTATATCTCCAGACAACGTTCTATGTTCCTGTTAAACTTAACTGCATCTGTATTATTTTGTGCACGACCTTCTATGCTCCCGTTGATCGTAACAGCATCTGTATTATTTTGTCTATGTCTCAGATGTCCAAACTTAGTCTCTGGATAACGCAACATTCGGATCACCTGGACGACTACAGGGGCTTCGAACAGTCTGGGAAGGTCTGGGCTGGCACTGAAATCCTTGCTTTTATGACTGACGTTGGTCTGAGCCCAGAGTGTTTCAAGAACTTCAAGGTTTGTGGATGTTCTAGCATGAGACATACGGTATACTCTTGTCCTGTGAGTGGGCTTCGTAATATATATATACTTTTTCGCATCGATGCGAAACTCGCCGAAGTTATAATGTGCGAGTGCACTACGATTCCAGACTATTTCTTTGGAAGTAAGGAATTGGGAATAAATGCTCGAAAATCTCCTAATAGCCAGCTGTAATTCACTACATTTTGGATTAATTGGTTAGATAACCGTAAACACTTGAAGAGCTTTGCTTCTCATTCTTTGCCACGTGGCAGGAGCAAGATGGGGCCCATCAGAATCATCTCTACTTCAATTGTACAATTCCCTATTTGTGGGATACATTCGATACAGCATGCCAGTGCTCTCCAATATGAGACCTAGTTGTGTGACGACGCTAGAGAGTGTTCAAGCTCAATGCTTAAGAAGATGCTTGGGTCTACCAGGCTTGTCTCATCAGTGTATAAATGCTCTGTGAGCCACTTAGAGTTCACCTTCGATTGCTGAGCCGACACAGACAGCACCCACTATCAGTTACTACCAGCCACTCACCCAGAGTGCAGTTTCTCAAGAGTAATATCGCGGCATGAGAATATTCTACCATCAAGGTTTTCCCCGCCGAATGTTCCTGCAGTGCCTCCGTGGGTCCTGCCTAAACCACCTGTTTGTCTTACGATTACCTGGAATTACAAAGAAGTTGCTCGTTTCTTCTGTTGGTCTCAGACAACTGACCCTACATCACATTTATACAACGTTAGGTGATTCTCTGCAGGTGTACACCGACGGGTCCACTAGACTAAACACCTCCGCCGCAGCCTTTGTCATCCCAGACATGGATATCGTTCGACGATTCAAAGTGGACCATAAAACGACATCAACTGCCGCAGAGCTTGTCGCTATCCGGCAGGCAGTAAGATTTATTTCCGGAAGAGCGACCTCGAGCCTGGACAATTTTCTCTGATGCCAAACCCGCTTTGCAAACCATTAATTGCATCATGAAGCAAGGTCCATATTACATCTTGGCAATAGAAATTGCAGAACTTATTCAGATTGCTTCAACAAATGGCTTTCCCACGCATTGCGGCATGATGGGAAACGAAGAGGCAGACGCTGAAGCTAAAATGCCTTGAGCAGTGCCCCTGAAGTACACATTGCGTTTTCACGAGCTGAGACTGAACACCCTGCTTCGCTGCGTGATGCGCAGCTACACACTTCAGCACTGGATCACACTGGAACGGGGACACCGGCGACTTCACAAATGGGACCCAGAAATGAGGTTCCGCATGCCCCCTAAATTGAAACGGCAACTCACAAGTATGATCCACCGCATTCATCTTGGTGTGGCATACACCAGATATTACGCACATATCATTGGTCGCAGTGACACCGGTCCTAATTGTGAACACTGTGATGTGCCAGAAACATGTGAGCACATATTTTGCGTCTGCCCAGCATACGCACGTGAATGATAAATGCTGATTTCTTCTACTGAACGATATCGCAGTAGGTCATTAAGTGATGCAACCGTGTTGGGCTCTTGGCCAGACACCAACAGTGCAGCTGTTGTCATAAGAGCGGTTATAACCTTTTTGGAACCAACTGGACTATATGCACGGCTATAAAATTTGTCTCAGCTAGAAAGAATTCCACATACTCACCTATCTATCTCACCATCGTCATCCATTAGTCTTTCTCCTCCCCTTTCCCCTCCCCCAGTGTAGAGTAGCTGGCTAAAGCAAGCTATCGCTCAGACCAACCTCTCTGCCTTTCTGTAAATAAATTTTCTCTGTCTCTCTGGTGAATTCGAAGTCACTGGGATTTTGAGAAATCTTCGAATTAAGCGGGTTTTCGAATTAACAGAATATACGAAAAGTGGGATGTAAAGAACTTCATATTATTCAAAGTGTAATAAGGGCTGGTCGTTTGCTGTGCTAGCCAGCTTGCAACTCTAAGGGCATATTTTCTAGCGATGCAAAGTCACAGTTTTGTCCGCAAGAAAAAAGGGGTGGGAAACGTCGAGCTTCGCTGATGCAATCGCAAACAATCAAACAAAAAACGTTATCATGATCAACTAAAATGCGCGCCTGCGATAAATGAGACATCTTCTTTGCAACACAGTAATGACACGCAGGCAGCATGTCGCCTGTGCCTCGCTGTGTCAGCACGTCATGATGCGACCATTCGTCCATTTTTATAGTAAGATAAAAAATTTTACAATGAACAGTGAGACGATTCACGATAGTTTTGGCTGGAAAACATGATTATTGAAACTTTCGAACCGAATTTCTGAAGTAGGCGTAACAGGCAAGAACTCCACCAGCAGTCCAAGTGCACAAATCGCATGAGCAACCGGCAATCAGAGGTACGCCTACATCGAGGATTCCGCCAGACTGTCCCTTTATTAATTTTTTTTATATTCTCAGAAAGAGCGGGTAAGTCATTACTCGCCGACGTTGCGAGAAGCATGAGACATGCTGCTTGCGCGTCATTGCTGTGTTGCAGTGAAGCACGTCTTTTTTTTTTCTGCAGGCGTAAATTTTAGTTAATCACGAAACCTTCTTTTTTCTTTTTTACAATATTGTTTATTGTGCTGGAAGTATCGAGGCTAAGGTATTTCAGCTGCCGCTGAGTAGTATCACTACAGTGCATTGTCTAGTGTCTCTGAAGGGCTGTCTTTGCAGCAGTTTTGCAGTGAAATTGGGATCGGGAATTTGTACACTGCACCTTAAGTTTTCGAATTGACCGGACTGCTGCTGGCTGCGCCGCTTCGAATTATCGGCTCAAATTTGCATCGCAAAATACGGGACCGCTGAAATACTTCAAATTCAGCGGGGTTTGGAAATAACTGAGTTCAAATTAACGAGGTTTTGCTGAAAGTATTACAGTTGAACCCCTTTATAAGAGGCATGCTCCAGGCAGCAATTCTTGCCTTTTATTTGAGATCTCTCTTATAGGCAGGGTACCTCGTATGCATTTTCTTATCCACTTGTATTTTACTGTAAGCACACTGGTGTCTCTCATACCCATTTGTCTTTTATATCATGCCTCTTATAAAGGGATTTGACTGTATTATCAATAGATTTTCAAGACGCGCCTGATAATCTGAACACCTTTGTGGCGTAGCTACTTTATCTGTCTTAAGGCCAATGATGAGGCACTTGAAATGTCAGTGGCATCCGATTTTTTGTACCATATTGCCACACTTCTTTGTCAAGTTTTGTTATTGCTCCATCACATGTGTGAGTGCTGCCTTTTGCAAACCGCACCGATGGACCACCAAGGAAATCGTAGAACCTTCCGATGCAATTACGTGCGCAACGCGAACATTAGAGACTGTTCTGGAACATACATTGCCGCTAGTGATAACGCTGAAACATTCGACGGCACATGTATGCATGCTGGCGCGCATCACCGCTTGTCAGTTGATCGACCGCCGATGCTCTGTTTGCCGCTGTCATGCCAGTGTGTATCCCTCTAATCTGACTTTCCTTTCACGGGCCACAAGTCTGGCCAAAAAAACAGTTTCATCTTGGACCTACAGTCTGCTCGCTTCGTCCACATCACGACCCAGGGACAATATGTTATGATTGTATGTCCAGGATGGCACTAGGCAATGCCATAATAACGATTTCCCACCTACGAGCCAGCACTCATGCGTGCTGCCAGTAGTGATTTCCAAGTGTCATTTGTGCAGCAATGCATTTCATTGCATGGCACTCCTGTACGACATTCACCTGACGTATCGCCCACTGCTCTGACAATCTTTGTCGATTAACTTTTTTACTGTTTTTGTTTTTCTCAGACTCTCGTTAGTGCTATCACAACTGTTGAAAAACCGTCGCCAGAAATGGACCCGGAGCAGGTCTTGCCTCCAACAGTCAATGCAGCGACATCTGCAACGTTGCAAAACTTTGTCATCATCTTCGACTTTATGTACAGGGACGACCTTAAGTACCTTGGCGACTTCAGGTAGGCTTCTGCAGGACGGAGGAAGTTTGGGCACTGTTGATTGTTCATCGCACTACAGAAACCATAGTGCACTCGACAAACACGAGACAAGATGAAGGCAGGACACGTGGTTTCTTTCAACTGAGGTTTTTTTGCTGGTTCTGAGCATATAAAAACATGCGTCTGAAACTGCAAGAAGAAATAAATGACAGCATGAGAGATCGTAAGTTGACGCATGCCATCTGAGCCAAACAATCTTAAGTAAAACAACTGGTGACATACTGACACATTCAGTTGTTCTGTGTCTTCATTTCAAAGAGAAAAATAAAGAAATCGTAGAGGTGTTTGAAATAGCTAGGGCAAGATATTAATGTGTCAGCAGGCCATTTGCTGTTTTATATAAAAAGTGCTTGATTGCTTGGCTTAGATGACACGTCTTCACACCTTCTTTTGTTTTGTCAGTTGTTTCCTCTTACAATTTCAGATGAATGTTTATAGTATATATTCAGAATCTGCAACAAAACATTAGCTGAAAGTCAGCACTTGTCCCCTTCTAAAGGGACCCTGAAACGGTTTCTTGTTTTGTCAGCATTTGGACTTAAGTGTCATTAAACTATTTGCATTGCAAATATAAAGACGCTCTGTGTACCAAGGTTTCTACGGACAAATATATCATACCCTCCTTCTCACATCGGCCTGGCCTCCTCAACTCATAAGGCACGCTGGCATCACTGGCGATCGCAGAGCTTTCATGAGCACGCTCAACGATTTGAGCTTTTACTAGTCTAGACCTCCGAGATCGCACGCCAACAGGTTGCGTGCAGTCTTAAATGCTATCACACAGTGCGCCTGGCACCACGCACGCCGGTTGGCAACAGAGACGAAGATTGCGGAGTGGTTCACATCTGCTCCGAGAGATACCATCACCCTACCAGCCAATCTTATTTCCATGCATACTACAGCTCATGGTAGCCATTCAGATCAGCAGCCATGGTGATGTCAAATGGCCAGAGTATGTCGCTCTGTGAATGGGCGGTTGAAAACACATTTGTCTGAGCTGCAGTAGTCTGCAACGACATCCAGCGATTCGCAGCTTTAAAGTGTTGTAACAAATGAGACAGCTCAAATCGGTTTCTAAATGACCCTTAGAACTTGGTCTACAGACCCAATGTGTTTTTATAAGATTGCCAAGACCGTTTCAGGGTCCCTTTAATGTTATCTTGGGTTCGTGTATTGTGCCACGGTTTCTGAGGTATGAGGCTTCTGCAGGGTGCCTCGAAGCTCTTAGCTTCCTTCAATACACTGATGTGCTCTTAGCGTAAAGAATATTTCACTGAGGGAGTAGGGTTGGCTGACAACTCTTATAAATCCGTGTAGCCAAAGTGCGGCAATGGCCTGTCATATTTAGTCTCGAAGGCCGTTCGTGTGGAACTTGTGAAGTACATGAGTAAAGCAGTGACTACACCTCTGATTTGTAAAGCTCTTGCACGTTTTAGGCACAATACGCCATGGACTGTCTTCACGCAGACGAATTGGCAGAAGTACAAATGCTGTTATTATTTATTGCATAGGACATGTCATTCACACTGTGAAATGGTCATCAATAGACCAGTTGTCTGCCGAATGTTTGCAAGGCCAAGCCTAAAGGCACCACACAAGCATCTGTTACGCACTTGTCTTTATGAAATCCTGTACCACTGTTAAGATTACGAGAACTCCACTTAGATAGCGCTGTGGAATTGTGGCATTGTGTGAAGTTGTACAAAGGAGCTGTTATTCTGTAGCACTACCTACAAACAGTGGTCAGTTGGCTTGAACAGTTCATTCTGGAAATTTTGAGAGAAATTCTGGGGAATCGGTAGCCTTATCTATGTTGAAATGAGAAGGAAATTGACAGTCCCACACTGCAAGCCTTTGTTATAAACTCTGAAACCTTGATATAAAGAACCCAGATATAACATAATATTGTTTATAACGAAGTAAATGGAAAGCAATTTTGCAATAGATACAGTGCTAGTAATATACCTTCATAACAAATTTTTAAATATAACAAACTTATATTTGTGTAAGACGCACCTTTGTTATATTGAGCTTTGAGTGTACAGGTATTGTGACATCATATAAGGATGCCTATGTGGTCTTCCTTCTGCCTTTAACAGTGTTATCTTACTCTTACAGATGTTCTCCGTACTTAAATTTACTGCGTTTTTGGCTGTTTTCAGTTGCAGTGATTGGTGCCTTTTCTTTGCAGAGCTGCTATGGTGAAGGCTCCATCTAAGAAAAAGCAAACAGAGGTATGTGAAAGCAACAGCTCTATGTAGCCTGTGAAGTTCTTAGGTTACCCAAAAGCATACTTGGCCACACATCAGCTGACGACATGTTGTTATGTAGGACTACATGATCGTTATGGATTTAAGAGCTCGGAGCTTGTTCTTTTTGGCAGCTATCGAGAAGACAGCTGGCAAACTTGTCGGCTGAACAATGTAACACTCAAACCTCATTATAACGAAGTCACACCTGCCACGAAAATACTTCGTTATATTCAAAACTTTGTTATGAACACATATTTGCTGCACTGTATCTATGACAGCCATTCTTCATCTACTTTATTATAACTGATAATTCGTCATATCCGAGCTTCTTATATCGGGGTTCGAGGTTATGTGGTCATTGTGGAAGTTAAGCGCTTGGAGCAGGATGATGTACGAGTTCATACAGAAGCGATCTAGACTGCCTGCCAGCTAACCGTACATTGTCATGATAGATTACACTGTCATTACGTCATCTTAGAACTTGGAAGTTGTGCATTTTTTAGGTAAATCAGGTGAGACTGTTTTAAAATGTGGATTAAAAGGAAGAGAGGGCAAGATAGCGGTTGCAAGAAAGGTGCACTGTTTTTGCGACCCTACAGTGGGTTGATTATTGTTTGTTTTGCGTGTGCCCATGGGTCTTTTTGCAAGTTTCTTTTTCTATTGAACATCCTTCAATTTATGGTGTGTCTATTCTTGAGCGTGTTCATTCGTGTAACATTTGTGCAACTTGAGGGAAAATTGTGCTGCGGCACGTTTTCTATGGCCAGACTGTCCACGGGACGGCACCATAAAAAGTGTGAGAATGTTTCTGTGTTTTTTGAAGTTGCTTTGGGGAAGTGCGATCAATTGGAAATTAAGTTCTGTACTCTCACGTACGTATTAAAAAAATTTATATTTATAGTTTTGCAGAAGTTATTACTACAACAGTTTATTCCTTTGAATGCTTTGACATGCTTGAATCTTGTATTGCCTAGGAAACACCTCAATATTAGATATTTTTTATGTTTTTTCTTTTTTTTCTGTTACTTTAAAAAACCTTGTTTGCTCTGTCAGGCCTCTAGGTGGTTGTCAGGTGGTGGTGTTGGTGGATTTAATGCGGCCTGGACGCATAGCCTCAACTTCTGGTGTCTCAACCCTGCTGTCGTAAGTGTTCCGCTTACGTGCGTAGGGGTAATTTAGTTACTCGTATGTACTAATGCATTTCTTTTGTTGCAGTGTTTTCTATTCAGAGCTGCCACTTTCCTTTTTAATTGCAAACATTACAGCAGCTTTCTGAGCATTTGGACACTAACATTTTTTTAAGCATTTTATTGGGCACACTTTATTTATTTGATCAAATCTGTCCAATAAGCTGCTGATAAATGTTGTGTTAGTGTCTGTGTAGGCTTAGTAAGCTGCCGAGTTATAGCATCTGCTGTTGTTGTTTTAACATGTACTACTGTCTGCATCAAATGAACGGCAAACCTTGCGATGGTATAGGGCACGCCGTCCAGTTATCATGATTGACAGGCGCACGCATCCTGTTCAGCAGCTCTGCACATATACGAGTGTCTGTTCAAGGTGATAAGTGGACGGCACGCACTATAACATCAAGAAGGCTTGTCTCTGTTCAGGTTTCATTTTACGCTGATAGTACCTCAAATGATATCTGCTTGTTACTAAAACGTATACTTTAAAAATAAAAAACATTTCTTACGTTGCAGCCACATGTGCGTAGTGCAGTGCATGACCTTTACAGCGAAGGAACTTGTATGTTTGGTTATCAAAGAATTTGACTGCATTATGAAGCTGCCTTTGTTATCATCTTCGCTAGGCATACCGGATTTAGTGACTGTGCTGTTATCACCGAGCAATGTCAAAGTATCCGCAAACCAAGCGCAAGTGACCTGCAAGTGCTGTAAAGCTAGTCTTGAAGGGGCATTGTTGTCACAATTTACCAGTGCCCAGCGTTGTAACATAAAGCAGTTGCAGTAGTCAGTTGTATGAACATCGAAACGTAACATATGCATACTCATATCAAGTCACATTGCACTTCGGCTACATGCATTATCAGATTCATTGGAGCGTTCACTCCTTATTTTCCTCATATCACAGGCCATGTCAGACATTAAGGACAAGGTACACTCCTTGATCGTGGCATCGGGGACGCTGACGCCCATGGAGTCCTTTGAGTCTGAGCTCGACATGCCTTTCAAGAGCCAGTTGCAGGCCAACCACGTCATTCCACGTGAAGGGGTGAGTCACTACACTGTATCAGGGCTAACTGGCCTGAATGTTTCTCCTTGGTTTGTATTTGTGCTGTGTTTAAAACCACGAGTTTGCAAACTCACTTTGACAGAAACCTGCATACTGATACTACAGTGTTTCATTCTGCTTCACCACTGGCATAAATTTTTAGCAGCGGCAGCAGCAGCAAAACTGTGATGTTGGTTGGGTCGCGTTGTGGATGACTATCTTGTTGTTGAGGGAGCACACCTGTCAACATCGGGGCTTCTCCAGTTTTCCTAACTTCTTTGCCGATTGGTATGATGCCTCTGTGGCTTAGTTCACGGCAACTATGCCTTTGCAGTGAAGCACAAGAAAGTCTTCTCTTGAAGAATAGGGTCAAGGAACCTGTGTAATGAAACAAAAAAACACTGGGAAGGTGCATTCTTGTCGCCATAGGTTTCATAGAAAGGTCACGATTCAAAGTGGTAGAAACGAGCACATTTTAGTTTAAGTAACTGACGAAATGTACACTGCAGGATGACACTCTGTGGTTAAGCTTGTCGTTACACCCTGGAAAACTGTGTTGTACTATTTTAAATGAGAATGCTTCTGTTGGCTTGCAAGTGCTTGACCTGTCTATAAATTGACAAAAAAGTTTCTTTTCTGCTATTGCGAATTTCTACTGCCTAGCTGTCTGTTTGTGCTCCACAAATAGTTTTATTGTAAAGTTGCACAGCCTGTGCACTGGATATTAAAGTCATATTCTTTGACTAAGTACCGACCTTGTTGCATTCGGGAATAGTTCAGGAAACCATGTATTGTTTCATTCAGCTACCAATGTATTCAACATTTATTTTTGTCATTGATTTTGTTATAACAGTACTATTTCGAAAAATGAATGTTAGTAGGCCACTTTAATTTTCTTTGACTGCCATAGTGTTTGTGCTTTGTGTGCATTTAAATATAAATGTGTGCATCTTGATTCCTGTTGGGTACGTTAAAGTGCCTCCTTGATGGAGAAGGTCCATTATTGCCTGTGAGTTTCATGTGTTGTTGAACGTGCACATACTAGGGATAGTGGCTCTTCTAAAAAGCAAATTTTAAAACAGTTATTCTGCCAGCAAGTATGTCTTTTACAAGTTGCTAATATAGTTGCATTCAGTGCAGTGCCTTGAGTGACTGCAAATTTTATTAACCTAACTACATTTACAGAAAAGGCATAGAAGATGATACAAACTACTTGTCGGTGCTAGTAACACTCCAAGATCTTTACGGTTATTAGTTTTCTCAGTTGTTGTGCGTCACTGAGGGTCATTTAAAGAAAATCACGTGCCACAGAAACAAATGTACGCTTTCGGCTTTTCCTCCCGTTTAGGTCTGGATTGGAAGCATTACATGTGGACCCAATAATGTGAACCTCACCGCCAATTTTAAAACTGCCGAGACATTTGAGTTTCAAGATGAGATAGGGTCCATCCTTTGGGACATCTGCAAGGTAAGCTCTTCAAAAGTCTGCCGGTGAAGGCAGTTACCTCGGGACAGATACAATCAAGCAATAAGCCGTGGCCGAGTTTCGTAACATGTGAAAACAGCATGATTATAAATCACTCATTCACGCACTCACATGCACATACAGAGACATATTCGCATGCATGGTTTAATAAAGAAGCATGTCATAATGCAGTGTCACAGCATGTAACACAGCAGTTCGTTGTTGCTCTTGCTATTGAGTGAAGCACTAGACTGTGGCAGTGCGGCAGTGCTCTCATCACTAAGGGTGTTGATGCATACTATAGTGGTAGTGCCGCTGAATTGCACGGTTGCTTTCCTTTTGAACAAGTGACTGTGTCTGACACATGGCAAATGAAAGCGCAAGTGCAAAAACTCTGAATATTTAGGGGAGCCTACAAACTGACTTTTATCCCACCCCATCACATACACATATACAGTGAAACCTCGTTAAACCGTAGTTGGCCGGAGCTCGGAAAAAGTATGTACTAAACAGTAGTACTGCTTAACCGAAATAGCGTCAGATTGCTCACTTACCTGTCAAAAAAAGAAATCTTCAGGGAGTGCGATGAAAGAACAAAAAACGTGCAGTAATTTATTAACTTCGCGTGACAAAGTCTGTAATCTTCATTTGACGACGCGGCAGCCTAGCAGCAACGACAGCGGCCTCAAACTCACTTATGCTGTGAGCCAGCTTTTCCGCCAGCCCCCTCTTCTCGGCAAATACCCGCATAACGCTGACGCAATGCGCAGCTTCGGCCACTGTCGGACCTGGCTCACCCGTGTTGTCGCTTTCCATGTCGTCCTCATCACTATCATTTGGCGACACTTCGACAACCGAGGCAACAATGGCTTCGTCGGACATGTCCGGAGATGTCTGCACATCGCTGTCTGCGTCTCTGAAGTCGGGGAAGGAAATGCCTTCCGTAACGCCCTGCCGCTCCAGCACTTCAGCTAGCAGAGTTTTGCAAGCTTCGTCTACAATGTCCGAAGTCTGGTCGATGGTGTCACTGGCGTCATCTGCGTCGCCCGCACACACACTGAAGCCAGCACGCTTGAAGCAATTTTGAACTGTCATTGCTTCAACCTGCCGCCACGAGTATTCGAGCAGGTGAATTGCGCCAACCAGTTCGCTGGAGAATAATTTGCCACATTCAGTGGCGAGAAGAAATCTGCGCAGCAGATTCTTCTTGTAGAGCTGTTTTACAGCTCGAATGATGCCTTGGTCCGAGGGCTGGGCAATGGCTGTTGTGTTTGGTGGCAGAAACGCCAACTTCACAGCCGTCAGGTTGTCCAGGGCGACGTGCGCCGAAGCGTTGTCTAAAATAATAACAACTCTTCTGTTCTTAGCCGCAAAACGACGATCGATGAGGCGCACGTACTCCTCAAAGAGTTTTGCCATCATCCATGCTTTGGTGTTGCTGCTATAGATGACCCCTGATGGCAACTGGGCGCCTTTGAAACATCTAGGCTTCGCCGACTTTCCAATCACAAGGAGCGGAGTTTTGTTGGTTCCAGTCATGTTTACGAAAAACGCCACTGATATTCTGTCTTTTGCATGCTTGCCGCCGGTGCATGTCTCTCCTTTGAACGCAAGCGTTTTGTCTGGTAGCAGCTTAAAGAATAGCGCCGATTCATCCATATTAAAGATGTCATCAGGTGCGTAGTCTTCCAAGATGTTCTTCAGCTAACCATTTCGCCACTGCTCCGCGCCATCCACGTCAGCAGCAGCACCTTCCCCCGAAACAGTCCTCGTGGTAATGCCGTGCCTCGCCTTAAATTTGGCCAGCCAGCCATTGCTGCACATGAAGTTGTCATGGTTGAGCTGCGAGGCAAAAACCAGGGCCTTCTCCACGAGCAGGGGTCCGCTGAAAAGCAGATTTGTTGACCGTGCAGCTTTTAGCCACTTCACCAGCGCCTCCTCTACATTTGAAAACGCCGAACCGCGTAGCCGGCACCTTTTCGCAGTTGCAGCAGTACTGCTGAGCAACTTCTCTCTGGAATTCCAAATTCCACACACCCTGGTTAACGGCAGGTCCTTTTTGCGTGCCAGCGCCGATTTTTTCGTGCCACTTTCAATAGCACGAATTATGTCCAATTTCTCCTCTATTTTCAGCACTCGGTGCTTTTTTTTCAGCTTCCACATGACGCAAGTACGAAGCAGCACAAGCACACATACACAACACGTGAAAAACGACGCGTGAAAACGACGGCACGAATTAACCAGAGAACACCTATGCACGGCGCCAAAGGAACAAAGAAAGCAATTTAAGCAAAGCAAGCGCACACGGTGTTTGGATGGATGGATGATGGATGGATGGATGGATGGATGTGGCTGTACCCTTTAGTTCGGGCGGCGGCTAGCGCCACCTAGCCGTAATACTTAGTGAACTAACCATTAGATTTATTTTTTTTTTTCCTTTAAATAGTGAGGTTGAGGCTTCATACTTTGCAGTGAAGAGTTTAATTTTCACTCGGGCCTTGACTTTAGCCACCAATCAGATAACCTCCTTCTAGTTAAGTCTACCCGCTTAAAGTCTATTTTGCCCTCCCTGTCCCTAAACCCCAGTGCTTTGAAAAACTGCGCCATCATCCTGAACTATAGGGTGAAGCCCTTTACAGAACATTATCAAGTGTTCGGCAGTTTCTTCTTTCTCTCCACACGCACTGCGTACTGTGTCTACCCCTTCGTATTTGGCTCGATATGTCTTGGTTCGCAATACTCTCGTCCTGGCCTCAAACAGTAGAGAACTACCCCGAGTATTATCATAGATCCTTTCCTTGGCAGTTTCCTGCTTAAAAGTTCGATAGATCTCTAGTGTGGACTTCTTAATCATGCCAATTCTCCACATGTCAGTCTCCGTTTCCTTCGCTTTCTTCTTATCCGATAGTTCTTTTTGGTTTGGCCACCTGCTGTTTTCCATGTATTTACCAGTCAATTTTCTGGTTCGCTTCCTCCATTTTGTATCGACATTTTTCACGTACAAGTAGCTGAAAACCTTCCTAGCCCAACGCTCCTCCCCCATTTCTCTCAATCGCTTCTCAAATTTTATCTTGCTGCTAGCTTCCCTGCCCTCAAATGATGTCCATCCCATATCACCTTGTACTCCCTGATTTGGTGTATTCCCATGAGCTCCTAAAGCAAGCCTTTTTACGCTCCACGGAGAAGGTAGTGGCAAGAATGCAGTGGTCACTCCCTAGGTCTTCAGCAAGGTTCATCCACAAGGTTCATCAACTACGGGCGTTTGCCAAGGGGACGGTCTGTGAACAAACGCTGAAAATACTGCAAGGCAAGAACATAACACATCATCTTCTGAGTTGGTTCTCAGCTCACCTTGGACAAATCAACAATTCCCCTCCCAATCTCAACGAAGCCGCACACGAGGCGGCGCGAGAACTCTCCAACCGCGCCTCCCCGGGGATGCGTTCTACCGGTGAAGGGGATAACCGGGAAATTCTTACAACATATAACGAGCTCACTAAACATTTCTACCTGTCTAGAAGGATTTTCCCTCCACCTCACAAAAATCTAACCCGGCCCCAAGCACTTACATTAAGGCTTTTGCAAACGCGGATGTACCCTACTTTGAAAATGTTACACATCATGTAACCTGACCTATACCCAAGTAATCTTTGTCCACATTGTGGGGAAATAGCTTCATTAGAACACATGCTCTGGCAGTGCACCAAATTCGCTCATTTATCGCACATCACCTCTGCCAGATGGGAGGCGGCAATCCGCAGCTCGTCCTTGGCAGATCAGCTCTGGGCTGTCCACCAAGCCCGCGAGGCGGCTGAGGAGCTTGGCATCTCAGTCCCCACGTGGGAGCTGCCCGCAACACAGTGATCTGTGTTTTGGAGGACCAAATAAAAGTTTATCCAATCCAATCTAAAGCAAGCCTACCTATTCCACGTTGCTTAATTTCTAATCTTGCTTGAACTTCTGATCTCATGCACAAGACCGCATTGCCGAACGTCAGCCCAGGCACCATGACCCCTTTCCATATTCCTCTCACAACATCATACCTATTGTAATTCCACAGTGCCCTATTTTTCATCACAGCTGCATTCCTGTTACCTTTAGTTGCCACATATATTTCGTGTTCCCTTAGGTACTCGTTCCCATTGTTTATCCATATGCCCAGATATTTGTATTTATCTGTTATCTCTAGCATGACCTCCTGTATTCTAAGCTCACTACCTTCGTTATCATTAAAAATCATGACTGCTGATTTTTCCTTACTGAATCTAAAATCTAACCTATCTCCCTCATTACCGCAGATGTCCATCAATCTCTGCAAATCTTCCTTGTTGTCGTCCCTTAGCACTATATCATCTGCGTACATTAATGCTGGTAGTGCCTGATCAATGAGTTTTTCTTGTTTGACTAAAGAGAGGTTGAAGCCAAGTCTACTTCCCTCTAATTTGGCCTCTAATCCTCGTAGGTACATCATGAATAACAAGGGTGACAGTGGACACCCCTGCCTAAGTCCCCGTTTCACCTCTGAGTGCTTGGATACCTGTTTTTCCCACTTTATAATTACCTTGTTACTTTTATAGATTTCCTTTAAAAGATTAGTGACTCCATCGTCCTCACCCAGTGTGTATAGTATTCCCCACAAGTCCTCTTGAACCAGGCTATCATACGCTCCCTTGATATCCAAAAATGCTTGCCACAGGGGCCTGAGTTCCTTTTCTGCTATTTCGATGCACTGCGTCAGTGAGAACAGATTGTCTTCAAACCTCCTGTGTTTCCGAAACCCATTCGGCAGTTCCCCCAGCATCCCCTCATCCTCTATCCATGCCTGCAGTCTTTCCTTTATAATCTGCATCACCAGCCTGTAGACCACTGATGTCACTGTTATAGGACGGTAGTTGTTTATGTCATCTTTGTCCCCCTTTCCTTTATAGATCATGCTCATCCTGCTAAGTTTCCATTCATCAGGGACTTCACCATCGATTATTGTTCTGCTCACTGTCTCTCTCAAAGTCTGTTTAGACTTCTGACTCAATGTCTTTATCAGCATAATTGGAATGCCATCTGGGCCTGTTGATGTACTACTTGGAACCCTCTTCTCAGCCCTTTCCCACTCTCGTTGTGAAAATGGAGCCATTGTGCCACTTGATCCATCCCTGTCTATTGTGGTGCATAAGGCACTTCTTTGTTGAAATTTTTCTGTCACCCTTGTTCTTATATATTAGTAGCTTTGTCCCCTTCTAGCCTAGCACCTTGAGCTGTAGTTATAAACCTCTGCTCTTGGTTTGTTTCATTTCTTAGGGAGTTTAGATAGTTCCAAAATTTCGCAGCTGCCTTTCTGTCCTTCTTATGTACTTCTGCCAGCCACTGAGCACCCTTTCTTCTAATCTTTTCATTGATCAGGAGGGATGCTTCCCTTCTAGAGTTTTAGAAAGATTTCCCATTTTCGTTCAACATCATCTGTCGGTTCACCCCGTTGCTTAGCATGTCTGTGTTCCCTAGGGGCTTCCTGATGTTTTGCTATGGCTCTCTTAACTTCCTGATCCCACCAACTCTTGGGCTTGTGTCTTCTTTTCCGGGGTGACTTGTCACGTGCCTTAGCAAGCTCTAGCCCAAACAGTCTAATTAGATTTGTGTATTTCCACACAGTTTTATTATCCTCAGTGATTACTTTCTCAATCTGTTTAGTAGTAATTTCTATTTGCTTTTCTTAATGAAAATTTTCCTGTAGTTGCTCATCTTGTCTCCTTCCCACTTTCGCTGCTCTTCCAAAACTTAGCTTGATACGTTTGTGATCACTACCTAGACTTCAGGAGCCACCTTCATCTATGTGCATTCCCCTGAGCTTATCATACATCCTATGTGACATCAGTGCGTAATCTATCGTTGACTGCAGCCTTCTTACCTCCCATGTTATTTGCCCTTCATACTTCTCGGTACTGTTGCAAATGATCAAATCATGCCTTTCACTCATATCCATGATCATTTTGCCTGTTGAGTCAGTATACCCATATATATCTTCTATGTGCGCATTCATATCTCCTAGTATAATTATCTCGCACTCTCCTCCTAATTCCTCAATGTCCTTTGATATGCATTCCACCATTGCCTGGTTTTCCTCTCTGGCCTTTGCTCCCGTCCACAAGTACACCAAACCAAGGAGTGTCATCTGCCCAGCTACTTTCCCTCTTAACCATAAATGTTCCATGCATCCCTGCTTGACTCTTTGCCAACCCATGCTCTTATGTATAAATGCACCAATTCCACCCCCCTTTTTACTGCTTTCTGTTCTATTGCAATATTACCATACGTAGTCCGGATTGTAGGGTGGTTGCTCCATGTCCCGAAAATGTGTCTCCACAACCCCATATACCATCAGCTCCTCCTGCCTCAACTGCTCTTCTATCTCTTCCCACTTTAACCTATTCCTGCCACCCTGCATGTTAATATAGCCTACGTCTGACTTAGCTCAACTCTTGTGCTTACGTCAATTTCTTCTCCCACGGACTTCGTGTGACTTGAATATTTGTGCCCCTTTAGGTTCGTCTTTGGCTACACTGTTGGCCTCAGGGCTCTGGGTCTCCCTAAAAAGCTATGGCTTGGCGACCCATTCTGTTACCGAACCTCCTGCCCGCGTGTTTGTGCAAAGCGCCATCGCGTGGACAATACCAGAAGCCTAACCGGCCACGTGCTTCTTGTTGCAGAAAAATCCAAGAGATTGCGCTCACCAACACAGCCGCCATCATCATCAACACAAACAAGCGAGGCGTGTTTCGATCTCTGGGGCTTGCTGTTCTGTCGGGACGCCCAGTGGGGGACAACATGCCGCGGCGAGTGCGCAACGAAAATTGGAAAAACTACTTATTAACCGATACATACGCGATAAGCTGGTACGGCTTATGCGGATACAAAATGCATTATGTTCAATGGCCGACGAGTCGAGGGATTTGACTTCGCTACTTTTAAAACGAAACTACTGTTTACGCGGGTACGGCTTAACGAGGTTTTACTGTACATGCTAAAAAGCAAGTCAACCCAACCAGCAAATCATGCAAGAAAACTCCTGTTTTCTCCTTTCAGGCTGTCCCCTATGGAGTGCTATGCTTCTTCCCATCGTATGGCATGATGAACAAATTGTCCCAGCGATGGCAGGTGTGTAATTGTCAAATAGTTTTTTTTCACCTTGTTCTGTAATTTCCACAGCGTCGCCCTCATGATCCTCCATGGTCGGCATCTTCTTCACTTCACTGCACATTCGACGCCCATTTCCCTTGTGTTGTGTCAGCACTGTTGCTTCTTGCGGAGTTCTCTTTTATTTTTTCATTGTGGCCGTGTTTGCATGCCACCTTGATCGTGTGCTACAGTGATGACCAAGATTCTGGCCAAGAGTCTTGCAAGGAAATGCAGCTGCAACCTCGCCGCACCTTATGGAAAATCTCTGAAGCGCTTTTATACTTGAGGACGTTTATCTGAGCGCTTCTGACCATTTACGTACTGTTGGCCATTTGGAAGACCTGAGGAAAGATGTAATGTAGCCTGAATCTGCACAAAAAAGCAGACGAACGTCACAAAATATTTCAGCAAATAAAGCTATGCTTGCCCAAGTAGATTTTAATGTTTGTCCTGTTCATTCGTTAATTCCGCATTTGCCTATTTCGATGTTTTTCCTGTGCTCATGAAATCCAAATTAACCAGATTATACTGTATGGATTTCCTTTGTCACTTTGTGCTACAAACGAGTGAATTCTAATTTGTCTCTTTCATTGCCTAACTTTTCTTTGTATTCTCAATAATTACAATTTCTATTCTGTCTCTTACATCGCAAAACTTTGCAGAACACTGGAATGTGGGGCAAGCTGGAAAGACTGAAGCACATTGCCATTGAACCCCAGAAGGCAGACTCCGACAGTTTCGACTGCACCATGAACGAGTACTTCAACCATGCCTTAGGAAAATACAGCGATGGTAATTACCAATAAGCATACCAATGTTATACCAGCTTGCCGGTCCTTGGTATTTCTTTAGAATTTACTTATACTCTTTGTAGAGAGCCTGCAGGTACTTGATCTTAAGTCACTATAGCAGAAACTTTGTACATGAATGCTGTTTATGCAGCGTTACGTGCACGCGTAGTCAAAGAAATTAAGTGGTATGCTGAGCACTTGATGCGGCCTAGCGTGCCACCTAATTTCAGGTGCAATCAGTTGCAATCCATAGATAAGTTGCAGTTGGTTGCGATCGGAAAAGGTTTCAGTCGCAATCATTAGGTTGAGCTTTCTTTCGTGAGGTTTTTCATGTTTTTTCTTCATCATCTCGACAGATACAATCGGTGAATCTTGTCCTCGTATCTTCCTGTGCCTAACAGGTTATGAGGACGACAGGGGAGGAGCCCTTCTGCTTGCCGTGTGTCGGGGCAAAGTGAGCGAAGGCCTGGACTTTGCCGACAACAGTGCGAGAGCCGTGGTGACGGTGAGACAGCCACAGATTCCTTCTTCTTGCACGTGTCACAGCTCAGCCGTTTGGAGAGATGTAATACGTAACCAAGACTGCGCAACAGGAGGAATAAATGTGACAAGCTTTGACCGAAAGTTGGATAGCAAAATGTCGACATGGCGAGAAAAAAAAAAAAAAGAGTCAAGTGAAAGTCTGAAAGCTTCAAAACGAAAAATGAACTTGTCTAAAAAATAAGCTCCCTTACAACTCACAAGCTTTAAGATACAAACTGAAATGCTATGATAAACGGTACACACATGCAAAGCTTTCATCGGGGACAGTCTGCGAAGATTGGAACATAAGAACAAAATGTTGGGTGATACATTTTGTGTGTTGTGGAATTGGGTAAGCAATATTATGGCTGCGTCAGCAGTAAATTACTGCTTCATTTTTGTAGTGACGTGTGTCGTATGATGCCAAGTGGATCCTACGAAATTACGAATTGACTGTTCGTGGACGTTTACAGCAGAGAAAGGGATGGGAGGACAACCACAACATGCCCTAAATGCAGCCTGTTTCCGACATGATGTCTATTGTGCAACCACAGCAATACCTCGTTAACTCGAACTCCCATATCTCAAAAAATTCAAAATTTTCCGCAGAACCGAGCATTATACGTCCCGTACATATTTTTTCCTTTATCTTGAAATATTTTTTAGTCACATTGCCGATAACTTGAAATCATGACTGGGAGCGGAATAAAAACTCTGCCGGAAATTCTGTCAGTGACTTTAATGAATTTTATTGAAGTCACTGACAATCAGTACTTGGAAAAACGTTACTAGGCTCCTTGGACGCATTGGCTACCATAAAACGGAAAAATGCTGGCTGCACTCCACAAGGCTGGCGATAATCAACACAGTCGAATGTAGGGAAATGAAAACTGATGTCACTGATGCGTGCAGCAGCCGAAAAGCACGCTTGGTATACAGAAAAACAAGACCAACCTTGAGACAACAGCAGACTATGTTTTAGGCAACCAACGTGTGTGCACTGCTGGCAGCCAAAACTTTTTTTTTTTAATTCATCAATTACGAGCAGAGTCACTCGGATTTGCTGCACGGTGTAAGCACTTTCTCGTTCCTTTCATACCAGCTAGTGCGCTGAAAGCTACGCAGGGAGGAAAATGAAAAGGGGCAAACAAGATGCATCCCTTCATTAGAGTGCATTATAATGTGAGTGCTTTCTTTTGATTTTGTTTGTTTGAACACAAGGCTTTCAATGCGCTCGTGAGCGCGCACGTGCGCACCTGGCACCACCTTGCGATGGTCAGGGTGACACGTAGCTCACGATGTTCAAGTCAGCCAATAGCCGCGGGCTTTGGTTTGTGGTGCAGTAATTTGGGTGTTTGGCATCTTTTTTTTAGAAAGAAACGGAGGCGATTTCTAGCTGACTTTCAAGAATTAGTTGTAATTCCAGGCGGTGTGCCGCGCTATAATGTATGGCTCGCGTATTCTCATGATTGACTAATCGGCAGCGTTTGCTGACCATGCTGAAAAAGTGGCACAGGGTTGCTCTAACAAATGGAGTGGAAAGGCGAATGGTGACCTTGCACAACAAGGTGGTGGGTGCGATCACAACAAACCATGTAAAAAGCACACGACGGCAAGCGGTAGTTTCTACTCGCTTTGTGTGACGCCCACTTAATCATGCCATTCACTCTCTCCAGATGCGTGCAAAAGAGTCCCCTTCGACGAGGAAAAGCAAACTTGTGAAAGGAGGCCAACTTGAAGTGTTTCACACTGCTGAATGTTCGATATATCAACTGTTTGAGCTGTTTTTTTAGGTGCGAAGCAGCTCTTTAACTAGCCTGTATAACACTGTTCGTTTGTGTTTTTGTGCCAACGCGCTGCGCCGTGCTCCTCTTTGCCGCAGATGTCGGGGCGGTGCCAAGTAGGTCATGCCTTCCCTCGCAGTGCGTGGTGATGTCACTCTCTCCCTCACCTGCTGTGCGCTCGCTGCTTGTCACCTCTCTCTCGCTTCATCTTCTCTACTGCTCGCAACGTTTGAGCGCACATCGAGTGAACACTCTTTCGGCTCGTTTATCTGCGATAGAGAGGATGCCGGAAAGCGAAGCTCCTTCGCCTGCCGAAACATGCACCGTAGCGATTTCGCCTAATCTGGCTGTCGCCGGCGCTGTGAGGGTTAGCAAAGCCGATCGTGTTTGTGAATGGCGACGTCGTGCCTGCAGCACCGACAAGGCGCGAGCCAGGGAAGCCGAACGCAAGCGTGGGCAGTGGGAGACCAACAACACCGATGAGGTGCGAGTCAAGCACGCTGGTCGCATTTGCGAATGGAGACGGTATGCAGGTAACATCGACGAGACGCAAGCCAAGGAAGCTGAGCGCAAGAGTCTTCAATGTGTTGGCAGCACCGACAAGACACGAGCCAAGGAAGCTGAGCAGGAGCGCCGACTGCGAAAGGCCAATGTCGGCGAATCCTCGACGCTGTCATCGGCAACATATTGAAAGCACCGCGTGCCCTCTGGGGAATCGCCCGCCGAATCGCCGTGTGCAATGCTGCTGTTTGGCATCCCATCAGGGTTCTCTTGGGGAAGATGTTATTTTTGTGACTGCTGATTTCCCAAAGCATCGACGTTTGCCCATTGTCATGTTAAAAAATAGTTCAATACAATGGATAATTTGATTTACTTGAGTTCTGAATGTTTGGGTTTGACTGTAGCACTGTCCCTGAAGATATGTGGGCTAGAGCTTACGAGTCTGTAAATTTCAGAAGGGTTGCTGCTCGGGTGAGTTGGTTATTCATAAATGTAGCACGTATTAGCGCAGTGCAAATAAGAAAGAAACACAACACAAAAAAAAGAAAGGTAGGTGCTATGTTTAGTGCCTACCTTTCTCTACGTTTGTGTTTTTTGTTATTTATACCGCACTAATACATGCTATGTTTGTGTAAATTTAAGCTGTGCAGTTACTCTTGTTATTTAATAATACTTTTTCAACTTGTAACATTGCGAGTTGTAATGTTCTTGAACTTGCTCTTAATGATTTCACTGGTCGCTCCGTCTTTTTAGCTGTTTTTTGTGTTGCTCGATGATGTTGACATGTGCTTTACAAGATGGTTGAATGAAAAAAAGTTACATTTTACTCTTCTATGTAAGCTTTCAAATGAAGATTAGCTAAGGCAGTGTCCTCACAATCACAGGTCTAAGCTGCACTTCTGTTTACTTTTACAGATTGGCATTCCATTTCCTAATGTAAAGGATATACAGGTAAGACATGGCTTGCTTATTTGTTTTGGTAGTGAATAGCTTTTTTTTGTTACTGTGTTGCACCTTTCGGTGACCAGCAGCATTTTTGTGTAAATCATGCAGTGCGTCGTCGTCACACTCTTGAAGGAACATTATTCTGAAGGTATAGCATACGCCACACATGCTGCTGAGATATGTTTTGAGGACCTGTAGCTTGGTCTTTTAATGTTAAAAAAAGATGACATCTGTGTAAAGGAACCGAATACTTTAATAATTGTGTACTATGAAAGCTATGACTATACACTGTCCGTGCAAAGCCAGGAACCTTTCAGCATCCTTCCATGCATCTTATAGCATACTAACGGTGAGCTATGTATATACGCCTTTATGCCTAAGGTGGTTTGCACATCTTGGAGGCGCTTCAATGGGTCAGAGGCTTGAATGCCAGCTGTGAGATGCCGCAAAGGGCTCACCAGCACACTTTGAGTTTCCTGCGCTTTGCAACAAGGCATGTTGCCCCGCTACGTTTCCTCCCGCTGTATGCGTGGATGTAGGTGCCAGAGGGAATCTGCACTGTGGCTTTCTTTGCGATGCAATTTAGGTGTTCACGAAGAGGTAAAGTCACGCTAGCGAATGGAAAGGCTACATGAACACTGTCTGATTACACTATCGCAGTCTACTCTTGAAAATGAAGCTCGAGTGTCCTCCAACTTCGTTTAGGCACCCATTCCTCAACACGGGGTCCATTTGAGAGCCATCACATGAAGCAGTAATGTACAGTAAGATCTATTAATACGTACCTGCCAAGAACATGGCATAACCGCGCACCGAATGTCAGTATGGAGTAGACGCCAAGCATAAATTGGCACCTGCCGACATGTGCCGTCACTACTGAAAAAAAAATTAATGTGATGCCACAGTAAGTGTTGCTGAAGGCACCACTGGGACGTCTTTCATTTTACCAAACCCCCAAAACAATTTTGGCTCTCCCGCACATTGCTTCACCATCCTTGCGATAATGTGCAATGTTGCTGACAATATTAGGAGCATTTCGGAAAAACTAGGAGCAGACAGACTTGTCTGGTTGACTCTCATGTGCATGCACATCTGCGCAGTGATCTGAAAACAGGCACCGTTTTTTGGAAATGTGGAATCTGTTGCCAGGTGAAGCCAATTGTTCCAAGCTAGTTGCTTGCACCGTGTCGCCTACTAAGGTCACACGGTCACTGCCAGAATGTTTGCTATGCCACATGCGTGCATTTCCCGTGGAAGTGCACCCCTCCGTGTCGTGCATTGGTGTAACGGGTGTGTGATCAGATCTAGCTGATTTTGTTTTCTAAAAGAGATGTGCACTTTGCATTACCTCGACACCTAGAATGACCCCATACGGGAGGTGGCCATGAACAGCTGCACAGCACGTTGGGTGGTTGCCCACACAAGTGTGAAAAACACTTACAGCAGTGGCAATGATGCCACGTCACGTGCTCTGCTTAGCAAACAGCTTGTGACATTTATTGTGATAGTCTGAAAACTTAGAAGTTCAAAATCGGCGAGTACAGGCAGGAGCACAGAAAGATAAGACAGAGCGTTTACTCGCAATAAGCTTTAGCCAGAAATGTCCTTAATTAAATATACGTATGCACAAGCGAGTGGCACATGCAGGCACAATTCGCATCACATACAACGCGAATCAGGATCGGCAGAGCAACATATATTCATATCATAGCCAAGTTTCCGATGCGCAGCACAACAGAAGTGTCACTAATACGATCACCTTCCTTCTTTTTAGTGTGATAAGCCCCCATTAGTTCTCTCGCCATAGCATTTCTACTTGTGCCCAGAATTCGAATGCTAGACAACACTGGTTCTCATGCACAGGTCTTACTATGTATAGGCAGATGAAGCATTAAATTATTTTTAACGAATTGCTCGTGTTCCCATGTCCGATCGTTGACACCTTTCTGCAAATGAGCAGGATTTCGTTCGCGATACCCACGGCGCATGTGATCTAGGGTTGTTCGGGCTTTTTTCCGCACGGTGATTTTTTAAGTGGTCCCGAAATGTGAAAGCATAGCCCTGCCTGTTCACGTGGCACTGAAAAAAACTACAAGTACATTGTACTTATTACGCCACATATTTAAGATTGTATTCCACTTTGTGCACATAAAGCACCACTTCTGGCCTTCTTTCTGCACAAGCAGAGACAGGCCTTTTCACGCTCTTTAGTGTCTGAAGGAGGGTTTCGAACACCGCACTCGAGTTCGAGCAGAGGTCGGCGAGTGCCGAAGCACACCTTCCAGCTTGCGCGGCGTTGAATATATCCGAAAGCGAGTAAAAATACCGTTCGATATAAGCGTGCGAATTTCTATAGTCTTACAAAGAAATTTAAAGGGGACAACTTGCGGGTTCGATATACCCGAAAATTCTATATATGTGGGTTCAATACAACAGTGTTCGACTGTAGAAATATGACATGCTACTTCCCCTTAGCATGCTGTTTTGTAAATGCAGAGCCACACTCTATCTATTATAAGCTGGACATGTTATGTGATGGTAGCATTTACTGGATTTTCATCCACTGTTAATCATGTCCCACGGTCATGTGATTTTTTTTCACTCACGAAAGCAGGATTTTTAGGTTATGCTTATAACACTGCAAAATAATAATAAATTGCTCTAGTTCTACACAATATAGGTAATACAGTTTGCTTTTAGTGCACCTGAGTTACTTATAAACTGAACTTGCCTCTTAGTTGTGTTTGTTCAAGATTGTATAACACGGATATTGGGTGCTGCGCAGTGTTCCATTTTCTTGCTTTGCCTAAAGTATGCAGGGTTTGTTATTGGTCCCGCCCCTCTTCTTATGTTAGGTTGACCTGAAACGCAAGTACAATGACCAGCAGCTCAAGTCTGGCAGACAAGTGATGGCTGGAAATTCTTGGTACGAGACGCAGGCGTTCCGTGCTCTTAATCAGGCCCTGGGAAGGTGCATTCGACACAGGTGGGTTAGTGTACTCTGGTTTGTCAAAACGTTGTTGCTTGTGCAAGTGCTGCCACTAATTTTCAAGTGAAACAACTATTTTTAAATTAAGGTCTCTGCAATATACTGTTCCCTCATGTTTCCCGTATTTTTCTTGTTTTTACAGGGAAGACTGGGGTGCCTTGATTATAATAGACCACCGCTTTTCACAACAACCAAAGTTTCAGAATGGTAAGATGGCAGAAAGCTTTTTCATGAAAAGAACATGAACTCGCAAGGTCTTCAAGTGCAATCTGAAAGTACAAGTTCTGTGTTGTTTCATTTGTTTTTTGGCTGAAGAAATGGCAAGAGACTTGGTAGAGGGCAGCACAACTGTGCTAGCCTGGTTTTGCATTTTTGATTGTGCAGAAGCACCTTCATACAAAAATTTTATTGATGAAGTTGATATGTGTTTTAGAAATCCTTAATCGCTTTGAAGTTTCACTTCCATTATTGCAAACTGGAAAGAGACACAAGCTGAAACTTGTCTCTGTATACAAGAGCTGTTTCCTGCACCATCGATCTACATTTGTTCTTTCTTCATCATGCCTGTACGAAAAGATGGCTGTTTAGATAAAACTTAAGTACAGTAAGCCCTGCTTATACATTCCTCACTTACACGTTTTTGTCGTGCTTAACATTTCTGGTGTCAAGTCCCAGCACGGGAATCTACCAACACCTATATTTTAAAATCCTGTTTTTAGAAATCGTTCCCTCAATGTTTCAGCCTAATGCATCGCAAACTGTCGTTGCGGTAAATGTGCTGATGTAGTATGTCAACTTGTTTCATTACGTGGAAATTCACAATGTCATTAAAGTGCTTGAAAAGCATCTGGTTCTGGTCGAGGCACGAAATAAACACTAGCTTTCCATCAAGGACATCTTTGAAACATAAATTGACGAATGAATTCCCCTGAGGCAAAGCTGCATGTAGGGTTGTCTTTTTATTTATTAGTGCTGCTTTTAAATTTTAAATGCTCGTTTGCACTAAATGTTTTCCAGGGTACAGTGGTGTTCCTTTCGCGATCTTGTGATAAATGCTTTTGAGGGCTTCTACTGTAGAAACATTTCTTTACACTAAGCTGACAATGCTTTTTTTTTCTGTGTTCTAGCCCTGTCAAAGTGGATTCGGGAACAGTTCCAGTGTTTTCGATACTACAACGAAGCCATGGATTCTCTGAAGACATTCATGGAAGCCAAAATGAAGAAGTTTTCTCCTCCGCGCTGCAAATCGGAACCACGCGGGATAGACCCTTCTAATGACTGTAGCATCTTACCGGCAGGAGACACGTCGAGCATGTCTGTGAACCAAACAGAGCCGATCGAACTCTCTAATGACAGCTGCGAAGAAATGTTTGCATCAAGCCCGTCTTGATGCAGCCTTCACAGCACCAGGCCTTTAGTCACATTGTGATCATGTTCATTTGTGGCTGCACCAAGCAACACTGACTAAATCTGTGTTGGAATTGACCTGGACCCATAAGTGTGCTTGGTATAGCCAGAATGTAAATATTTATGCATTGTGAATGTTTGCGATGAGAGGATTTGCTTTCAATAGGTTTAGCTGATTTTTGATGCCATTTTTTGAAGTGAATTTTACAGGTGCATGAAATCGTACAAGTTTCCAACTGTTAATTTATACAAATTTGTCGCATGTCTATTCTGAACCTCTCGTTTTGAACAATTGGATGCACTTTTTAAAATAAGTTGTTTTTACTGCATTTTTGTGTCGAGCAGTTTACGGTTGTTGTACATGTCACATTAAATCATGATATAAATTTTATACCATTAATTTGTGCAAGTTGTGTCCGCACAGTGGTTTCTTCATCAACAAAACTGGGGTGCTATTCTGGACATTGTCGAATTACGTAATGCTGTCAGATTTAGCCATTTATCGATGCTAATTGGCCAAGTGAGCTGCTACGAACTCTCTGATTGGCTTAAAGTGCCGCCATTGCGAAGTTTGACAATATGGCAAATTCAGGCAGTGTCTAGAATAGCACCCCTCGTAAAGTTTCACACGTATGAAACTCTATGACACCCCTGGATGCATTCAAAAATCAGTGGAATCTACTCGGTTCTAACCATAATCTAGAAACGTTGGTTCTAACGTCAAGCGATTTGTGGTAGTGTCGCATTCCGTGTGCAGGGGCATATGCGTTGCGTGCATGTCGTCCACTTCGCACTCAGCACCTCAGGCAAATCTCAATGGCTTGGCAATTGTACATTGCATGAACAAAAAATGCGCCATAACCGCCATCTTAAATAAATTGTGCTTTACATTTCGCTAGATTTGGTCGGCAACCACTCTTGAGTCTGGCAGATTGAGTGACGGCCATTTTCGAAAATCAAGCCGAGCCAGACCGAGCCCGTTCTCGCGGCGTGTTTTTTTCTCGCCAAATGCTTTCCTTCAAAAGCGCTTTCGGCGATTTATTTATATTGTGGTCGTGGCAAACCGATGTTGGCGAGCCACGAAGCCCGTACTGGCAACTGTCTGTTTAGTAAATCGCTCGACGTAGCCTAGCGAACGATGGGCGTAGCGTTCGGGCTTCGCATTCTTTCAACGACGAAAGGACGCAGGTAGAAGCTGTCCCGTCTCCGGTGTCAACCATGGAGTACGGCTGGTGGTTGTCGTTCACCGTTTTCGTCGTGTCGGTGTTGTTCCTGTTTTACCTGTTCGTGTGCAACGTGTGCCGGCTGAGGACGCGCAAGAACATCGGTGCAGTGGGCAGGGTGCTGCTGGTAATAGCCCACCCAGACGATGAGTGCATGTTCTTCGGTCCGACGGTGCTCGGGTTGCTCCAACGGAAGTGCGAGCTCTACCTCCTCTGCCTCTCCAACGGTGAGCCGCCGGTGCGGCGTTGTGCTATGCTGGGATGCCTCTCTCGGCGTGGCGTGTGTGAGAAGTTTGCGTGCAGTGACTTTTCTTTCTCGTAGCTGACCTATTGGCGCTGAGATTCCAGAATCACACAGCCTCAAGATATCCAGAAACGTATATGTGAACATAGTTTTTATACCGCTCGGCTCAGAAAATTGCAGAAGGGCTGGTACGAATACATTACGAATTAGTAAACTTGCGAAGTAATCTGTGGTAAGCCAAGCACTGTGCGTGTCAGCCGAGAGGTTCAAGTTACAAGCACTGCCGATGCACTGCCTACTGTGCTTAGCCGGATGTGTGTGTGCGTACGTTTCTGAAAATCGCGTTTACGTGCGTTTGAATGGCTACTGAAGTATATATATAATTATTCCGAACCTTGCCAAAGCTAATAAAAACGCTTGTGCGCCTAATAAAATTGGCTGGACTTTTTTTTTTACTTGTTACTAGGAGTTTTTGAAATGGCGAAAACAAAAAGCGATGAAACGGATGGTTAAGGACTTTTTTTACTAAGAATTTTTCTTTTGTCCAATTTCGGGATACTCGATAAAACTTCTTTCCTTGCTTACAGGGTGCTCGATTCTTTATCAGTAACATGGTTTGGATTTCATTTAAGTGTTTTCAATTATTGCTCGAAAACACATGCCAGTATGTTTTTTTTTTCTACTTAGCCAGAAATTCTTTTTTATTCAAGTAGTGAGATAGCAAAGTACAGAGTCATTTTAACTTCACTACATCAGTCACATGCAAAACCAGATTCTGAGCCTTGTCTATTGAGAGCTTTCTCGTGATGTCATGGATGCACAACATGACTCCAACATGAAAGTTTAGATGACGTCAAGACAGTAAAATCATGCGGCAATTAACCTGCTTCGGTGTTATAATGACATCCCTGGAATGTTATTGAGCCTCTGCATAAGTAGCAAAAAAAAACGTGATGTATGACACGGCTGCTGGATGAAAACTGTTCATCCAGTGGCTGTGATATTAATAACGCTACCGTGACATCGCAAAGTTTGTTTCCCACCATGTTGATGCTCCAAGGTTGTTTCAGTGACATCGGTCCGAGCCATCTATAGGGGGTATGCACTTGATGTCATGTGTAGGGATTGATAGCATCGGGGTTGCTATTTTGAAAATCCGCGCGCCTGCTGCACATGCGAAAAACTTGGTGCATGCGTGTGTTCGTGATCCATATAGAATCTTGGACGTCTAGAGACCTCTTGAGCCATACCTGCATGCCGAAGCAAAGACAGCGGGGCATCGCATATGAACAGACCTTCAAAATGGCGCGGCGATGGTGTTGTCCCTTGCGAATCAAGGCTCAGTGAATACCCTTTATAGGAAAAACTTGGTGTGAGGAGTTGACTGTGCAATGTGCCTTTATTAAAAGCTGTAGAATGTGCACACGGCCGGCATTACTTAACACAGTGTCTGCACTTGCTTGCAGGCAACTACTACAAGCAAGGTAGCGAGAGGAAGGAAGAGCTGCGCAGTAGCTGTCTGTCTTTGGGGATCCCAAGTGAAAACTTGATCATAGTACAACACAGGTTTGTGTCATTTAATTAATCTGACCGCGGTCATGGAAGTGGCTGTGTATAAGCTATGTGGAGAGGTTTTGAACGTACGCTCTTCAGGAAACGCTCGAAGGGGCCCTGTAACACTTTTCCAAGTTATTATAGAATGACCTCAGTATTACAGTTTATTGTCTCGCAAATCGATTGTCACAAAGAATATTAGAGTCCGTCAAGTAAGGCTGGAGTTAGTCATTTGTCACATGCTCCAAGTGCTTTCTCCTTTCATATCAGTCAACATGCCAACACATATCGGACAAGTTATCTCGCCATCAGCATTTCTGGGTCGGGTATCGTTTGTCAGTTCAGACAGCCATTGTTTTATTATTTCAAAGCCTTAGCTGACATTTGTCTCACGGAATTAAAAATAAAGAAGCAACTTATAACCGCTATGAGATTTTTCAACCTGTTTTAATTACACTGTCAAATTGTCAGCATGCCAGAAAAAGCCAGAAATTGTGTCATTAAACTCTGGTTCCTAACAAAGTTGGTCTAGTCTTTTGTAACGCTTTTGTAGTCCAGGGTTAGCCCCACCCCGCTGCTGCCACCAGTTGTAGTGTCGGGGGTTTTAGACCCGACTCGATTTGGTTTACTGAGTCTTTAGGCTAAGGAACTGGTGCTCAGAAGTTGAGAAAACTGAAACAAATGAGTTTAATGGCACTTATTTACACATTTAAAATAATTAGGGACCCTTAAGCATCGTCTTTAAGTGTTGAACGCGATAGCGAAAGCCGGCCCCTAGTGTGCCATTCAGCCACTAAGTGCATACTTATTAATATGTTTTGTTGCACACACACATGCGCATGCAGTATTTTGTACCAGCGTGGGTGACCAAATGGTACATACAAGTTTTTGACCTAAAGCAAGAGTTGCATGGCCTCTAAGATACACGCTGCGCGCTCACCATTTCGGAGGCCATATAGAGTCTCACAATGCCTCACAGATGGCAGCACATTATCTAGCTTTTGCTGTTCGCCCGATCCATGCCCCTGGAAAGGCATGATATGTTTTCCTCTAGATGGACATAGTTGTCCATTTTTAGAGCTGTTTGAAAGTTCCTGTGTGTTTTTAGCGGTGATGGCTGAACTATGGTAAATGGTAATCTAAAAAAAAATTCACAGCTTATCCACGAAGTTAATAATGATGAGTTGGGCGAAGCTTTCGGAAGGTTTCACTGGTAAACCGTGAATCCTCCATCTGGCAGTCTGTCCGTCCGTCCATCCGAACTCCACAGTCTCCAACGCATTGGTGTGGAGCGAGTGCGCAGTGTCGTCTAGTGAGCGCTCCGAGTATTAGGGGTGCCTACAATAGACTTACCCAAACCCAAAGGAGCTTCGCCCCTTAAAATATTTTAGGATTCCGCACTATCTTAGGCCCACTAATTGGGGACTGCTATACATTTTAGTGCTTATTGATTGCTGCCTTTAATCAACCATGTTTCTGCAATTTCAACATGCATTTCTAATTTTTCTGCCAGCAACATGCCCGACGATCCGGAGTGCATGTGGAATTCTAACCTTGTCGGCAGGATTGTGCAGAAGTATGTGAAGTGCCTTGGCGTGGACTCTGTAAGTCTGGTGAACCGATTTAAAGCCAGAACCTCATTTTTCTTGTTTCTGTCGGTGCAAAATTTTTTTACGAATAAGTGCATTTTGCAGGTCATCACGTTTGACCAGTCTGGAGTCAGCGGCCATCTAAACCACATAGCTGTTCACAAGGGTGTCGTGTAGGTATTGACATCAAAGACGAAAATGTTGTTGGTACTGTAATATAAACTATTTTCACCCACTTCTATTTCTTTGTTATCAACTGCTCAGGCCAGTGATCAATTTTTAAAATGAAATAGAACTTGAATGCTTGAATTTTTACATCATTTTGGACTTAATTTCATTTATGCTTCCCATGATTTTGGGACCTACTGGCTTATTTTGTTAGGTAATTCTAAAGAAAAGTGATATCACTCAATGCTTCAAACTAGCACTGCACAGTCACGGCAAAAACAAGAAGAAACGCACTATAGTGCTGCCTTCTTTTCATCATGATTGTGCATTGGTGGTTTGCTATGCTGTACCAATAAGGCCAAGTTTTCAATATCTTAAATATCATTCAGCTAGCACTAGATCAGTGGTTCTCAAACGAGGCTTTGCAAACCCTAGGGGGTCTGTGAAGCCATTTCTATGATCTGCGAAACCCTCACTTGTATTTTTCTTTAAGCTTGACTATGCCATGCATTGATGAACTGTCTAAAATCAAGTGATGTGGCACGTTTGTTTGATGTTTTGGTAGCAATAAAAGGCACCTGTTTCATGCTCCAGTTGGGTTAAATTACCTATGTACCCCTCCCCTTTCCCCCCGTCTGCTGCAAGGGGTCCCAATCACTTCCACCAGTCCACAAGGGGTTCCCAAGGCATGCATGGCTGAGAACCACTGTACTAGATGATCAACTCATTCTCATCATAATGTACGAAGAGTACTGTTAATACCATTTACAAAGTGGCAAAAAGTAATGATTACTGGGGTACAAGAGCTATTACCTTATTTCAATTTTTACTTTATCTTTTGTATTTCATCACTCTGGAATTTGTAGAATTCTAATCAAATCATAGTTAATTTCCAAGCTATTATTAGTATTAAACTTGCCTTGGATTTTATGTCCTTGTGACGATTGTCTCGTCATTTTGGTTCCTTAGGGGTATCCTAAAGAAGGAACTTGCACCTTCAGGTAAGTGTGGGACAGCATCATGTCATTTCAAAAGGCTCTCTCAGGATGAGCACCCTTGATCACCTTTTGCTTCTTTCCTCTTCCGAAACAAAGGCTGCAGACTCTTCGTGCTCGAGTCTGTGAACAAGTTGAGGAAGTACGTTGGTTTGCTCGACGTACCCCTCAGCTACTTCCTCTCGGAACATGCGTACGTGCTACCCTGGAGCATGGTGTCTCTCCTTAAAGTAAGTGTGACCTTGGGACAGCGCAGCTGTGAAGTTTCAGTGTGGAGGGCCCGATCAGTGGCATGTCTTCAGTGCCTTTTGTTAGCCACTTTACTTTAATGTACTATCGCTACTTTAATGTACTATCGCAGTACTCTGCAGCGCAACTACACCCGTGCCTTTCAAACTCGAGTGCTCAGTTTGTGCTGCGAAATGGGGCTTCTGCCGCCCAACATCCCAGTTTGAAGTAGAAGTGAGATCACTGCAGTCTAGTCGAAAGTTGCAAATAAAAAAAAATAAAGAAAACATATTAGGTGAAATTAGTGACAGGTTAGAACAGAGTCGTACATACGTTGAAGGTTGTCTTTGTTCAGTGATACAGAACATTACGTGACAGAAAAATGTTAGTCGAGACCAAGCACACAAAGTTAGCAAAGAAACTGAGTGACACGTAAGTTATGTCTGCATAGTTCACCCCAGCACTTCACATTTTGTTAAAGTTACATTGATATAGCTATTTTGGGACTTCAAACCCCACAAATCTATATAGCCATTGTATCATTTCGCTGTTATCAGCAGCTGCTAAAAGTGGGCATTGTTTATGCTGAAAATGAGGCTTATTTATCTTGGGGTTGAACTTTGACACTGAGCAGAATGGTTCGCTTATTGTTAGGTTATTCATACGTTTGTTTGTCATAATAATTGTTCTACTTGCAGTTTCTGCTGATTTATTGAAATGCTAGTATGTGTCACAAAGTTGTAGTGTTATTCTTCAGTGTTTCAGCTTTATTCTTTCAGTATCAAGACTCAAATGTCAAAACGAAATCAGATTCATGAAAAAGCAATCTTATTCACTAGGTGATTTTACTGGTAACTTTTTATATCATGTGTTGCTTCTCGCTCTGTTACCAGAAAAATGTACTGTACAAATTCTTTTCTTGAGCAGCGTTTCGCCTTTCCATTAAAGGTACCATGACCGTATGAGATAGTGTGCGTCTTATCTCCTTCTTTCCTGATATTGTGCTTTCCATTAAGATTGCTTCACTGAACGAAATAGGGGGAGATAGCATATGTGAGCACTCGAGCAGATAAAGTGTACCATTTTGGTCAAGTAAACAGGAAGTTGGAATGATGCATGCTGCAACGTAATTATCAAACTAGTTGTTAGAAGTGCAATAATAATCTTACAAGAAAACGTATATTTGCAGATATTTACGTTGTTTACACGCCACGACAATGACTGGCACACTGGCTGGCTGGGACCAGTCTCTATCCGCTTTGTAGTCTTTTCTTCTAGGCAGAGACTCTCTACCGATTTATGCCCCAATCCCACTACTGCCTTGTGGCACTATGTCTCTGTATATCACAGATTGGGGGCACAAATCATAGATTTTTCTTTAGTTACATGCAGAGACCGCAGTCTAATGCACACAAAGTGGTGAAGGTGAATGAAATATACATTATTGGGTTGTAATACAATCAGAGTGCAGCGATTTCATTCAGAGTGAAATAATTCGGAAAACTGTACTACACTGCTGCAGCCACTGAAGTAGTAACAGCCTTCACCAAATGCAATTTTAGAAAGGTGGCACATGGCTTCCGAGACTGTTGCTGTCGCACAGTACCTACGGACATGCTGACTGCACTTGCAGTCTTGAAGACGCTCCTTTATACTGCTCATCTTTATTGATGGCAGTGTTAACATTGGGATGCCATTGAGTTGCTCGCTCTAGCATGTGCTCACTGTGTTTATATGTCTGGCAGCAATAATCATGGTTTAACAGTGTGCAAACTACTTCAGTGTAGCGTATTTGTATGTAACTAGAGCTGTGCGAACAGCAAAATTTTGGGTGCGAAGTGAATTCGAATATTAGTGCGAGTGCAAATTGAATTGAATATTTTCTAATATTTTTCTTATATCTTTATATTCTTTTTTTAATATAGTTCGAAGCTAAATTGATGGGAGAAAGATTGGGCAGGATTCCTAAGCATATTGTTGTGATATATAGCCACAAAAATGTGTTTCTTTTCGCTACGATGATCAAGTGTTGGCGGGGTAATATTTCATAGTCGTCTTACCAAGAATGAGGCAGGGCAGAGGCTAAATTGTATTATTCATTTATTTATTTATTAGTGCAACCTACTTCGCCCAAGTGGGCATTATTGTAGGGGGGTGAGGGAAAAAAAAAAGCAGTATCACAGTCGACTAAAGTGCACGTTTGCATCGTCGGAAAGGCATACATTTGCGCAGCAGCTCCTGCGCATTCACAAAAAGCACAAATCTTTTAGTGACAAACAAAAAGCATCGGATGAAAGATCGACAACACACGCATCCAAATTATTCCATTCGCGAATGGTAAAAAGAAAAAGAATTTGCAAAGGCACCAGTACGATAGCTGACCTCATGGATCTTTTTGGGGTGATCATTTCTATGTGACACGTAGTGTGGGCTCATCATGTATAAACTCTTCTTAATGCGGATTTCATCACAGAATATAGAGTGGAAAAACTTTAATCGCAAGAATTACTAGTACACAATTTGGTACAACCAAAGTGTTGCCAACAACACTTTGGCTGTGAAAGGCAAAGACTCTATTTCCTCAACCTCTCCTCCTCTTTCAACTTCTGTGGAAGGCCAACTGATGTGGCAGACAAGGTGAACCCGAGAAACCAACCCTTCAAGTTAGGAGTTCCAAATCTGCCTCATCAGTGTCAACATACATGAACATTTGAAGTTTTACATGCTAAAAATCTTTGGCATTCAATTTTTCGGCCTTCCTGCCCAAGTTTTAGGTACCAAAAGAGCATTAATTGAGCCCTCATTTCTGCCACATCTATCATCTTCATGTTGGAACCAGCATTTTCTCGAGTCACTATACACTTGCGATTGTAGTGGAGCCTATCAGACAGCTTTGCTGCAACAAGGTAGTGTAATGAGTTGCAGCATTTGAAAAATGTGAAGGGGCACTTTTAATTTGACAAAGTCTATCCCGGCTGCGGCGGCTGCATTTCCGATGGAGGCGGAAATGTTGTAGGCCCGTGTGCTCAGATTTGGGTGCACGTTAAAGAACCCCAGGTGGTCGAAATTTCCGGAGCCCTCCACTACGGCGTCTCTCATAATCATATAGTGGTTTTGGGACGTTAAACCCCACATATCAATCATTAATTTGACAAAGTCCTGTATTTGTCTGTCTACTTAGGACAGGTAATAACCATGGAGCTAAACCACAATACTGAAGTAAATAGAAGAATACAAATGGGGTAGAGCACATTTGACAAGCACTCTGAAATCATGACAGGTATATTGCCGCAATCCCTCAAGAGGAAGGTATGTAACAGCTGTATCTTGCCGGTACTTGGCAACGAAGCAGAAACCTGGAGACTTACAAAGAGGGTTCGGCTTAAATTGAGGGCGACGCAGCAAGCAATGGAAAGGAAAATGGTAGGTGTAACCTTAAGAGACAAGAAGGGAGCAAAGTGGATTAGGGAGCAAACCGGGGTTAAGGAGATCATAGTTGAAATGAAGAAGAGGAAACGGACATGGGCCGGGCATGTAGCACGTAGGCATGAAGCACGTAGAAAGGATAACCGCTGGTCATTAATGGTAACTAACTGGATTCTTAGAGAAGGCAAGCGGATTAGGGGGAGACAAAAGTTTAGGTGGGCAGATGAGATTAAGATGTTTTTGGGTATAAATTGGCATCAGCAAGCACAGGACCAAGTTGACTGGCAGAACGTGGGAGAGGCCTTTGTCCTGCAGTGGACCTAGTCAGGCTGGTGATGATGATGATGTATTTGAAAAGTTCAACCGTAGTGGCGCTTGAAAGGCAGCAGTGACGCAATACAAGATTGTGGTGAGGTGAAGCATAATAAAGATCTGAAGGGATCACTCTCGATCGAACATTGACTGCATTTCTATGGGAAGTTCAAATAGTAAAAATTTCAGTGCAGATTGAATGGAATAGCAAACACTATTAGAAAAATATTCATGTATTTGTGCACGCCTAGGTATAAAATTTTATCATCTATAGTGAAGTAAATGGAAAACAGCCTTGTCATGAATACGGTGATGAATATATACATTTATGAAGAATTTTCTGATACATTAAAGTTATTTCTGCTAACAGATGTGAGTTCACTACAAGGAGACTTTGACTAGTACATAATGAAGGAAAAAATGGCCCCACCTTTCCGAAGGGAATCATGAGCTGAAAGTACACGGCGTAGTAACTTTAATGGCATAAATTAATGACGAGATGAGGATTTGTACCGTAATCATTTATTCACACATTCTTCAGCACCTGTTCATGTTGTCATCGTCGTGACGGCCATAATGTCAGCCTTGTGGTCGATAAAATGTCCAGTCAAAGTGTGTTTGAGAAGCATGCGTGCGTCACAGTTTCTGGTAAAGGCGAGATCAGTGAATGGTAGTCGGACACTTGTCGGACTCGGTCGAGGCACACTGCATGTCCGCAGGGAGGAGAGAGAGCGAACGGCGAGAGGAGGAGCAGGGAAGTACTGCACTTGTCATTGTACCTGACAGCCATAATGTAAAAGCCTTATCAACGCAAATGCTGGCAGCACAAATGCATTTTAAATGCACTGCATTGAGGCGGTGGCAAGTCACGTTCCAGTCAAGGAGGTGGGGGCTCCGCTTGCTATAAGCGAGGATAAGTGCGCGCGCCCACAGCTGTTGCTGACAGCTGCCGATGCCGAAGTGCGACATGAGGGGTGCACAGGTTGCTAGGGCGCACCTTCCCGCAGCTGTTGCTATGGGAGAGGGTGGTGGACGGATCTTGACAGACGCCTGACATAGTTTGATTAAAAGATGCATTCGCATTTAAAATTGAGCGACCATACGCATTACACCCAAGTACAATAACCATTATCAGAATTTATTATCAGTGTTACACTTTGCTTTCTATTCATGAACAACAATCGATATTAACTGGCTTGCAGTTTCTTTCGGTATGTAGTAACTGGATGTCCTAAACTCCAGAAAGGAGGCACCATCATGCATAAGTTTCATAAGTTTAAACAAGAACGTGGTATAAGTGATCTGAATGCCTGTTATGCCTAATCACACACACACAAAAAAAAATTGATACACGATCACTTCGTTGTCATTTCATGGCTGCAGAGTAGTCGAGCGATCCGGAGTAGTATGTTTTGAAGTCTGAAATGAGCCACTGTTATAAGTGCAGGCAAATATGTAAATGGAAGAACGTACTGAAGTGGTTTTAGAAGTCTTTGCATTTGAGATGACGATCGTGATACATTTGAACTTTTTCTAATAAATACATATGTATCAGTTCTTTGTCACAACATAGAGAGTGACATGACTAGGAAGTTAAGAGCCCTGCAAGCCCATTTGTATGGTTCCTGTGTGCAGTCAGTTGTGCCATGAATCATGTGTAAATGAAGCTCCAGCTTAGCCCTGCTATAACTCATACCTCATTATCACAAAGTTGCATCTTTCATAAATATAAGTTCGTTATATTTGAAAATTGGTTATAAAGGTATATTTCTAACACTATATGTATTGCAAGACTATTCTTCATTTACCTCGTCACAACCGTTATTTCGCTATATCAAGGTTTGAGTGTACTATCACGCAACACCATGGACATAATTTTTGGTCAACATACCTGCGTGTCGTGTGCTTTTCAGGTTGCGCTTGGCAAGCACAAGAGTCAGATGCTGTGGTTTCGACACCTGTACAGCTGCTTCTCTCGCTACATGGTCATCAACACGCTGCTCAGAAGTCACCGTCGACCAGAGCAAAGACAATTGATGACGTCGTCTTTACTGGCTAGACGCGGTAAACGTATGTCCGTCCCGCTGCGCCTTTCCATCATAGTCAATCAAGTATCGAGGGTGCATCCTCCCACTTAGTCGCAGTATACTAGTAACTCAAGATACCGAAGTTGCCACTGCCGTTTTGTGGTGGCTGATGCCATAGGTTAATGCTATTGTGTTATACACGAATCGATCTCTCCGAAGTTGTGAGCTTTGTCATGTTCAACTATGTTTGAGGGTGATGATGCAATAAAGTGCTCAATATTTTTTACACATTCTCTGAGAACTTCCTCTGCTTCCTGGTTTAATTTCGTCATGGAAGTCTTGAACTAGGTTTCTGCATTTAAAGATGCCGAGGGAGCTCTTGTGCTGCTCTATGACAGTTTCTAGTGCAGCGGGCTTTCTAATCCATTGTAATAAAAGAGCAGCGCAAGAAGACAGGGGCAGAAGGACACACACACAAGCGCTGTTGCTGGGCACAGGCAGCAGCACTCATGTGCGCTCCTTCCATTCTTGTCTTCTTGTGTTTTTCTTACATTACAATGCTTCCAAACCAACTAGTTCATCAACAAGCATTAACAAAGTTTATTTCCAATCCAATTATTTGACAACAAAAGCTCGGTTTCTAGTAAACAAAAGTCACCGAAGCTGTAAATTCTCTGAGGGTCGAAGTTTGCAATTCAGTGAAGCATATCAGCTTTTCGTTCTGGCATTTCCTTGCAGCCCGACAAACATGTTCTCCTTCTAGCACTGTAATCTTGGCACAGTTATGGTTACTGCTGTAGACGTTAAAATTCGCTTTTGATGCTGCTGAGTCGAGACTTTGTATGCTATGTATTAACGCAACATTCCAAAATATAAGAATGGGAGAGAAAAATATAACCACAGTTGTTATCTATGTGTAAAAATTACAATCGGATAACAGATTATCAGGCACATCATAGCGAGGGCTCTATAGAGTAATTTCAAACACCTGAGGTTTGTGTTCCGTAGACACTGTACAGAGTTGATCTTCCAGTCTGCATCCATCGAGATGCAGCTGCCATGGCTAGGATTGAACCTGCAACTGTGTTTTCACCAGTGCAAAGCCATAGCCTTTGAACTACCGATGGAGTATGAAACAGTAGAACACGATAGAAACTGCCGGAACAGTGGGAGTGGAACAGTGGCAAAATATCTTCAGGTCATAAAGCCATTCAGCAGCAAAGCTTTTGTCAGACCAAAAACTTCTACCTGAGCGTAGGTGTGTGTACGTTATTCTTATCCTCTTGATTGTTGTATCTGCTGTGACTTGAAAGGCAGTGGTGCACTACATTTCAACACTCGCACCACTTCACTCATCCCTTCGTCATTACTTGTCACTTGGTAACCAACCAATACACGGCATGTTCTGGCCCCCACTTGTCAGGCTGCCTTCTGCATCATAATATGGAAAACGAAATTGGTGTGTTAAAAATCTGTTAAAAAAAAAATTCAGACACTCGCTGGCATTATTTTAACCCAGAGGACTTTAATGATGAAAAAAAAAATGTCACTAATTTTTAGATCATCATTCACTCCTTGAGAAGTTCTTCGTTGTAAGCTTCAAATTTTTTTGTGAGATGCTCAGGTATGTCGACATCCTTGAGGTTCTCCATGCCTGGCTCGGGCTCGTCACTGATTAGGATGTCCACCAGGTTTTCGCATGCCACCACAACGGGACGACAGCTTTCCGACTTGTGCAGCTCTCGTAGCACATAATAGGCTCCAGAGTTCTTTATGTGCTCCCGGCACTTTTTGGTGGCACAGAGCTGCCAATGAAACGTGAAAAGCAATTGATGATTTATTAAAAACCCAGCAGTAAGAAAATCGCTATAATGAACTCTCATTTCACACAACTTTTTAATTAAAAACTCAGACCAAACTAATCCCAAGTCTGGATACTTTTAATTTGTACAACTTGAAAACGCAGACAAACCTGGTATATGAGTCGATGCCACATATATCAAACTCAGATATATCAAATTATTGGCTATATCGAGCAGTTGAGCAATCCCCTTGAATTTCTCATGAAAAAGTATAGGACCGGCGCATCTGTATGCTGAACCCCCGCACAGCGGGACATCTGCTATATCGAATGCTGCACCGTGCTGAAGCCCAAAGTGCATTTTTCTTTGCAGATATTGATCAATTTTCGGCTGCATTTTGTTCCGATTCCTTTTCGTGCACAGGTGACAAAATGGCGGTGTTATTCCATAGCGCTGATCTATCTGATTCGTTGTGCAAGTCTTAAGGTGCGGGTGTAGTGTTTTTCAAGAAGATCAATTGCTAAGGACACCGAAATAAGAATGCGAAGCGACTCGGCCATCTCGTTGCAATGTTCGCATTCCCTTCCTTGTTTGTTGGTGCACAATGACATGTGAGCCTGAGAAGTATGACCTTCAAGATCTGCAACCTCATGACATATTTTTACTGTTTTCGGTTTTAAAATGCGTGTCTCATAGGCTGTGTTTTTTCTAGCTTTTCGCATCAAAGCAGCTGGCTAAAGCAGCCGCCGCCAGCTACAACGCCACAAGTGACATTGATATCGCCAACATGTCGATGGTGGGAACACGGCGTTGTCTTTTAAGCCTTGTGAACTTGTGTACTTTTCACCTTGATCCTCATAAATCCTCATTCGGGAGATCAACAGAACTTTGACCTGCACGTAGTGCTAAAATTATGATTGACACTTGGAGCGACGTCAAGTAAAGCATCGTCGTAAACTTTCCTTGTGGGCTGGGTGACGACTACGGTTGCGTCATGACCACTGACAAGAGCGTACGGTGCCTCCCTAAATTCTGTGACCTATTAGCGTTTTCCAGGCACCATCTCGGACAGCGAGTGACTTCATCGGTGCAGATGACAACATAGCTGTTTCCGACTGCATCGATGCTGAGATCACAGGTGCTGTTGCCAGTGCCGCGGAAATGTACCCGTGCGGTTATGAATATGCCAGAAGCCGCTGCTGCCTCTAACCATTATTTTACCATGCTACAAAGCTTGCATAGGCATTCTGCATCAATCAACGCTGTTGTGGCCAAAGGAGCTGAATTAGCTTATTTGAAAAGCTTCATGGATATTGAGGATGACTGAAACTTGATGGCACGCAAGAAGCAAGACAAGTTTACGGACTATTTTGATGTGAAATAAGGTGTGGTAAGTTTCAGTTAACACCTTGTACTTCATCATGCTGTGAGTGAATCGTATGTTAGCGCTTGTAACAATTTCCAAGGCCTGAAATGCTTTAATTTGGCCTTAAATATGCATATTTTGTATTTTAGATTATCGATATATTGAACTATATTGCGATCCCCTTCGAGCTCGATATGTCCGAAAATGACTGTAATAGTAGTACCCGACATAAAAATACTTTTGTCAGATCCGTGGATTTTAAGGGCTCGTTGTTCTTTGTTAGACGCAATATTATTTACAACTAGTAGACAAGGCTGCCAAAGAAGGCATATGGTTATATATATATATATATATATATATATATATATATATATATATATATATATATATATATATATATATATATATATATATATATATATAATGTATGTATACACACACACACACACACACACACACCACAAGAGTAGACAGAAGGATGACCGTGAACACCGCTGTAGCTTAGACAGATGAGCATCGGACGCGCTATTCTAAAGTGGCAGGTTCAATCTCTGCCAGCAGGACTTATCTTTTGTTCAATTTGTTTTTCTTCATGTTTACATTGCAGTTAGTACTAACTTCCCCTGTACATACTTAGGCATCATTGTCTGTTAGTTATATTTAATGAGATATGATATTCAGCAACAGTGAGATGTTTCGCAAAATTATTTATATGACCAGCAGTTTCGAGGAAAGCTTGATGCATGTGGTAACAATGCCCCAATGTTTCACTCAACATTTAGCAGAACAATGGGACCTATTGGGTGCCGATAAATATTAAAACCGGCACACGAGTGCATACTGCCACAAATTTTGTGGGATCACTTCTTGAGACTGGCATCAAATTTATTATAAGTGAATGTGACTTCATTGCCAATGTGCATTAATTTTGCTATTGAAGCACATACAGTAAGACAGTTCATAACTATATTAATTGGCTCTGTCATTCACTTGGAGAAGTCACTCTGCAGAATTAAAAAGAGAATGTTTTTTTTTTTTCTTACAAATAGCAATAACTACGGAGAGAGAGGCCAAAGATTGCAATGGGACCTTAATAAAATCTTGATGACAGCCTTCTTTAAGTGGTTCCATGGTGCTCTGTATTACAAATAATTCTTTAAGACAAGTCTGCTTCAATTGCAATAAGTGCAGTGGATGTAGATATTGCAGGGGCTGCTGGATAGACTGCAAAGATGTGACGTTTCTGATTCTTTAACTAAAGTAATCGCCGCACCTGCATGATTGCCTCGATGAGCATCTGTCGAATTTCTGGGCTCCCTTCTCGCTGCTTATCGCTGCCCAAGTACTGTAGCTCTAGGGGCAACTTCTCCATCTCGTCTTCATCCAGCTCCTCGGGGCCCATGAGTGGATACAGCAACCGAGGAAGGATGTCGACGTCAGGACTCAGCAGCCACTCATTACTGTCTGTAGGCACAGGTGGGGAAAGAAAAAGGAGAAGGAATAGAGATTTAAAAAATGCATAGCTTGTCAGTAAAAAATTACTTGTTAATTACAGTCGACGTTCGATTTCTCGGACGCCTGAAATTCCAGATATGCCCGATTTCACAGACTCATCTGTGGCATTGTGACGTTCTCCCATAGAGTCAATGTATTGAAAAGTCAGAAGTTTCGGATGCTTATAGGCCTTTGACATCCGATTTTTCGACATTTACTGCTAACTGCAGACTACGGAGCCGCAGACTCGAAGTCACCATCAACACTGCTATTTTGGCCGTTTTCATACCACGCCTTTAAGTCCCTCCGAACTCCAGCCGATGACTGCTGCGCCTACATAGCCAATGAACTCGGAGTTTACGTGAGCACTGATGACACTGCCATCGGTGCACAGCGACAGCACGATGTTAGCTGAAATTGATGCAGACGTCATCGGGGGCAAGAGGAATGCCCTGCAAACCAAAATAATCAACCTTTTTGGGCCCAAGTGTTGACCGATGAGGTAGCACTGGCCGCGTCATAATTCTTTCTTTTGTTTTTATTAAATAAAGGGATCTTTTCGGAGTCACTTAAAAGATGCATTCTCTAGATTGCAACAAGAATCTTGTACTCCTGCTGTGACCCTATCCGTCAGCGAAAAACACTTGTAAAAAAAAAGCTCGTTTTCACTTGCATTCATTTTTCCGCAATTTTTCGTGGTCCCTTCAGGGTCCGGGAAATTGGTCGTTGACTGTATAGAATTTGGAGTAACAGAGCGAAACACTAAATAAAATTCGCAGGATCCCTGATGTATTTGCCTAAAATGACTCGAAAGAAAAAGCAATCTTCGTTTTCTTCTCAGTCCACGCGTTATTAATGACGTAAGTTTGGAGCCACACACACCCGAGTGCTTCCTCCTCGAATGAAGATGCACGCTAGCCCGTCCAACAGGCGTGCACAGGTTGGGAAAGGCTTGCGTGCATCTGCTGTTGAGGTGGAAACACAGCAGACTTCTGAAGTTGTAGCTGGCTATAAATATAAGCTCGGTATTTTCGACGAAGTGAGCCAGGAGTTGAACCCTTGGTGACACAACTGGCAGCCTAAAGGCATAGAAGCCAATGAGCGGCTACCGCGAGCAAATGTAACAAGTTTCATAACAGTTTCTTTGTCCACATATGCAAGTGTAATCTGTCTTGTTTTTTCCTTTGCTGTTGTTTCACTGTGACGAAATCAAATGTTCTCGCAAGGATATACGCAAATAGTATACACATTTTTGGCTAGGTTATTACATGACATTAAACTTTCATGTGTTGCCAAGACAAGACAAAGTGCAACACAAGAAGTGTGTGAACACGTTGAAAACTGCCTGAATCCCATTTTTGTTTCTCCGCTTGCATAACTTGCTAACAAACCTCCCTTGCAGTTTGTTGCTGCCCTTTGATCTTTCGTTTTCATTGCTACAAAACGCTATGATGACACAACTATGTACATATTAGAGACCGTGAATTAGTGCTGCGTCACCATATAAAAAGTGAAATTATTAGTGACAAGTTCCCTAAAAAGAAAGTAAAACTGGTTAGAAGTAATGTATTGTTAGTAATCAGCAGTTAGTGCCCAAGACTGGGCCTCTCACATGGTTTAAAATGTTACCTACGCCTATTAGGTCAGCAATTTGGCTAAAGCCACAGAGATCCACTGAAGTTTTGTGTTTGCATAACAAAAGGAGCGATGTAGCTCTGTCATAAAACTACATTTTACAGATTACATTAAACTGCTTTTGTTTTTCTGAGGAATAGGTATATTTTTTGTCTAGATATCTATGATGACACCGTCTTCACGCTCCATTAACCATGCAAACGAGGAAGAGGTAAGCTATATTTTCATGCACTCGGGCAAAAGGACCCGCCGTGGCTGCATAACTAGTGAGCGCACATTAGAGGCAAAATCAATGCTCAAACAAACAAAAAGCATGGTTAATGATGCATGCCCCGAGATCATTAAGAGCCTAGGTATACATGTCCATGTATTTTGGGCATCCAGCATGACAAACCATCGCCTCAGCAAGACGGGGTACATGCTTCCTACACAAAGGTGTTGACTCTAGCTCCTTAGAGCAGTTGCTCAAAATTTCAGCACAGAACGCTTTGCTGTGAAGTGCGGTGAAAAGGTCTGTCCTTGCATGCTTCCAAAAGCTGTCCATTCTTTTACTGCACTTACTAGTGTTTTGTGAGTGCCACTGTTTCATCAAAGGTTGAACTTTCTGCTTGGTTAAAGATTTGCACCGCATAATCTACTACAGTGCCACAGTTCGAAAGAATGCAATCAAATGGTGGTCACATGCTTGCTTCAATAAGATGGTAGGAACTAGCGATATTTGTAGGTAAGCAATAAAATGATGATGTGCTGACAAAGTTGAAGAGGGAGGTTTGATAAAGAGACTTGTCGAAATGGCTGATTGGACGAGCTGGGGATTCATGATTACTTGAAATAAGGGCACATAACTTAGACAAGAACTTCACTATGCCCCAGAAAAGCACAACCCTGTCTTAGTTAGTCCTTGTCTATATTGTCTATGTCTTGTCTATGTATTTCAAGTAATCATGATAAAGAGAAATTGAAAAACCCAAAGGCCATTAAAAAAGTATGTACCAATGTTCGGATTGCATTCCCGCTAGTGCTACTATAGGTTTATCTCGCAGTCAGTATCAAACTAGGCATGTTAGACAGGAAAGACAGGAATAAAAATATACGTGGAGTAGTAATGCCTGTATGAAATTCCTATACCAGCTCCTCATGATATTGTGCACAGTATATACCTGTGTGAGGCTATTTTGTTTATAATGAAAGGATAATTACTTTACCTAAATAAATAACTTACCCCCCCCCCCCAATCTAATCTTGTAATCTGTCACGACAAACAATATTTGGCAAAAGCATAAATGTAATAAATTTTAGCTTCACATTGTCCATGAATTTTCTACCACTACAGTTAAGCCCCTTTATAAAAGGCATGCTTTGGGCAGCAATTCTAGTCTCTTATATGACATGTCTCTCAAAAGCAGGGTGTCTCATATGCATTTTCTTATCAATCCCTGTTTTGCTGTAGGCACACTGGTGTTTCTTATACATATTTGTCTCTTATAAAGGGGTTAAGCTGTATATGCAAATTAAATTAACTGTTTTTTAGATTAAGAAACTGCCAGTTGACACGAAAATACTGAACCTTGTTTACTCTAGTGCAATAAGTAGCAACGACACACTTATTATGGCCAAAGCGGTCGTTAGCTCGAGTGTGCAACAGTTACTTATTGGAGGACGGTTTTATACCTTCCAATCACAGCTTTCGTTTCAGAAAGTGCCAAGTGAAGCAGAACCCAGAGTGGCTTTCATGTAAACACAGCTGGCTACATGAGCACAATAAAAGCCCCGTGAGCAGTCTTGACGACTATTTTTAACAAAGAATCCCTCGAGGACGTTTTAATGTGTGACCTTCCCAAACACTGTATCAGATTTTCTACTCCCATCAAGCACAACTCCTCTTTTCGATGAAAAGGTCTGCCAATGAAAGTGCTAGCAAGGATAGAGCGCCAGCCGAAAACTAAGTGACGTGGGTTGCAGTTGGTTATTTGCACGAAAACCAAAGGCGTATTTCACGAGCGACGATAAACACATTGAAATGAATTTTAAATATGTTCTAGGCTGTATTATCCATTGATACTATTTCATAGATGCACGTGTGTCCACATAAATCTATCCCACAAGTTATCTTGTCCTCGAAATTTTGTGTTGATACTTCTTCAACTAGTGTACTATCCGATATCAGTACGTATTTCAAATAATACTGGCCAGTGCGACTTATTAGCATTGCTGATACATGCAATTATTAATTAGACACATTCAGGGGAAAATGCTGTATCGCATCACCCTTCATTCATACACAGCCTTGGGAAAAAAAAAAAACCAACCCCATTTAATTTGACACCTTTACAGAATATGAATAAATACTACTACTACTACTAATAATAAATCAATCATTTATTTATTTAATGTGTCTAAGAAATACTATGAGATCTTAGGGCAGGTGCACGCAGAAATAAAACAATACAAGAAACTATACATTGTAGACTCTTCAGAATAATCAAATAAAAAGAGTGAAAACACGCAGACAAAAAGAAATCGGCGCAAAATGGGAAGAATAAAAAGACGACAAGAATCATGGAATGGGAGTGAAAAATAAAGGGGAATATACACAATTATGCAGAAATCTTCCTGAAAGACAGAAATGGGAAGAATCTGTACATTGTGAAAGACTATGTTAAGACAGTGCAGAGCTGAGATAAAAACAATGACTGTGGACTGTGAAAAACATCAAGATCATGAAAGTTAACATTATAAAAAAAGACTGTATTCTCTGAACAGTACAGTGTTGAAAGAAGTTGGCAGGTACATGAAATCGTCGATTCTCGCTGGTTAACTTAGCTCCTAACCAGAAAACTTACACAACTGAGAAGTAAAGGGCAGGACATCATACCGTGAACTAGTTTGTAAAGAAATGACAAGTCAGCGCGATTCCGTCGGCAGTGAAGTGATGGCAATGATAATAATTTGCCAGTATTATAACGAGATGCTATTTCTTCAGCCTACCCTCCCCTTTCAACTTCTGTGGAAGCCCTACTCATGTTGCGGATAAAGGTACGCTCCCTTTGAGTTCTGAGTTCCTCCTCTGCCTGTAGAGGTCGCCACCCTTCAGTCATTTAGTTCGGCTGCCACTAGCATGTGGCGCCCCTGAGATTGTATATATTCTGCCCCGAATAAAGTGGGAAGCCTTTTTCGGCGCCACTCCGTCGAGGGCCATCGTCGTGCGGTACGGGCGAGTTCGGGATGAGGGGACGTTACGCAGCCACTTCTGACACCATGTCTTGTGACTGGTGCCGCGCGAGCGTGCCGGAGCACGAGCGGCCCGTGCCCGCGGAGAGAGACGATACGCACAACAGCTGCTCAGCTGACGAAAAAGGCCTCCCACTTTATTCGGGGCGCAACCACCCGATTCCCTTGGACTGCCACCCTGCAGACAGTGACCGCAGTGATGGTGTGACACAAACACGTAGTGGCCGCCGCGTTGTGCCTCCGAACCGCCTGAACTTGTGATGTGCAGTGTCTGGCGTCCTCCGTCTTCCGTCTGGTCTTCAAGGGGGGAGATGTAGAGGTCGCCACCCTTCAGTCATTTAGTTCGGCTGCCACTAGCATGTGGCGCCCCTGAGATTGTATATATTCTGCCCCGAATAAAGTGGGAGGCCTTTTTCGTTAGCTGAGCAGCTGTTGTGCGTATCGTCTCTCTCCGCTGGCACGGGCCGCTCATGCTCCGGCACGCTCGCGCGGCACCAGTCACAAGACACTGCCCTATAGGCACACGTCAATGTGTAAGAACACATGAAATCTTGGATGCTGAAAATTTGCAGTGTCCAATTTTTCAAACTTCTTGTGCAAATTTCAGGTCCAAAACAGCATTAACTCAGCCACCTCTATTGTCTCCATGTTGGAACCAGCATTTTCTTGAGTAAATAAATTTGCAACCTTAGCATAATTTAAAAGGCAGCTTTGCCACAATACAAGAGTGAGACGAGGTGAAGCATAATTATCTGAAGAGGCCACTAATAATTTGACATTAACTGTATTTGTGTTCAGGAAGTCCAAATAGTGAAATTCCTGTGTGAATCAAATATGGCAAACACCATTAACTGTATTTGTGTTCAGGAAGTCCAAATAGTGAAATTCCTGTGTGAATCAAATATGGCAAACACCATTAGAAAAATGTTTGAGATTTTTGACATTTGCATGCTCCTAATATTAATATTCATAATTAGAGCTGTGCAAATAGCAAAATTTTGGGTGTGAAACAAATTTGTTTATTGAAGAGCGAGTGCTATTTGAATCAAATATTTAAAGAAAATTTCTTGAATATGTTTAGAATATATTTTGTATACTTCGAAGCAAAGTTGCAGCAAAATGTTGGGGACGATTCCACAGCACTATTTCTCGGCAGAAATTTCAAGTGAGTATGAGATGGCAACATGAAAGTGTTTCTTTTGGCTAGGTTGAGGAAGTCATGGCGGGGCGGTGTTTCATAGCTGTCTTATCAAAAAAGAGGCAATGCAGAGGCCGAATTGTGTTTGTGTACATGATTTGGTACAATTAAAGTGTTGCCAACAACACTACACATAAATGACAAAGATGCTCTTTCGTCGGTCTCTCCTTTTCTTTCAACTTCTGTGGAAGCCCAAGTGATATGGCAGACAAGGGTGTGCTCTCTTAAAGTGCGGGGCTTCAAACTCACATATAGTAAAATATTTGAGGGCAAATTAAATAGCCAGCACTATTAGAAATTTCAAATATTTGCACACTCCTAATAATAATAAACAAATAAACGGTGAAACTGCATGCATACCGGTTTCAAAACAGCAGTTCCGCAGCACTGCAGCTGCACCGTGCCTTCGAACGGAAGAAGTCTCAAGCGTCAGAAAAGGAAAGAATTTCTGCACCCTCCTGGCAGCCTGGTCCAATAACCACCTGCATCAAAAGAGTACGCTTGGTTTCCAAGCGCTACTACAGCAATGCTTGAAAACGACTCTTAAATGAGCAATCTCAGTGCGCATTGAAGTGGAAAACATTATCTAAAGGTTTTGTGGCAACACATCTCAATGATCTCATACTACTTAAACTGCTTGTATTAGGAACTGCTAATCTCTCGAGAACAGTTCACATGGAATTGCCATTTTCACATTTCATGCCCATATTCTAAAGAAAGTGATGTGCTTCAGTGTGTATTTCTGCGGCACAGCTATAATTTTATTTTTTCTTGCATGCTTTTCCTTGCCTTAATAACTGTTACTTCAACGTTGCAAGTGGTATGCCCACTCTCGGCGTGCACACTGTAAGTGTGAAACAAATCTTTCAAGAAAGCAAATTTAAGCAAACAACATCATTGCACAAAAGAAAGACATTCCAAGAAGGTGCACTGAAACACCATCCTAAGTATATTTTGAAGAGTAAGGCACAATGCTACTGCCGCACGACAAACATGGTCACACACATCATGGGAGTGATACGCATAAGGGTGTGTATAAATCTCCCTTTTCTTGTTGCGCTTTGTAATTATGCCAAAACAACCTGTGCTGCCATCCATTCTCACACCATTTGAGGTGTTATGTTGTGTGTCAACAGGCGAGGGAGAAATGGGCCAATAAAGTTTCGCTTTTTGCCTGAAGGCCAGCCCGTGTGGTAGCTTGGCTCAATCACGTCTTCAAGAAGCATGTCCTGCTTAAACACTGAAACATCAATGGCCACTGTATAAACTCCTCCTCCCATCGATTTGCTCACCTCCGAACCTCGTCCAGTTGAGAGAGGTTCGAGAAGACGAAGCTGAGGTGGTCGCGGTTTTCGCTGGTGCTAGAACAGAGCGCTGCCAGGAGGTCGTCGCACTTGTTGGTCGAGCGCAACAGCGTCCAGAGCTTTTCGGCACCCTGCCTGCCTCTAGTGAGGTTCGACAGCATGGCAGCACATTGCAGCGCTGCCGAGTCGTCGCTCTTGAGCGAACTATTCACCAAGTGGGCCGTAATGCCACCGTAATCATGTTCGACAAGGTACTCCGAGATGGCCGGCACCGACGTGAGGTTTGTCAGGCACTTGTATGCTTGGGAGACGGTCACGGCGTTCTCGTCCTGCAGTACGAGCAGGGCCACTGCTTTCGCCACGTCCGGGTTCTTGAGCAGGAGGGAGCGTCCATCCTCTGAACTTGGTAGGCCTGCAGGCATCATTTGTACTCATCTTACTTTTGCCATTTCTGCGCACTAGTGATAATAAAAGGTCAACAAACACTGATATAATGGTAAACTAGACATTGTCGTTACCCAAAGTTATATATTACCTGTCAGTGAAATAGTCTGCTACTTAGGTGAAGGCAGTATCGCGTTTAACGAGACATACTACGCGAGGCGTTTCGTTTGGCGAGATTTCGCAATATTTTAAAATGTTTTTTTCGGAATGTCTGCTGCCAGTAGACAACTACTGAATGTAATTTGAGTGTGTTTATGAATAAATACGGCACGACTAACTGTACAATAACTACATAATTGAGCACATACCAATTGCAATTAATTGCTACAAAGTACAGTATACTTTATTTTAGCTCTAAATTGTCTCTAGACCTTTCGCATCAAAATGCATGAATTTCAAGCATCTTTGAACGGTCCTTCAAATGAGTTTCTCAAAGCTTTATGTAGTGAGGCATTGCAGCCATGTCACGTCACTGACTTATCATCTCTACATTAGACTACATTACACAAAATATTTCGGGCCAGAAAAATAGAGTGTGAGAATATTCGCTGGCCAGTTACATAACGATGGTTTCACTTTTACAGGCAGGCATTTCAATGATGCGCCCCATACATAAGCAACGTGAGGATCAAATTCTCCATTGTTGGAAATCGGAACTTTATGGGCGAAATGACACACCTGGCTGAAACTACTTTAACCTGGAGCGCGAGTTTAGTGTACGCGTCGACACCACCAGCAAACGGGGCATACAGACCTGTAATGTACGCAATGGCTTGATTCTTTGGCCCAGTCGGCGCGCTTTTGGCCAAGAAGTTAACCAGCTCGCTCACTTCGGACATGGCTGAAGCAGATCACGCAGAGGAAATGCAAATGTTGACACCGAGAACGATCACACGTGCTCAGCGGAATAGAGAGATCGCCAACCGAGATTCACGTGCGATCAAAAGCAGCCCGACTTCCTGTTGTTCGCTTCCGCTGAAAATAGTTGCAAGACAAATAATTACACCACAACACCCCACAACCACAGAAACCACACTTACGCTACAGGTTTCTAACTTCTACAAAACTTCAATTCGCTTAAAAAACTTGCAACGTATATTAATTTTAAATTTGATTATAGTTGCTTAATTGTGCCAGAAATTATTATGAACAATTTTGTACGGTCACTAAGTTGCAGTACCGAACATTTTGATTCAGGCTAGCACTGCTAGCCTTGCTTCTCTAGTTTACTATTGCTCTCGTTCTTGTCAGTCGCAGCTGTTTCCAAAAGTGCTTGAGCGTCAGACAAGTTTGTGGAACGATAACAATTGTTTGGCGCGACCTTCGTCGTACTTAACGGTACACGGCCGTGGTATAGGCGGTCGCATCGCGAAGATAAATGCAGATTTCGCGCCGGGACGCGCGGCCTTTTCATTCTTCCTCGCCGCAGCCTTCTTCCATCGGCTCCCACGTAAGCGTAGGTGGCATGACGCTTGTCGCAGTGACAACAAACGCGCGATGGCATGTGACCGCGTGCGTCGTGTGACCCTGTCCGTTTCCCAGTCTTTGGGCGCTAAAAAGACGGCCGTTTAGCCACAACTGTTTCCAATCGCCGTGGCACTTTACGGTGGTTGCGAGGTCGTCACTAGAGTGTGACTGTTGGTGCGCCGTGGTCGGCGATTTATCGTATCTCCCTCCCCTGGCGACGTTTCAGGATGTGTCTGCTGTTCGTCTACACTAATCCCGACCCGGACGATGACGAATTCAGCATGGTGCTGGTCAACGTCAGGGACGAGTTCTTTCATCGCCCCACGAAGCCAGCGTCTTTCTGGGAGGACGACCCTGACATTGTCGGAGGTACTAAGTCACGAACTCGCATCGATACGGATAGCCTCTATTTTAGCTTCCGTAACAACTTTCGCCGTCTAAACTGCCTGTTCACCGATTAAGTTCTGCCTATTTAGTCTGATCCATAAACCATATGCACAGCCACTCTCCAAAATGTGATGGGAAAATGACGATAGTTATAGCGCGATAACAGAACGACGACACAGAGACAAGAAGGACACGCCGTCGTTCTGTTCTCGCGCTACAACTATAGTCATGTCATACCAACTAGCCCAAGCTGCCGCACTTCTAAATTGATGGGAAAACTTCAACCTGAGCCTAGAGTTAGCGTAAACGATATAACTGCGTGTCACGTAATGCATACGCGAACGTATGTATTCCGGTTGCGTTTTCTCCGCTGTGTATTTTGCTCGCTCTCGCACTTCTAGCATACCATAAGCCCTAGCCCCTACTTGTACGTGTAACATCATGCTGTTGTAGTCTCTACATCAAATGTTTTTAACGTAGGATGAGCAACATCCGTGGATTTTGTTGAATAAAATGCTAGCGCCGCTGTCGAGTTGCGGTGTTTCCGAGAAGCAGGTATTGCTACCCTCGCAATAACATTATTTAATATGGGGGCATTGACGCATCTTTTGTTTCACATATTAATCTGCTATAATAGCAGATTCTTTAATTGCACAATGGCACAGTACCTCAGTACTTTTGCACTGAGAGTAGAGCAAAAGACGAGCCTGAGATCAGTGGTCAAGTTTTGGTTTTGGGAGCTTGTTATGGTGACAGAAAATACATCAGTAGGGCTGTCGGTGCTCTTAAATAAAGAGAGGAATCATACTTGTTAGTGATATAGACTAGAGACAATGCTTCGACTGAAGCATGTAGAAACAGCATTTGATTTATCCCCTGCCTCTTTTCAAATTACCATGTTGTAGTTTTGTTCAATTCTAGCTACTGTACATATGGGATACTGGTGGGCTGTTTGGTTGTACAGTTCATGATTTTGAGAACAGCAACACGAAATTTAAGAAAACATAGACATACAAAGATACACACTGTACAATTGGAGGTGCTGTTTTTGAACCTGTGTTGTAACATTGTTGGTCTGTTCATATTTTCTTAAATTTCGCACCACTTTCCACAATATCATCTACTATGCAGTCTAGGAAATTGATGTTAATTCCTTTCTAACTGCCACAAATATGCCTTGACTGCTCTGTTTTTGGAAAGATCATATGCAAAATGTACAGCGGCTTCACTGTTACTGAACATGAGACAAAAGGGCGAGGTCATCTTCCAGGTCGGGATCAGGAGAAAGGTCGTGAGGGGGGCACGTGGTTGGCTGTGTCCAAGGATGGCCGTATTGGCGCACTGCTCAACATCCTCCAGCCGGCCCATCGCATGGATCCCACAAAGCGTGGCCGAGGTGAACCCTTGTTTTTGCCACGTGCAGTGACTGTCACTTGAGTGCTTATCGATGACGGGCTGACAGGTTCATTGTGACTTGCGGGTGTTTACACTGCCAGTTTTCGCAAATGGCTGTACCGTACGTTAGTGCCCGCTGCATCTGCTTTGTCGCTGCTTTAGTTTAAAATGCAATGGATCAAGTGTGCAGCTGTTGTCTTGCAAATTACCTGGTGCATTCCTTGAAAGAAGGGGAGGGAAGTAATGAGTAGTGTGCCATTGTAGCATTGGTTGCCCAAAACAGAAGGAAAAGTGAAGTGGTGGTATCTGGTTCTATGCGACATTTACAAAAAATCTAAAAAGCAGCCACATGCATATTGCGACATAATATAGTGTTGCACATGTGTAGCGGTAGTGACAATTAGAAAGGATTGTGTGTCTTTTGGTGTTAAAAGTAGATAAAGATGATGTTTGATTCTTCACAATTTATAAAAGAGTTTTGTGCTGCCTGGTCTCCTCAACTGACCTAGGTCACTGCTATGTTACATTGCTTATTTATTAGTCACTGGAGCACTGGCACTGTTGGTAGTCTTTCGCATCTACTCTCACAAACTAAGATTTCGGTCATACTCATTTCAGTTTGTGCATTCTTTTATTCCAGTTGCTTTAGGAGGCTGCAGTGATTAGAATCCACCCTAAAAAGTGGTTTATGTTTGACGTTTTGTGCCATGTTATTTTCCTGTGATCGTAGTTTTAATCTCTGTTATTAGCATCACTACACTTAGGTTCAAGTGGCTGTCTAGGTGAAATGATCTTTACAGCAACTAAGGTAGAAATCAGGAAATTTGATTCACTTTCTCCGAATATTTCTAGTCTACTAAATGTTTTCAATTGCTCACTGCCTCTGTGTTTTGAAACGTTTGTGAGTTGTGAGCACTGAAGTGCAATGTGTTTGTGAGTGAATATTTTTTTTTAATCATGCACATGGTTACTTGCAGTAGTCCTCTCAGAATCAGTGAACGTAACCTTTTGTGTATGACATTTTGTTTATATTGTTCACTTAAGATAGCAAGCTTACGATGTGGGGTCTCCGCGAGGCGAACGAGCGCATGGCCACGCCACGCTCTTGGAGTGAACGGACACAGCAGACGCGGTCGGTACAAAGCACACAACATACATACATTTATTAACTAATTTAGACGACGATATCGTCTGCCCAATGTTACATCAATTTTAATTAACACGCTACCATACAAACAACATAACGCAGTGACACACTAAACACACAATAACATGATAAACACACTAACACACCCAACACACTAACACATACCCAAGGTGGCGTCGCCAACGCCTGACTTTCCACGTGGGACCCCGGCGCGAAGCCCGCGGTGCCGAGCACCGGGGACCCACGCTACAGACAACCGTTCGCGGCAGCCGCCACGCGCCGAAAAGACTCGCTCAACGCTCGCCCACCACCAAGGCCTGCCTTCCGCCAGGGGCCACCGCCAGCGCTACCACTCTATCAACAGTGGTACTCAAAGCGAACACAACGCCATCTATCGCCCAGCGGTGGTCACCACCGAAATAAAGCCTTGGGGCGAGACACATGCGCCACTCGGCGCAGACAACTTTACAGAGGGGGGGGGGGGGGGGGGGGGTGTCAGCACCCCCACAACGATTACATTCTTTTATTAGCCAGTACCAAATGTATGTAACCAAAATAACTATCTGCACTTGAGTAAAATACAGCCAGAATGAAAACTTATTAATGTATCATTAAGCCGGAAAGACACAGTGCATGCATCACCTGTATTTAGTATAAACTCACAAGTGAAATTGTTTGCAGAAGAACTTTATTTGACGTGTTAATCCTCACACCCTTTTGTATAAAGTTTTCTACATGAAACATCAATTTTGGCTGAAAATCTGTTAGAAGTTGTTCTGACTGCTGTCACTCAGGATTTTTTGTGAATTTTGTTACATCTTACAAAATGCTGATTGCAATAAATATTTGGTTAGCTGTTGCAAAACATTCTAATGCTCCATGTTGCTCGATTTTGCATGGTTCGAAACTGCATTCTTAAATTCCTCAGTACATTATTCATTGCACTTGAGTGCACTGCATGCATGCAATTTGCTACTGCCTCACTGGTTTATCAACTAGGAGTTTTAAGTGTCTTCCACCGAAAAAAATGGGATCAGTGTTTTCATCATAGCCAGCTTGGTTTCTTCTTTAGAGGAAGTGATGATTGAGATGGCTAATTGTGACCTTTTAACATATTAAATTCTGTAATTTGAACACGACTTTGAATATAAATGTTAATTAATTATAAAAACACATTCGCATTTATAAAAACAGCAATTGTTCAAGGAGCTCGTTTCTTTTGTTAGACGCAAGTCACGCAACCTTATGAACTGGTCAACTAAGCACTGATGTGCTTCACATCTTGGTCTTTTTACATTATTTATGATTCAGCCTTATCTGAAGAGCGCGCTAGAGATTGCAAAATAGTCTTTCAAATGGTTGTGTGTGTCGCAGGCTTTACGCTCTCGTCAGTTTTGTTTTTTTTTCTTTTTCTTCTCCCCATCTTGCGCCCTTTCAGGTTTCACTCGTGCCGTACAAATGTTTCAAAACTGTCACGTTAGTCAGCTTAATTTTTAGTTACCGTCAGTTACAAACTAACAAATCTAAGCTCCACTGTGCTCCAAATGGTGGTGCTTCTGCCATTTATGCGTGGATGACAGTCGCGCCATGCGGTTTCTCTAGGAAGCATACTTACTTTTTCGCTGCTGATACCAATACTACACATATCAGCAACGAAAAATCTTTGTCCCCACTTGAAATATTGCTTTTTCCAGCAATTACCACTGAAATTCGCCCGCAAGTTTTTGACAAAAAACCGTTGGCACCAACATGTCTCCGCATGGAAAAATTACCTACCTGAATATGTTAGGTGCTTGATAGGACGGAGATGAAGAAATGTTACTGAATAGGCCATCTATACCAATTTTCTCTCTAGTTGGGACAGGAATGGCTGTGGGTGTTTTTTTTTTCATTTATTGTTAGGTTGTACTACGGAGGTTTTAAAGTCGTAATTTGTACATTCTTAGGTTTCTCTACATAAATACTTGGCTTGTACTATTATATAACCTTTACATGCTCTTTATCGGCTTTTGTCCGTTTTATTCTATGAGTCAAAGGCCCTAGAAAGTGCTTGTCATTCAGGAATCTGGCCTGCTCGTGCTGTTACTGGGGCTTCTCGTGCTCCTTCACTTCCGCGTACTTTACTCTTACTTATTCAGCGCTGAGCACACTGGTGCGAACTCAAGTGTCAGTAAACATTGTTGACGCGCTTGAGGAGAATGCTCTCAGTGGCCTGATAACAAGCAGATATGAATAAAGCTCAACAAGGAGCGTTGCTAGAGTGTTTTTCTTATCTGAAATGCCGAGATCTTGTATCAAATGTGATACCGGACAAAAATAACCTCAAAAGCTGGCCAGCGCGATAATGAAATGCTACTAACCACATGTATGAAATTTGTTTTGCATGTAATTGCCACCTAAAATAAATGTAAAAGCTGGCTAGCGCTATAATTCAATGTAGAGTACTATGTGTACTGTATTTTGTGCCTGTGTAATAGCCACTTGACTTTTGGAAACGAAAGGGCAAGATCTTCAAAATTCAGAAAAAGCTATTCTTTGATTCCACATGTAAATGCAGATAATGATGCACACACGTAATGATGTATAATTTTATGTTTACTGTCTGGGCAAACGGTGTGAATGAAAATTGCATTTCATCATGGTACCTATACTTTAACACAGAACCATCTTGAAAGACTGACTGTTAAAGGATGAATATGTTTAGTTTGCATAATACATGTTTTACCAAATAATATATTGTGTGGTACCATTTTTCCCCAAAAGCAGAGGCGTTGGAGTTTTGAGTGGTAATTCAGCAGTGAGTTTACACATTTTATAGTGCCATCTGTGGCCAGCCTACGAAACGTTTCATGTAAGGGAGAAGATGCACGTGGTTGTGTGGACATGTTCATCGCCACTGCACTAGACCAGAGCTCGTGTGGTTGATGTGAAAAGGTGGAACTGCAGAACGAGGGCATCATTTTGTCATCTTTTAAAGCTTGAAGAAGTCCACTTATTAATATGTAAATGCTGTATAAAGCCTATAGAATGACTGCTGGTTGGACATGTCAGTGTAATACATTCATGATGGTGAAGTGCTTTAAAGAGCCACTCACCAGGTTTGACATTATTGAGCTGAGATTTGCAATGGATATATGGGGCATTCACGATCACATCTACCGAAATTTGCAACGCTACGTGCCGCAGAAATGAGTCAAATTTGAAGATAAACGCTGCTCTCCCTTCCTTTCGCGGGCTCGCACCAATAGAATGAGGGCATGATGTAAACTTGTGAATCGCCTTACCTACATTGTAGTGCTGTGACGTTGCCAACAGTGGCACGTGACATGGCAAAAATTATATACCAAGACATCCGTTGTTTATGTAATTTGTTGCTTGAATAGATGAATAAAACTTGAGATAAATAACGAGATCTAATAAGGGAATGTGTGCATCTTTTCTATTTTCCCCCCATGAATCGCAACAAGATGCGGGGCTAATGTGCCTGCGTTTCGATTGATATGTGAGATTTAACATCCTGAAACCACCACATGATTATGAGAGATGCCGTAGTGGAAGGCTCCGAAAATTTTGACCACCTGGTGTTTTTTAACGTGCGCCCAAATCTAAGCACACAGGCCTACAACATTTCCGTTTCCATCGGAAATGCAGCCGCCGCAGCGGGGATTCGATCCCGCGACCTGCGGGTCAGCAGCCGAGTACCTTAGCCACTAGAACACCACGGCGGGGCTGCCTGCATTTCGCATGCGTTTTTGTCCTCGTGATTAGGGCATCAAGCAGACGCCTGTCCTGAAAAAGATATTAATGGTCCTGCGTGTTCGAGCACTCATTATGCTAATCTATTCTACCATGCC